CAACCTGATTGTGTAAACCTTTGATTGCAAAGATATAGAAATTAAAAAAATTATAGTTTGTGCACATAAGACTCAACTTCTTAGGGGAAAAGTAAATATTCTAAATATATGTATTACTTACATATCTTACTTTTATGTAAATTGAATGAACTTTTTTTGCAGGGTTCATGTACTGAAATGTACGCCGTACGGGGTTCATTTTTTCTGTAAAAAATTCTGCGAACTTTTTTTTCTGAAAAGTCAGGTTTCCATTGAAAACAACTGCGAACATGATCATTTCATTGCAACCAAAGATTTCTTTAAAATATATCAATAATTTTGAGAGATACAAATAAATTCCCCAGTAAAAATTAAATTTGTTTTATCTTGAAAAACGTTAATATTATCAGAGGGCTCCTTAATTTTGGCAAGTTTTTTTTGCGGATTTGCAATAATCATTGTTTGTGGGTTTTATGTTATTGTTATCCTAACTTTTTTCAGGTTCTATAGATCACATTTTTAGGCGTTATAGTTAATAAAGCAAGTTTATTTTTATTTTTTTATTTTTGATTAATTTTTCTGATGATGTGCGTGATGTTTTTCCATTTTGTGTTCTGCAATTCCATATTTGCCAACATAAGACATAAACCTTGCAAAAATGTTGATAATATTGTTTGAAACAACACTAATCCCGTACTCACCCTGTGTATTAAGATATATTCCACCACTGAATGTGTTTGAAACTTATCCAATATATTCTGAACTGCATTAGTTTAGTTCATTAGGATTTCAGATTATATAAACGTGTTTAAACCTTTGTCATTTTATACAATGACAAAAATTAGTAGGATGGATGAAGATGGGAAGGATGGATGAAGATGGGAAGGATGGATGAACATGGGAAGGATAGATAAAGATGGGAAGGAAGGATGACCATGGGAAGGAAGGACGAAGATGGGAAGGATGGTTGAAGATGGGAAGGATAGATGAAGATGGGAAGGATAGATGAAGATGGGAAGGAATGATGAAGATGGGAAGGATGGTTGAACATGGGAAGGAAGGCTGAAGATGGGAAGGATGGATGAACATGGGAAGGATGATTGAAGATGGGAAGGATGAAGATGGGGAGGAAGGATGAACATGGGAAGGAATTATGAAGATGGGAAGGAATTTTGAAGATTAGTAGGATAAATGAAGATGGGAAGGAAGGATGAACATGGGAAGGAAGGATGAAGATGGGAAGGATAATGAAGATGGGAAGGAAGGTTGAACATGGGAAGGAAGGAGGAAGATTGGAAGAAAGGATGAACATGGGAAGGAATGATGAAGATGGGGAGGATAGATGAAGATGGGAAGGATGGATGAACTTGGGAAGGAAGAATGAAGATGGGAAGGATGGATGAAGATGGGAAGGAAGAATAAAGATGGGAAGGAAGGATGAAGATGGAAAGGATGAAGATGAAGATGATTTACCAAACCTAAGTTTATTTCTACTCCACTCCAAAAATTGTAGGCCACGGAAGGGGAGAAACATTTTCAAAAAGGGTGCGATGATATCCTTGAAGTTGAGCGCGCATTTCACGGCAAAATTATTATGTATGTAGATATATAATATACATGTAGCTCAGAGTTTGAAGTTTCTGCTTAAATTCAGTATTTCGGTAACACAAGACCAGTTAAGACGTATCCTGCGCTCTTATCAACAATGTGGAAGCTAATTCTTTTTGTCCTTTCCACCATAGTTGTTTCAATCCTGGGACATTTAAGGATATTAGTTTATTCTAATTTGGACCCAGTTATTACCGAGGTTAAGTGTCAAGTTGAAGAAGGAAAATGGACATGTGCAAGAAACAAGAACACGCAGTATCACTACTATTGTGAAGACAAATTCCTCTATATTAACTCGGAAAAATTCGAGAAATTTTGCAACCTTTTAGAAGATCCAACAGATGTCGAAAGAAAATTTTACTGGAATTGTCCTGCTTTTGAGATTCACGATTTGATGAAAGATCGAGACAATTGTTTTTTTGCAGGAGCAATAAAATCAGATTAATCAGAGCCTTTAACTGTGTCCTCTGGAGCATCCGCAGCATCTGCATCATCTGAAAGTGTTCAACTTTCCGCAGCTTTCTCAGCAGCTTGTCCTAGTAATAAAATATGTTTTAAAAACAAGACTAAAAGATGCTGTGCGTTGGTGAACTATGGTGGACAATGGAAATGTCCAAATTACTGTTTAGAATAATAATTAATATTTTGTAATTAGACTATAATGCATAGACATTATATAATGCACTGTCAACTGTTTCGAAATAAAATTGCAAATTAACACAGTAATAACCAGAAAACAATGGAATAAAAAGACAATATTATTAATTTAAGTATATTTAACCTTAATACAAACAAACAGTTTTTCGAGACACTTGATGAATCACTAATTCAGTGAAAATTTACACTACACACAATTGCAGTGTCTCATGCTCATTGGACTTTTAAAGTATAACTTGATAATGCAAGTCGTCTTCCTATTTCAGCGTTTTCTGGTTGTCACTCTTGTAGCAAAAATGAATAACCTTTTTCTTCACACAAATCAACAAAAAGAGAAAATGTACTTTGTCAATTATAGACTTTTTCGTCAATATCCAAGCTAAATAGAAATTATCAATTTGAACTTATTTTTTTAAAATCCAGTGAATAAAAGTATCAATAGAAGATCTCTGAAATCATGAAATGCTAATTTTTATTTTACAAAAAAAACAGTATGTGTTCTGTATTTGTAAATTGCTTTTTAAATCTGGTTAAACTGAAGCAATGAAAATAAATCTACAGCTACAAAACCAAGACTTCAATGAAGACCTGGAACTCGTAAAATACTAAAATCCTAGGTTCAGCTCCTCTATTCCTATCTTGAGTACCAGCTCCTCTACTCCTATCCTGGGTTCAGCTCCTCTACTTCTATCCTAGGTTCAGCTCTAGTTGTTCCTCTTCTCTAATTCATAGGTTTAGCTCCTCTACTTCTATCCTAGGTTCCTCTACTCTTATCCTAAGTTCAGTTCCTCTACCCTATCCTTATAGGTTCAACTCCTCTTTTCCTATCTTGGGTTTAGCTCCTCTACTCCTATCCTAGGTTCAACTCCTTTACTCCTATCCTAGGTTCAGCTCCTTTACTCCTATCCTAGGTTCAACTCCTTTACTCCTATCCTTGGTTCAACGCTCCTCTATACTACTATCCTAGGTTCAAATTCTCTCTCCTACTATCCTATGTTTAGCTCGAACACTCCTATCCTTGGTTCAGTTCCTCCACTCCTTTTCTAGATTCAGTTCCTCGATACTCCTATCCTAGGTTTAGCTCCTCTATTCCAATCCTGACCTAATTGGTTCAACTCCTATCCTAGGTTCAGTTCCTCTACTTCTATTGTAGGTTCAGTTCCTCTACTCCTATACTACAGGGTGTCCCACGAAACATGACATTTAATAAATCTTTATTTTAAGTTAAAACATCCTTTTGCTTCATTTTCTTTTACTTTGAAATCAATTTTAATATAACATGACTCCCATATAATACTTTTATTGATCTTTGGTATCAAACAACTTAACAAATTATGGAAAAAGACATTCTAAACTATTTACCAACTGTCATGTTTCGTGGGACACCCTGTAGATTCAGCTCCTCTACTCCTCTTCAGGTTCTGCTCCTCAACTTTGATCCTATAAGGTTCAGTTCCTCTACTTTAACTTCTAGTCTAGGTTCATGGTACTTATACTCCTATCCTATAAGGTGCAGCTCCTATATTCCTATCCTAGATTTAGAATCCGCCGAATCCTACCACATTATCCACAGAACTGCAGGTTACTTAAGTACCTCTGTTCTGTGGGCGCCGCGGCTAGGACATGCTAGGGGGCCGGGCGCTGCGGCCAAGTCCATATAGCAGCCGATGGTGTATTTTTAGACCTACGCCCATCCCCTCTACTGCCCATCCGAACTACAACCACGAGGTTTTAACAGCTGTGGTAGGCCCGCGGCACTGTAGGTCGGATGGGCACGTTAAAAACAGCATTGGTGCATCAGACCTATTAATTGCTGTCGCATAGACACGTTAGTACGTCTGATGGGCCTTTTTTGTAGGTCGGATGGGCATTTTCGTAGGTCGGATGGGCATTTTTCGTAGGTCGGATGGGCATTTTTCGTAGGTCGGATGGGCAATTTTTGTAGGTCGGATGGACGTTTTTCGTAGGTCGGATGGGCACTTTTCGTAGGTCGGATGGGCATTTTTCGTAGGTCGGTCCAGACATGTGGCCGCAGTGCTCGGCCCCCTAGCCTGTCCTAGCCGCAGCGCTCGGCCCAGAAATGAGCTTAACCTAACCTAACCCTAAATATACATTAATTTTATTAAAAATTTTGAATTGAAGGTCTTTCATGGTCGCAGCGCTCGGCCCCCTACCTAACCTTAAATATACAAGCTAATTTAAATTCAAATTGTTAAATATTAAAGGTCTGCCCATCCAACCTACGAAATATGCCCACCCGACCTACGAAAAATGCCCATCCGACCTACGAAAAGTGCCCATCTGACCTACAAAATTGAGTGGCCGTCCGACAGCTACAATTGATTATTTCATACCCTTGCATATAATTATAGGCATATGACAAAAGCTGCTGAATAGGTCGGATGGGCAAGAAGATATGCCCATCCGACCTACAGCTGTCGTAGGTCAGATGTTGCAGTAGGTCGGATGGGCAGTATAGCGGATGGGCAATAGGACGGATGGGCAGTAGAGCGGATCAACATTACCGTCAAGTGAGTCAAGTACGTGTTCTGTGAATCCGACCAATATACCACAAATCCCACACATAAGCAGAAATTTAGAAGACGATTGAACTATAATTATCAGTGGTATTTATTTACTGAAATGCGCTCAACAAATAGAAAAGAAAATGAAGAACTGTTTTACTACACTTAATACAAACTCTTATGTTGTCTACAGGACCGTTTTTAAATTTATATGAAAGGTTGTAGTTTAATTAGTTAATGAAGTGACTATTTCAGATGATAAAACTGTAAGAACTGTAAGGTATATTTGTTAAAGAATGATTATTCAAACAATAAATTTTGCTTACCCTACAGTGAAAATCTATGATATTTGGCAGTATTTAGACGGTGTATGTTATCAAGGTAAGCTTACTTAAATTTCTGATATATGTTGGGTCACGTATACTTAAAAATATAGGGTCTGTCCTGTCCAAGAGAAAGATTTTTGGAGGGGGGGTCCAAAAATCGTTCGCTAGGAAATTACCAAAATATAGTCATATATATAGTCATATATATAGTCAAGTTAGATAATTACAGAATAATTGTTAATATCTAAACTAGATTCTTTTATTTGTCAAGACGACAATGCCTAATGAACACTTTTTGACACGTGACCCGACCTTAAGTTCTATTAAAGCTGCGGCGCTCGGCCCCTTAAGCCAATTCTAGCCGCGGCCTCTGCCCCTTAGCCTTTTCTAGCCGGAGCTGTCGGCCCAGATATTGTCACAGCCTAACCCTGAAATAATACAAATAATGATTAATTTTGTTGAAAAATAGTTGGAATCTAGGCCATGTACAATATTGTTGGGGGGGGGGGGGGTCCAAAAAGTGTTATACATTAGGACTACCGGTCAAGAGAATTATAAGGTTAATATATTTCATTTATTGGGACCAGATTTAGTGTTTATAGAGACGTAGTTTGACTATAGTAGACATAGTCACTTATTTGACCCACTTATCTTGGTTGAATTGAACCGGCTATTTTCTCTGCACCCGCCGACAACAAAATATGAAAGAGAAAAGCAAAAAAGTTATGTTGAATTGGTCAAACTGTGATCGAAAGTCATAACTTGATGGGAAAAGGACCGAACTGTATAATCAGCGTGTGGATTTTGCACCTAAATCGCGTTTATTTTCTTTTAGACCATGTACGCGGACCGCATCACATAGAGAACTGTAGTATCGAATTTAAACCATCTATTTCATTCGAGGAACAATTATTAAGGAAGAGTTTATGATGTGCCCAAATTCTATTTCAATTTTTAATCTCTGAGCATTGTCGTCCATTATTAAACAAGAACATAAATAAAAACATATTTTACAAAGGGGAGGGTTAGTTTGACCAATTTAGTTACATTTGGGACTCCTGTCTTCATTTTTTGAAGAATCTGAATAAAATTTTGCAGATGGGCATCATTTGTGTTTTTTTAAGTTAAATAAAAAACATGTATAAAAAATATTTTTCCCCCCATTTTTCCATGTTTTTTTAAGCTTTTTCACCAAAAATATTTTCATCGAAAAATAAATTCATGAACTTAGAAATTGTGAAAAATATTAATAAAGTGGGAAAATATGATAAAATTATTATTATTCAAATCTATTTATTGTTCAAAAAGCACAAGAGCAAATATATATATCAAAAACACGTACATTTTGATTTTCTGTTTTTAATAAATGTGTAGACGAACACAACAATTAACTGTATCAGCAAAGATTAATAAAATAAAATAACAGTGCTAAATTAGCAGCAATTTAAGAACTTGCAAAATTATACAAGGAGCTTCAGGTAAGCATGTTTTTAAAAGGCAACATTCATTGAGACGGTTAAAATTGACTGCGGAGAGAGCGTTATTGAAGATCCAACAGCTTTGCACCATTGTTTCCTTTTAAGAGTTAAAAATACCAGAACCAAAATTGTGTAATAAGTAAAAAGTTATAGCTCTGCACCATAAACATAAAGTTATAGCTTTGCACCATAGATATGCCTAATTAAAGAAAGATTTAAGTTTGGATGCTTAAATGGTGGACAAATTCTGGCTAACTCGGAATTCAATTTAAGAAATAGAAATAGATAATTCATCAATATCACATTTTCGTTCTGGAGATCAGTGATCTTAGGTTTTGAGTGCTTTGATCTATCTGTCATAATGCTTCCTCTTCCTGCTTTCCCGTTCCTTCTTTTCGATCTCTAGAGCTAGAATTTTCGGAATATCTTTTGATTCGACTATTCCATATAGAACCTTAAAGAACGTCAGCACTACCTTACCCATCCTCAATCTGGAGCTGTCGTTGAGGTGAACCATCTCGGTGTAGATCTTCTCTCTCCATTGTGGATCTCTGTACTTGGTTCATATTTCCATCAGGTTTCGGGGCCCATAGAAAGTAGGATCTAGTTTCTTGGTTTTGAGTCCCCAGGTGTGAAAAGTGGGAGCCTTGAAGGATTTAAGCCTAGGATCGCCGCGGTTTAGTTCTCTGATCATGGTGGTCAGTGTGCTGAGAGTTTCGAACCTGTTGTCTTGAAGTACTCTTTCTTCATACGGGAGAACTGCAATTTTCGGTGGGAAGGGAGGAGTACCTATAGAGAACGTAGATCTGCCCCCAGCTCCGGCTCGAGTCTTCATAGAAAGGACATCATTCTTAAATTTTTTTAGATCTCTGATTATCTTTGATGCATTTTTACCTCTCATTACGTCGTTGACAGCTCCTTCAACAAGTACATCGACCGGAATGGAGCTGGATCCAAACTCTGCCATAAATGCGTGGTGGAGAATCTTGACAGTACCTTCTGGTATACCAATCATATCAACATGAATGTCATCCCCTGGGTATTTATTTACACTTCTTTCTCCTTGCCAGTTGTTCAGCAGACTGAAAGTTACCAAAACAGGATGTCTGATGGTTACATAATTTATAATCTCCATCATGAATAAGTCCAAACACGACACATTGCGTTTTATTAAGATGTATTTGTAGGCCTGATATTCTAAAAAACTCATCTAAAACTGTAATTGTGTTTTCAAGATTATTTGAGTCTTATTCTAGAAATATTGAACAATCATCTGCGTAAAGAGATAAAAGTATTTCGAGTTTGTCTAGTTTAAAACCCTTAATATTCTGATCCGTTCTCATTTTAATGCAAAGAATTTCTATGGACAGTACAAACAGGGCTGCTGCAATAGGATCACCTTGTCTACATCCTCTGGAGATATTAAAAAGCTCAGATATATTACCTGCATGGTTTACACAAGCTTTAAAATTATTTAATAGAATGTTAATCCATTTTATATAATTATTTCTAAATCCGAAATAAAGAAGAGCATTGCCAATAAAAAAGGAGATAGAATCATAGGCTTTTCTAAAGTCAATAAGTAACAGCAGTCCAGTTTTCTTCTTGTTTTTTGCCCATTCCATCATGTCAAAGGTGTTGCGAATGCAGTCCCCTATATATCTACCATTGACGAACCCTGATTGGTCCTTATTTATGATGGAAGGTAACACGAGGTTAAGTCTGTTAGCAATGGCTGAGCTCAAAAGTTTATAAACACTATTTTGTAAAGTAATAGGTCTACAGTTTTCTAATAAGTGTTTTGGCTTGTTTCCCTTAGGCAGTAAAGAAATTATTCCAATGGCTTGGAGGCTTGGTAGTTTGCCAATTGTAAAACGAAAAGAAACTGCTTTATAAATAATCCCTCCCTTGAATTTCCAGAAGCATTTATAGAATCCATATGTGAAACCAGAGGAACCCGGAGACGATAGACTTCTTAAGAGCTTTCGCCAGTTCTTCTAAAGAAATTTCTTGTTCTAACATCTCAATCTGACTATGATAAAATAGGGGGGAAGTGCTCTGAACAACCTTAAACTTCGTTCTGATGTTAGTAATGAGATTCTTGACTAAGAAGTAGGTGTTTAATATACCTAGCTGGTATTTGAATCAGACTTTTTTGTGAAAAGGCTTAAAAAACAGGAAAAAAGGGAAAAAATAATTTTTACAAATTTTTTTTTTCAATTAAAACAAACACAAATGATGCCCATATACAAAATTTCATTCAGATTCCTCAAAAAATGAAGACAGGATTCGCAAATGTAACTAAATTGGTCAAACTAACCCTCCCCTTTTACAAAAATCGAAATACTTTGATGCGAATTTTTTAAAATCTGCCCTTCCGCAGTTGATCATAATCATTTTTAAAATTTTAAAACTAGACTTTCTCTGTCATTTTTGCTCGGTCTGAAATAATAATACCGTTGTAAATCGGACATTTAACGCATTAAATAAGGGCAAAATCTAAATTATGTAAACATTTCCTTCAAAAGTACTATAATACTTCATACCTCTAATGACGGATAGGTGTGAGTCGGATAGATCTTCATTTCTTTTCTTCGACAAAACTATATTAGGTAAGTCAAAGTAAACTCATTTTTAACTCTTTGTAAACTTTTCGTTTTTAGAATGGGGGGCAACACCAATGGGAGTCGGAATGGTGGACGGAGATTGCATCTTTATTTTCCTCTACATGCCAGATATCACCAACACAGTGCTTATGGACCTAATTGTCGAGACTGGAATTCGCGAAGCTAGGAGAAACGAAGAAATTTCATTCGGCTTAAATTTGACCTTAGACGATCCTTTACCGCTCCTACATGTGTTTGAGGAGCATGAACATCCGACGGCAGAGATGGCGGACAATTGTTCGGCCCAGCTTAACTGCCTCAAAAATGTTCTTTTTCAAGCGTTTGATATGACGATAGAAACATACACACTGCCACTGCCGGAGCATTTACCGGATTTTTCTAAAATAATTCTCAAGTTGAATAAGATGAATTATGTTCACGCGGACAAGTGTATGTCAGATGTCTATGATGTGCTGGCCAGGTATGAGAACTCCGCCTATATCCTTGAGAACACTGGGAAGGTGGAGGAGGGTGAGAGAAGGTTAAACCTCAAGAGAGATTTATCAAAAACTCTGAAGGAATTCCAACAAGCAATTCAATCTTACAACGGAGAAGTTGTTTCTGAAATGTGTTTCAACGATTTCTGGGAAAAAGATGAATATAGAAAGAGGTATATTTTCTTTTTTATTTTCATACAAGGGGTTTGTTTACAAAATCGACGCCAAATTTTAAAAGAAAATGCGCATTATATGAAAATTTTAAAGTCAATTATGAATATTTTTTTTTCTAATATGAACATTTTTTCTTATGTATATTATCTTGAAAATCCCCCCCCCCCTCCTGTTAAAAGAAATGTATTATTTTCCTGAATATAATATAAAGGTTTGCACGTTGCTAAAAACTCTAAAAACTTCAGATTTATCGGTGAATTGGGGAAAAAAATGTTTTTTAGGGAAAAATATAAAACATTTTGAATGTAAAGTGCAAAAAATATTTTCACATGAAGTATATTGAGAAATTAGTTTTAAAAATCTAAAAATTTTCCTGTTCAGTGGATCTCCGGAGAATATCTTTGTTCTCGGCCCTGTTCGGAATTTCACCTACATCGACTCTTATGTTGGAGAACCCACCCTGTATCTCTCCGGGGTCACTGAGAACACGTCATTAGAGGAGCTTATTCTCAGCTATGAGAAGTACACAAAGATCAAAGTAAACAATTTAAAAGTTTAATTTAAAAAAAACTCATTAGACAATGAATTTTACCATGAAAATTTAAGTTTTGTAGTATTTCTGTGTTGTTAAAGTTATTTTAATAATGAACTAAGATCATAATGCCTATTCCAGGTTTTTATTTCACCAACTTTTACACTAAAACTGAATTTTTTTTACAATGAAAATTGGAGGTCCCACATATTCAGAGGAATATATGGTCCCATTTTTATGAAATTTTAAATTTTTTATCGTCATGAATATACTTCTTAATTTTATTAAAACTATTTTGTTAAGATGGATAATCTTTATTCATAAGGTTGATGAGAGATGGGCGTTTGAAGAACTAGATTTTTCAATATTTTGTTCAAACGAGGAACATGAACATATTCATTCTGTTCAATGTTTTATTCAACCAATATTTCGACTTCAAGACGCGCTCGGACTCGCGAGAAAAGTTAGTTTAGCAGTTCCTCTCCAGTTTAAGGTAAATTAGGACATTAATGGATTTTGTGGATTTTTAAAAGAAGAAACTTATCAATTTTTTGTGAGACAAACACCAAGACAACTTGTGTGACTCTTTTTTTTACATTTACAATATTTTCACTAATGATGGAGAAATTGGAATATAATCCACCAGATGCATCTGGTTTTCTTCAAATTTAAAATTTGGCATTTATAATCTCCTTACATGCAGTTTTGAAGGGGGGGGGGGGTTGGAGGTGGCAGAAAGAATAAAATTAACCGACTGCATCATTTTTAGGAGAAAGAAGATCATAGAGATATCGACGCGCTTGTAGATTTTATACAGGGCGAGCCGGAATCTACTCAAAATAAAAAGAAAAATAAGAAAAAGAAACGAAAAAGTAATTTGCCTGATGAAAATACATGCAGTTCTCAGTCCACAATAAAAACAGTTGATTCTAATCCTAATCTTGATCCTAATCCTGATCCGTCCCAAGCTGAAACATCTTCTCCTTTATCTCCAACTGCAGCTAGGGCTACAACTGAACCTTGTGGTGCCCCGCCCTCCCCTCTTCAGGTCCAATCTAGATCTGAGAATCTTGTGACTGAATACACTGAGAATGATTTAGAAAATCCGTGGGTCGAGTTTAAAACTGGCCGAGCTAAATCAGATTTAAAACCAGCCAAAAATGGACGAAAACCAGATCTCAAAGGTCAGATACTATTTTATATTGTAAATTCTTAAAATGGAAGAATATTTATGTTATTGATTAATATTTTTTTCAGGGGTTGATGTTAAGCGTTCTTTGACACAAAGATATGAAAAGATTACAGCAGGGTACAAACCAAATAAAGAAAAACCATCAAAGCATTCTGTGGAAAAATCAAGACCAGGGAGGGAAAGTGATGATCAAAGATCAGAAGTGGAAACAAAACCTGAGAAATTAACAGAGAAATTAATTAGTAATGAGAACAATACAATAGAGAGCCAAAGAGCCCGGTTACAGTCCCGGCTTGAACACCTTCAGCTGGAGCTCACCGAGAACGAGAGTTATGGGTTAAATATTATGAAGAAGAACCACCACGAGCTGAACCAATTCCAGAAGAGCCTGGAGCAGTGCGAGGATAAGATCCACGTAAACGGTAAGTCCATGAACAAGATGGATGCCGAGATTACGGAGCTCCAGCAATCTATCCTGGATATTCAGAAAAAGATTGGAGAACTCCAACTGAATAAGAACCGGCTCCAGGCGGAAAATGGAGATCTGGAGGAGGAGATAAAAAAATTCCGACGGAGACGAATATTACTTGAGGCGGAGGTTGATAAAGCCCTGCATCCTGTAAAGGATAGGAAACTAGAAATTAACAAAGAGATTCAGATGATAAAAGAAAATTTAAGATTTTTGCAACAAGAGACGAAGACTGCATCTAAAGATTGTTCAGGTATATTTCTCAGTTTGATTATAAATCCATTCATTCCGACTTTTAAGGGAAGAAGTCACGAAAATATAGGATCGATGCGGAATAATTTTTTTTTTTTTAATTTTTGTTAATCTAGTATATCTTTACCTTAAAAATCATTCCCTGAATTTTGGTTTAGGAAAACATTAAAATTTTTTTGTCGAAAGGTAATCAATAATTGGGAAGTATGAAAATTGGATAAGTTAAAAAAGTGTCTGCAGTTACTCTTTAAGGTTATTAGTGAACCATTTTATCTATTTTTTTCGTAATATTGAGCATTTATTTAAGAAACTGTTAAAAACGAATGTTCAACGGGATTTAATTGTTGATTTTTTCATTATTTTTTTTCTCTCGAGAAACTCTAGGATGGCCATTTTAGGTATTAGTTTCAGAGTTACGGTTGAAATCAAAATCAAAATATAAGATCCTGGAGACAAAAGTTAAAATTTCAATAAGAGAGTGAATCTTTAAGTTATCTACTGAAGGGTTTTGTTTTGAGATATATAATGGGTCAATCTTCTGAACAATCCAGAGATGATTTCAAGGATGTACGAATATGGGAAAATTTAAGCTGTAAATACATTCCGGAAAAAGTTCTGTGCCCATATATTTTAAGAAATGTATTTTTTATACAAAGATCAGCTTAGAAGTGGAAGGTTTTCTCAGAATTAGATATTTGTTTAAGAATATTTAATCCTAGGTTCAGTTAAGAGTTCCTCATCATCCACCACTGCACATTCACAGCTTCTTCTAGGCAATCCAGTTTTTTTGTATTTTCATATGTTCAAAGTAGTAAGGAACCCTTACACCGATTTGCCTCAAATTCTCACTGAGGAACTGAGTTGAATCACGTGAATGTTCTTTGCTTGGTCTTGAAAAGTTCTCAGTTGGCATTTAAAAAGAAAACATTGTTTCAATGCAAAGCTACGTTCCCAAGCTAGTGAATAAATATAGAACTCCTTGTTCAATTTATCTCAATTGTTCGATTTACTCGATAGAACAGGAGTGTTCTTAACTTTTAAAAATTGTTTAGATCACCAGACAAAGCTGGGTTCCCATGCTATCATTTCTCTTAAGGTTTCATTATTCTTTTCCAAGGTCTCACGATCAGATTTGGAAAAGGGGGATCTAATAAAAATTTGTTCTAAGAATAACGAGATGATTAAAAATAAAATATGAAAAAGAAAAAATTAACATCTAAATTCGGGGTTTCATCTTTTTTGATACTTTTAGTCCAGAAATTCTTTGAATTTTTCAAATTCAGTGAATGAAACCTTAACTGTATAGGGGGAAAAAATGATTTAAAAAGGGAGGAGGGTTGAAAATGATTTTCAGGGTAATATTTACCCATGTGTATTATTCTGCAAGATAAGGATTTTGTGGTTGTAATTGTAAACATATTTTTAGTTCAGATTCGAGCCTAGTTGATTATACAAAGGTTTATTCTTTTGTATTTTAAATCAGTTCCAGAGAAAGCGTAAGTCATTGTGTTCCCTCCCCACTTGGTAGTTTTATTGAAATTGTCGGACACAGCAAAGCAAACATTTTTAATAATCTATTAATTTGATTTCCTGATTTAAACTTAATATCTCCAATTTAAAAGTTATGCTGTGAATTTTGTGTATAGTCAGTGTGACTAGTCCCTCTCCAAACCAAAGATTAATAAGGATATTTTCATTTATGGTTTGAAAAATCATTCTTGTTTTTACGATTAAAAAATTCATCATTTTTCTGACGATTTAAAAAATCATTATGGTTCTCATAATTTAAATATTCTTTATTGTTTTAACGATTTAAACATTGGTTGTATTTTAGTTTTTGTTAAAGTTTTCGTGGATTTTATGTTTAAATTGGTGGATAACAAAACCTTGATCTGCAGAGTTTCTGAGCTGTCAGATAGAGCAGAAGTCACGTGACCTTGAGTGCCCGGTGTGCCTAGAGACATCAGAGACTCCAATATATATGTGCTCAGAACAGCATATCATTTGTTCTAACTGCTGGCAAAAGGTGTGTTCTTCTAATTTGTTGTATTTTTCAAAAAGTAAATATGTAAGATTTACAGTTTATACCCATATTACGAAAATTGTTGATACGTTGGGGTTTATATTTTGTGGTAAAAATCATATCACCATCTTACGGGCTTTTATTGTTCTAATGGATAAATGAAGTTATGGATGAAAAGTATAATAGGAGGGGGGGGGGGGGCGGCTTACCATCACATGTTTAATTTTATCCCTCTCTCTCCTCATCTCCTGAATGTATAGTGTACCCGTGAAATTTTGTGACGTAGACTTTTTTTCTTTAAACAACTTTACTAACTTTGCTTATTTAGAAATTCTACACCTTTAAATACTCCGTCTAAAACAAGCATATTCTATTAAAGGGACTGTAAGAATAATCTCAAGTGACCCTCTATTCAAAGATGGCAATGACCGATTTACATGGATACCCTTAAAAGCATTGTCTGTTGCCGTATGAATTAAATATGAACGTTTTTATTTTATTAAGCTGTTTATTTGTATTTGTGGTTTCTCTGCTAAACTTGCTCATAAGAAACAATGAAGAAATTCAAAGAAATAAACACTTTTCGAGTCAGAAAAACGACGATATCTTCCAGATTTTTGATCAGATTAAGTTTTCAAGGGTACCATTGTAAATAGGACATTGCTTTCTTTGAATGTAGGGTCACTAAAAATTACGTTCAGTCCCTTTTTAAATCTGTTTTTACTCCAGGTGATCCGAACCCGAAGTGAGTGTGTTGAGTGTCGAACTCCATATCCAGTTCAACCTATGAGACACCGGTATATGGAGAAGGTTGCAGAGGAACTAGCAGATCTTATCACGAAGAAAAATAAGATTGTTGATAGCAATCCTTCATGATCTCAATTAAATTCATACTTTTTTTCTCTAATGGCTGTGATTATTTCAGATCAAGAGAGGAAGGATCCAACCTTCTTTCTTCTCTCCGACCTCAGATTTTATGATGTATCAACTGTGATCTAATTGTGATAACTCCGCCCAACCAGGATGGAGAAGGCGGGGGCGGAGACTAATCAGGAGGAGCTGAATCTCCAGGGTTCGGAGGAGGAACCTAAGTGTGTGTTTGGACCGCGTGAGTTGCCTCCGATGCCCTGGTTCGGGATGGATATCGGAGGAACTCTCTCGAAACTGGTTTATTTTGAACCGGAGGACACATCGGAAAGGGAGGAGGAAACTGTGAGTAATATCAGGTTTGTTAAGGTCACTTCATTTGGGAATATTCCATTTCATTTTGATGCGAATTCAGATCCTGGATCATCCCTGAATAAAGCATCCGGATCCGTATCCAGGTCATGAACATTTTTTCAGGATTAAGAATTTTCAAAAAAAAAATATTTTTTTTTCGCCCATTTTTTTTGCTAAAACTGGATTTTATGCCCTTAGATCTGCATGTTTTTGCGGATCCGAATCCAGGGAATACAGGAAGTCAAAATGTTGCGGATCCAACGGATCCGGATCCTAAACACTGCTTCATTCATTTATCATATTTCTCCTACTTATTCATCCTATTTAATTATCTGTCATCGTCTTATAAACATTGATAATAGAACCATAGGAATATTCTTAACTTGGTTCAGAAATACTTTTTGAGATTGTCAACTTATATTCCAGGCAATACTGGGTTCCCAAGCTAGTTTATTATATTCTGTTTAGGAAGTATTTGACGAACAACTTGGCATACGGGGATAGTGGACACAGAGACGAGGATAAACAGATGGAAGATCTATTCATCCGACATAGGAGGGGTAGAGCACACTTTATCAGGTTTATAATCTTTTTCCTCCAATTTATTCTTCGTCGCCCATTGGGCTGCTCAAATCTTGCATTATTCTAACTCACAGTTTCTCTTTTATTTCAGTTTTCTTATTTGTCCCGTTTTCTTCATTTTTTTATATTTGTATCGCTTTTTTTCGGAGGATTTTTTTCAGCTGATATATATTTTTTTTGTCCTTTTTCTGCATATATTCAAAAATGATAACAATATAGAATTTCGCGATTTTTCTGTTTACATCAATAGATTTACAAAATCAAAATCTTGGACTTGAAATTTTGACTCTATCGGTTTATCCGGTTTGGCGTTTTTGAGATACCGTCAGTCAAGTATATATTAAATAATTAAAAGAATTTTTAATTCCGAAATATTTAGTGATTGATTGATTAAATACAATCTCCATGTTTAGGTTTCCCACGACCCAAATGGCATCCTTCATAGAGCTCGCCAAGGAAAAGGGGATGGCCAACACCCTGATCACTGTTTGTGCCACGGGAGGAGGAGCTTACAAGTTCGAGAAGGATTTCCTCCGGGAGCTGAACATGCAGCTCCACAAGTTCGACGAGTTGGACAGTTTGATGAGCGGGCTCCAGTTCATCGAGCAGAACAACCCTAAGGAGCTCTACTTCTGGGAGAACCCGGAGGATGATGAATCCGCGGAGAAGGTTTCTTTTGATTTCCGGGATCCGTATCCGTTCATGCTCGTCAATGTCGGCTCAGGGATATAATCTAGCTGAGATCTTTATATTTAAAAATAAAACTTTGAGTTCAGTTTCATAAAATTTCATAATTTTGATTTAAGAAAAAACTCATTTTGACATGGATCCAGAATCCTGGTCCTAAAGTCAATTTTTTAAGGAAGATCGAGATCTAGAATCTAGATTCGCATAGAAAATGATTTTCTGTTTTTGGAAAATTATCTAAGGACCAAACCTAAGTCTAAGGCCTGAGAAATTACTTCTGTTTGTTTGAAACTTTGGACTAGTACTCCATCTGAATCCATTAAAACTAATTCGGATCTAGTGACTATAGCACTAATACAGCTGAACCGGATCCTTGTTTCATGCGTCTAAACGGATAAATAAATGATAGCCTCCGAAATGGGGGGGTTGTAATAGGAGGAATGGGATTTTACTATATTAAATACTATTAAAGATGGGCATTCGTTTTTGTTCTTGATATTTGTAATTCAAGATTTTCAAAAGATCCATTATCTCACCTTGAATGAGATTTGTATCTCCTGAGCTAGATTTATCCATGTACAGGAGTTTCTATACTTGCAGTACGAGGTCCGGAGGATTATACTCGGGTTTCTGGAACCTCGCTTGGAGGAGGAACCTTCCTCGGCCTCTCCAGGTAAATTTCTAATTTTTAAAGGAAGAATCAGCAAATTGTGGGATTTTTTGCATTAATGGCATATTTTAAAGAATGTTAAATATAGGATCTGTTAAGTTTGAATCAGAGTGAATAATCTATCCATGTTTCTATTCTTGAAATTTAATTATGTTTTTAATTGGGGTTCGCCATTAAATAGAGAATAGAAACAGAAAACTTATGTGAATCGGACATGCTCCTTTTTTTAATGGAGGGTTACTTGAAATTAAAACGACAGCCGGCCCCTTTAAAAGTTGCATACAAATATTTACAGCCCATACATTGTTTTAGATAACTTGATGCGCCAATGATTTTGGATCAGTGTTAATTAGATTTTTTTTTAAAGTCTAAGATTAAAAAAACTAAGTTTTACAATACCTTTAAATATCATTCGTTTTTCGATTAAGTTTTTATTTTTTACTTGAAAATTATATTGTTTATAATGTATTTATTCTAAATGATGAAACATGTGCGTCAGGTTACTGACGCAATGTGAGACGTTTGAAGAGGCTCTGGAGCTAGCGTCCAGGGGGGATAATAGGAACGTGGATAAACTTGTCAAGGATATATACGGAGGAAATTATGACAGGTTAGTGCACGACTCCTCATTAGAGACGGCCAATATGGCAATAAACACTTTTAGAAAGTTTTTAAACACCATAGTTTTAATAATTGTTAAGAAAGTAGAAAGTTGCTAATTACCAATCTAGGATGATCATTTGCAGTATTTAAAATTGTAAATCCGTACATACATAGAAATGTAAAGGCCAGAATTTTTATTCAAAGTAAGAACTGGAATGTTTCTTTATGTATAGTAGAAGTAGTAGTCCATTTTTTGACCAATGATGAAGTAAAACTTCTAAAGCCAATCTTCGTGATCTGTTCATAACCAGGAGGCTGTGTTTTCTGCCATGGTTCATTTCTTTTCTGGATTAATATTTACATATATAATTTCTACAGTATTCGGGTAAACCAGTAAATGGAATTGATTCCATCAGACATCAAAGAATCTTCAACCTTGAATATCTTCAAAAGAAGATACGATGAATATAGAAAGAATCCATGAGCTGCTGTAAGAGACATTCAAAACTAAGAAAAATCAACCAGAGGCCGAATTTTAATAAATTTGAGCCGTATTCAATTTTCAAGATTTAAGCCGGCGTTCAATTGAAACCGGTTTTTGGGGGATTTGAGAGGCGGCCTAAAATTGAAGTCGTACACAGGAAGAACAATCAGCAACGCTTAAAGGGAGTGTTCGCGAAAAATGAAAGGGGGTATAGGCTTAATGCGATAAAAAAGCGCTTTTGATCGCTACTAATCTTACTTCTATCTGTTGCGTCTATAAGGAGAAGATTGATAAAGACGTCTCATACCGAATAACATGGCGTCCATACAAATTGAGAAAATTGCAACATACGACTTAGACCGTAAAAAAATCAATTTAATTTCAAACAAATCATTCAGATATTACAACCTATAGTCATCGATTATCTTTCGCCACATTTATATATAGTTGATTTTTCATAATATGTGTTATTGTTATGATCTGAGAGTTACTTATAAAAACATTTATTCCTGTTTCGAGGATTTTTGGTAATGAAGACGACATTTTCATATTTTCCAGGAATGTTCCAAAACAAGTGGAAAGCTAAATATTATTTTAAAAAACAAAATCAAAACTAGTATGAAATATCAAATATATACAAATGTGGCGAAATCATCCTCAAAAACAAAATCATCCTCATAATAACTCTATATGAGTTCCTGAGGATTAATCAACAATAAACAATAAACAATGAATAAAGTTTATTTTTAGTGTATGGGTTTCCTTTCAGATTTAAACTTGATTTGATTTGTTGTGATTTGATTTGATGTCAAGCTTCTTCTTTCCATGTTCTTTTCTCAGAAACTACTGGGTTGCGGATTTATCTAATTTGTTGGTGGATTTCTTTTTTTGATAGGAAGACGATATTGGCTCAGCGACAATCTACTAAACAAAGAAGTGTATTATGATTTTAAAAAATGTTTTTACTTATTTATAAACTTTTGTTTGCTTAGGTTTCATCTTGCTGGAGATATTGTGGCGAGCAGTTTCGGTCAGATGAACATGAGCGACAAGATCGCCGCAGCGAGTAAAGAGGATTTGGCGAAGGCGACGCTAATGATGATCACGAACAATATAGGTTCAATCGCTAGACTCTGCTGCAGGTTGGAATTCAGTGATCCCTAAAAAACTTAGTAATACAACGACGAAAGCAATGTGTTTTTTTCTGATTATTTTTTACACTCCCCAGAGGACAAAATCTTTTTTCTATATTAATAATGATAGCCCCACCGACTAAAAATTATATTTTTACAATTTATTCTTTTAGAAGTGAAGGAATAGAGCGAGTTGTGTTTGTGGGGAATTTCTTGAGGTAAATAATAGTTTAGTGAAATTTATTTCCCTAAAATTCTTTTTTGCCCCGGCCCCACTTTTCTCAAAGATTGATTGTTTTAACCTCTATGCTAGCAAACAGCTACTAGTCTCGTGTTAGAGAGGGATTTAGTTGTTAAGTCAGAAAAGTTCAAAAATTTAATTAGCCTGAGACCAAAACTTTTTGTGTTATGTCCAAAAATGATAGGAATAGGGTTACTTTGAAAGAAAGAAGACAATTGAAAATTATAAACTTTGAAAGTTTGATTATAAGGGTATCGTTGTATAACGGACACGCTAATCTGTATATGGAGAGTTACTTGAAAACAGTCCCACCTTTATGTTTAACGATTAGAAATATATTGTTAATCTTTGTTTTTCCCAGGATTAATACTATCGCTATGAGAAGCCTGTCAACAGCAATGGAATTCTGGTCAGGGGGAACTATGAAGGAAAATACAATCAATTAATCAATCATATTTTATTTATTTAAATTAAAATTATTTATTAAATTCATCACTTTATCATGTTTAAAATCCTTTTAGTTTTTACTAAATTGTCATTTAAAAAATTATTTGCATATTTACTAGTTTTTTATTAGCTCTTCATATAAAATTATTTAGCATTTTTCAATTGACCTTTATTTTTCCATTCATATTTACATCTTTTGTACACTTTGTATTAATCCAGTCAGTTGGTCTAATTTAATCCATAATTCATGTCAGTTGTTCAATAATCCATAATTCATGTCAGTTGGTCTACTAATCCACAAATCATGTCAGTTGGTCTACTAATCCACAAATCATGTCAGTTGGTCTAATTTAATCAATTAATCAAGTCAGTTGGTCAAATAATCCACAATTCATGTCAGTTGGTGAACAATCCATGATTCATGTCAGTTGGTCTACTAATCCACAATTCATTTCAGTTGGTCTACTAATCCACAAGTCATGTCAGTTGGTCTACTAATCCACAATTCATGTCAGTTGGTCTACTAATCCACAAATCATGTCAGTTGGTCTACTAATCCACAATTCATGTCAGTTGGTCTAATTTAATCCATAATTCATGTCAGTTGATCAACTAATCCACAATTCATGTCAGTTGGTCTACTGATCATCAAGTCAGTTGGTCTTCTAATCCACAATTCATGTCAGTTGGTCAACAATCCACATTTTATGTCAGTTGGTCAACTAATCCATAATTCAAGTCAGTTGGTCAACAATCCATAATTCAAGTCAGTTGGTCAACAATCCATAATTCATGTCAGTTGGTCTAATTTAATCCAATAATCAAGTCTAAATTCATACATTATTCAAGTCAGTTGGTCAACTAATTCTTTAATCTTGTCAGTTGGTTAATAAATTCATTATTTAAGTCAGTTGGTCAATTAATCCATTTTTCAAGTCAGTTGGTCAATAAATCCATTAATCCAGTCAGTTGGTCAATTAATTCATTATTAAAGTCAGTTGGTCTAATTTAATCCGTTAATCTTGTCAGTTTGTCAATTAATCCATTAATCTTGTCAGTTTGTCAATTAATCCGTTAATCTTGTCAGTTTGTCAATCAATCCATTAATCTTGTCAGTTTGTCAATTAATCCGTTAATCTTGTCAGTTTGTCAATTAATCCGTTAATCTTGTCAGTTGGTCAATCAATCTTTTATGTAAGTCAATTAATCGATTATTTAAGTCATTTGGTCAACTAATCCATTATGTAAGTCAGTTTGTCAATTAATCTATTGACAGTTGGTCTACTAATCCATAATTCATGTTAGTTGGTTAATTAATCCATTAATCCAGTTAGTTAATAATTAATCCATTAATCCGAACGACTGATCTATTAATCCAGTTCATTAAATTAAGTATCAATTAATTCTAATTATTCTTATATTAAGAAAACATGTATATGATTGTACGTGATTATTAGGCTCTATTCTGTGAGCATGAAGGATATTTCGGAGCTGTTGGATGTCTTTTGGAGCTCATGAAAACCCACTAAAATTGGGAATTATTTAGAAAAACAGGGAACAAAAAATCCACAAAACTTTAACTAGGTTTAAACCTTATCTGTTACAAAATGCACATCATTATATATTGATATGAAACGAACGCAGAAAAGAGTAGAATCCGCAAAATTTATAAATAAACGTTTACATGTTATAATTTATAAGATATTAAGATAAAATATTAAGATTATTAATGTTATATTGTTTACCGCATCGGTACATAATCAGCTTAAATGTTGCATGGCTCGAATATATATATAAATCTATTAACGTGAAAAGCCTGAACAAATTCCTAATAATATATTTGTGAATTAGAAAAACAAAAATTCATCTGCACAGAATTTCCAGACACACAAAGATTAAAGAATATTATATGTCGTACAGTACAATTTTTTAAACTGAAAAATGTACTCTCTGAACTCTGCGTACTGTTTAATGTATGTGTAACATGTAATGTACCATATATTTGTTATTTGTTGTTTATATTTAAAGCATTTATTATCTCATGCTAGAGTCGCCTTTTTTTAATGTGAATATGTTCAACACTCAGATATGAAAGGGACTGTAGACAAAATTTTAAGAGATTCCATTAAAAAAAAATTTAAAAAAAACCCCCGTCATGTTCGATTCACAACAGCTTACCATCTACACTTCTATATGAGTAACAACTTTATTTTTTGACAATTTTCTTCGCCGCTTAAATCCGAAAACCACAATAAAAACAAATCATTTATCTGTTCGAATAAAAGGATATTATATTTATCTTTTATCAGACAATAAATTGAAGGGTACTGTTGTGAATCGGACATGACTCTTTTTTAAATGGAGGGATACTTCAAATAGCGTACAGTCCCTTAAAAGCTCGAAGTTTAAACCACAAAGTACTCATTTCTTAAATGGCTATTTTTTGATTATTTTAAATTTTGTTTAATTCTGATTTTAACATTTGGCAATAATGTAATACAATCTTCGTCAATTTGATGAATCCGACTTGTCATTTTTAATTTAAATGTATAATTTTTTATTAATGATATTAGATCTAAAGGGCCATAAAAGATCTTCCTTTTTAAAGTCTTCTGAAAAAATAGGGTAGCCCCTATTATTGTTCCTATTTTCTTAGTATTTAGTCAGTTTTAGTTTCCAGTTACTAATCAGTACACACTACACAGTACACACTAAACTAGTTCTAGTTATTAATAAGCACACAGGGAACTTGTTTCTAGTTTACTTATTAGTACACACTGAACTAGTTCCTAGTTACTTAACAGTACACACTGAACTAGTTCCTAGTTACTTAACAGTACACACTGCGCTAGTTCCTACTTACTTAACCGTACACACTGAGCTAGTTCCTAGTTACTTAACAGTACACACTGATTCCTAGTTACTTAACAGTACACACTGAGCTAGTTCTTAGTTACTTAACAGTACACACTGATCTAGTTCCTAGTTACTTCACAGTACACACTGAGCTAGTTCCTAGTTACTTAACAGTACACACTAAACTAGTTCCTAGTTACTTAACCGTACACACTGAACTAGACCTAGTTACATAACAGTTCACGCTGAACTAAATGTATATGGGTCTACTCAGTACCAGCTCTAATATAATCTAATCATGATTTTTTAAATTATGTTTAATTGTTAAGTTTGATTGGATTTTCTATTTTCCTATATTTGCAGTCCTAAATTGTGATATTATATCATCTTAGATAGTTATATTTCAGAACTAGGACATAAATGCTCCTCGTGGTTTGAGGAGTACAGAGGAATATATTGTGAGGTCCTGGCATCTTGAGCTAGCGTTACAATGGCGGTAGGGAACTTTAAGGGACAGTAGACATAATTTCAAGTGACCCTATTTTATTTACATAGTGTCATGTCCGATTTACTACGGTACCCTTCAACAGCAAAGATGTTAAAGTTATTTTTGTTTTTAGAAATATTGATAATTTTCTATTGTGGGTTTCTGTAGAAGTGATTTGTGTATTTAGTCTGCAGAGACAACGAATTTAATGGTTCCTTCGTGAATCCGACATTCGATGCTTTTTTAAATTAAGAATCACTTTAAGTTAGGCAGTGAGTCCTTAATCTAGTTGATTTTTTCAAGTTAACATTATTAACGATTATGGATCAAAAAAGACTTAAGAGCCAAATGTTTGAAATAACAAAATTTTAATTTGTATTTTTATTTTTCTTCTTTTCTCACTGAAGACTTCTGTGACGTTCAATCATAAGTACTTGTTTTAGAAAAGACAATATTTCAAATAATTTTTGTACTGTATAAAATTAGGGCTGTACGCTATTTTGCTTTATTTTGCGGAGAGAGAAGATGCATTATTGGAACCTTCAAATAGATTTTAGTACTATAGATGGCAACGTAAAATTTGTACACTAGTTGTATTCTGACGTCACAAGTGTCAATTCAGTTTTTGTGTTCGACAAAATTATTAATAATAGTGATTATTTTAGAATACAGTGTTTATCTTACAGTAAAATATGTGCAATTTTCTTTATTTTTTGTTTTCACATTTATTTATCTAATCTTGGTAAAACTGTCAACTAATGTAAGACAATTTCGTTTCCTTGTTTATTTGACACTTGTGACGTCGTGCATAATTGGTCCATTTCTCTGTTGCCACCTATTGTACTTGATAATCTATTTGGGAACCTTAAACTTGAATTCCACCTGTAGTTCTTCAGTTTTATACTAATTTGTAAGAGTTTTACCTGTATACGCTAAATATTTAAAAAAACATCTGTTATTTTTTCCATTTCTTGGTAGATTTATTTAGTATGTATAATTGTTAATTCTTTCAGTTTAACATGGACTTTGATGCAGAATTTAATGTGAGTTTAGGTTTGGGTGAAATCAAATTTGTGTTTGAAGGAATTGAACACCCGACTCAAACTCTAATTTAATTTTAGCAACCTGATAGTGTCAACCTTAATAAAAACTTTCACTATTTTCTATTTGATCTCGCAGAATTCAACCTTTTAACTACAAAGTTTACATTATCATTTATCAGGTCGCTAAGAATTAGGTATTAGAAGTTCGAGTTTGAAGCTTTTAATATAGGGAGAATTTTTTAACTATTATATCGTTAGAAAATTTAACCGGTTTTAGAGGTTCTCCCTGTTTTTCATAAGATGGTGGCGCACTGTTTTTCTTTTTGTTAATTAAAGTGCAATAAAGGGAATACGGTGTTAAGTTAACACACTCATAACAGTTCAAAGGAAGGTTTTAAAATTTTGAAAGTAACTTTTAGAAAACTTTTTTTCCTTTTTAAGATGTAACCTTAAAAGGTAACAGGGATCATTTTCAAATTCAAGAGAAAATTTCTGTCTTTCAGCCCTGCACCTTAGGCAAAGGTTTTTGAAGTTAAGTTTTTTTTTCATAAAGTAAGAAACTCGAAAACCAAATGACATGAATAAACTCACAAATGTTATGTCCATCCAAAACTCGTTTTTTAAAATTAACGAACGGTCCCTTTAAATGAGCTGTGTACTGTATGTATAAATTACAGGATGCCGGGGTGGGAAGAAAGGGACCGGTTCTCCTGGACTCCTTGTCTAAAGAAGAACTGATCGCTAAGTGTAAACAGCTGCTACAACTTGCGCAGAAGGCTAAACAGGCGAAAGACGGTATGTGAATGTATTTTTTTTTTTTGGTGTTGAGTTCTTCTCTTTCTTATCGGCAACTTTCTTTTACCTTTAGGCCTGTGGGAAGTTGTCATTTGGGGAAAGGAAATCTTTAATTGGGGGGAAAGTGAAAATATACAGCAATTTGTGCAGAAGGATAAACCGGCTACAGACAAAAAAAACAAGCAATTTTTTATGGTGTTTTGGGTACTTTTCAAAAAACATTTTTTCGGTGGTAATTTTCCAAAGGACATTTTCCATACGTAAAGTTAGACTGAAAAGAAAAGATGCCAACGGTTTATGATGGTTAGGGAATGTTTTAGACATGAGGCTAGGTTATGCCGGGGGGGGGGGGGGCGGCTTAGCTCGGAGATACCAATATGGAAATTGATCATTGGGAAGTGGATACTTGGGAAATTGTGCCCACGGGATGTTTTCTTGGGAAATTTTTAAAATAAATTTTACCTAACATATTTTTCAAAACTTATGTTTTAGTTTATAAATTGGTGGTTTTTTTTTAACTTTTCTGTAATATACTTTTAGTTAACCTTTGTACTGTGTTTAGTTAGTGTGCTAGCTTGTTAACTTATTCACAAAATGTTCCTCACTATCTCCTGTGCAATTTATAGTGAGTAACATTTTTTTTAACAACAACCACATAATATATTAGGATTTTGTTTCAGAAATGGTTTTTTTAATTTTAATTTTGTGTTTAAATTATGTTTTAACATTCTTGGAATCTAATTTCTTTAATGTTTTTTGTTACTTGTACTCCCCCCCCCCCCCCAATTTAGTCCATGGCTTGCCTGTGTAGTACCTTTAGATATCTTGAAACAATTAAAGTTAAAACTTTAATTTAGATTTTGAAATGTTAATGATTTTATTTTAATGGCGGATGATTTCTAGATTTGGCGAAGAAATTTGAAGAGCTTGCGGCGGAGGGAAGGGTTGAGGCGGAGAAGCGGAAGTCGGAGAAGGACAAGGATGAAGAGAAAATTAAGAATTTAGAATCCAAGAACGAGGAATTGATTGCTGGACAGGATCAGATCCAGGATCTGTTGGAAGCTAAACAACGGTAAATTTTTTATGGGAAAATTATTAACAATGATCAATTCCAAAACTGAGGATTTATTCCATTGATTATAAAAATCTCGATTGATACTAAATTTCTATTTTTTTCAACAAGAATATTATGGGGGTTTCGGGCTAAATTTTGAAAAATTTTAGTTAAGTGATAATTTATTTATATAGAAAAGTTTAAATAACATTTTTGATACCGAGCAGCATTATTGTTCGGGGGTTCCCTGTCAAATGTCCCTGATTTGTTTTGAATTGCTTTGATTTGCTCTGATTTGCTCTGATTTGCTCTGATATGCTCTGATATCTTGTTCCGTAAAGGGACTATCAAAAATAGGGCATGTCCGATTCACTATGATTCACTTAAAACGTTCGTTTCAGCCAAAATTTAAACATACTAGAAATTCAAGGCGCTTCGTGCCCCTCTTTCAAGGCGTGTAGGGCGCTTCGCGCCCATCTTCTATTTAAATTGTGAACATGTTCTTTTTGTTTACATTTTAAAACAAAGAAGAAAAAAAATTTGCGGATTTAAAAAAAAAAAATCACAGATTTTCAAGAATTTAAATTTTTTTACAAAATTAAAAACCTTTAAAACACTTTTTTCTAATTTTTATCATTCATAAACCTTCCCTGTGGTCACGTGATGTCCCACAAAAAATTTGGGCCCGATCGGTTCAACCGTTTTGACGTTTATTGGATACAAACAAACAAACAAACAAACAAACAGACAGACAAGCCAAATTTTTGTATAGATTGGGTTTCTTGCAGACATTATCTTGTATAATCTCGTATTTATATGCAGAAGAGATCGACTAATAAAGGAAATCGACAGAATGAAACACTTTTTAATATAAAACACGTCTCAGATAGAGGGTTAAAGAGTACCGTTGTGAATCGAACATTTGAATAATTTGAAAATAACATCCCCTGTCTTTTTATATTAATAAATATGTCCTAATATTGCAGGCAGCTAGATCGGATTAGTAAAGAGAATGAGAGTTTACTCCAACAGATTGATGCATATAGTGAGGAAGCTAGGCTGGCCGGTCAATCTAAAGCTAAGGTTGAAACAGACCTGAAAGAAAATAAATCCAAGATGGCCGACCTAGAGAAGAAAGCAGGGAAAGCTTTGGAATCAGAAGCTGCATTGATCTGCGCAAAGGAAACTGAAAAAAAGCAGAAGGATAAATTGTTGAAGATGGAGAAAGATATGAAGAAGAAGGACGAAAAAATAACAGACTTGGAGCAGAAGCTAAAAGCTGAGGAGAAAAAAGCGGCAGATTTAGTTAAGTTAGATTTAGATAAAACTGCAAAGATAAAGGAACTAAACGAACACCTAGAGTCGTTGAAAACTAAATGCAATGAAGATCATGATGTTTCACTTAAAGAAACAGAAATTATACAACTTAAAGATATGATTGAAATTTTAGAGAAGTATAAAGAAAATGCCGAAGATCTTCAAACCAAAATGCAAGAGGAGACTTCTAGCTTGAGAAATGAACTTAAAGAACTGGAGTCAGGTAAAGTTGAAACTCTAAAGGAATTGGAGGAAGCAACATCTCGTTATCAGTTCCTCGAGACGGAGAAGAAGGTTTTAGAATCTACTAATGAAGGACTTATCTCCGAACTCAATCAGTTAAATGAGGAAGTAAAGAAGAGAGGAGAGAAGATAGGTAGGCTAGAGCAGAACTTACAAGAACAGCAAAAACAGCAAGAAAGCAAGAAACAGGAAGAGATAAAACTTCAGGAACAGCAGGACAAGGAGAGACTGGAGAAGGAAGAGGAGAAACAGCAAGAGAAGGAAACTGAACTCCTAGAACAGTTGTTAACAGTAAAGAATACTTTGAAAAAAACATATGCGGACCTTGATGAAGCACGGAATGAGAAGGATAGATTATATGATCTGAAATCCAACCTGGAGAAGAAGGTTGAAGAACTTGAGGAAGAGTCTAAGGATCAAGGATTAATGATTGAATCACAGAAGAAGGAAATCTCTAGTCTTGATTTCGAACTGTCGGAGTGCAGGGATAGGATGAGTAAGACTGAGATAAATTTGACTGAACTTAAGTTAAAACTTCTGGAGGAGTCGGAAAAAGTTCTGCTAAATGTTGCTCTTGTTGAAACACTAAGAGAAGAAATTAGCAAAGGAAATATAGAAATAAAAACTCTAACTGAATCGCTGAACCAGATTAAACAGGAAAAGGACGAGACTCAAAAAATCCTCGAGTTGAAAAAAGAAGAATTAGCTAAAGCCACAGAAAATCTAGAAAAGAATTCTAAAGAAATGAACGATCTTAATGCCAGAAATGAAGAAAATGAGAAGAATAAAGCTCTAGAAGAAAATATACGTCGGAAAGAGGAAACCATCGAAGCATTGAAGGTGGACTTAGATAATAAGGAAGGAAAAATATCATTTCTGCGTAAGGAGAAGGAAAATCTAGAAATTAAGATGAATTCCTGCATAGAGCAATTAAAAACTGAAAAAAAGGATCTAGAAATAGAAATTGAAGATTTTAAGAAAAATAAAATGGATGGAAGCAAGTCGGAGGAAACCCTTCAGGATATGAGCAGAAGGTATGATCAGTTGTTAGTGAAAAATACTGAACTTGCCGAGTTGCACAAGAACTTTATAGAAGAAGGGAAAGTTTTAGAAAAAGATTTAAGCGCTCGTCTGACTGAAATTGCTGCACTGACGACAGAACGAGACAACCTTGCTCAAGATATACAAAATGTGAAGACCGAAAATGAATCGTTGAAAAGCGACCATGAAAATATCACGGAAAACTTAAGAACTGAGTTAAAAGAAATGGAAACCAGATTAAAAACAGCTCTCCAGGAATCAGATTCAGCTAAGGCTAATTCAAGTGACCTGAGCAAGCAAGCCCAAATTCAATCAAATAAATGCCAAGAGTTGGAACAAGCTCTGAGTGAGATGAAAACCAACTTGACACTGAAGTTGGAAGAACTGACTAACATTACTTCGTTTAAAAACAATCTTGAGATTGAATTAAAAACCAAGACGGAGAACTTGGTTTCCTTGTCCCAGGTTTCCCAAGATCTCCAGATGGAACTAGAGAAGAAAACCAAGGATCTTGACTCCAGGTGCCAGGAACTACTAAAGAAAAAGCAAGAACTGGAGATTTCTAACAAGAAGTGTTCAGACCTGAGTTGTGAACTGGACAGTGTCCGGATACAGACTGGAAACAGTATGAACAGTAGTGCTCAGGAGCTGGATGAGAGTAGGAGTGAGATCATGAGCACCAGCACCGTCAGCAGGGTCGAGGAGTTCTCAAGGATGAAAGATGTTGAAGACTCATTCGAGGATCGATATTCAAAACTCAAGCTGGTCGCCATTAAACTAAAAAAGAAGGTGAATGAACAAACCAAGATTATTGAAGAATTAGAACGGATGAAATCCAAACCTAAACCTGAGTCTGAACCTACAGGAATGAAAGATAAGATTGCAACCTTGACCAAGAACTTTACTCAGCTCCAGTCTGAATATGACCAGGCTGTGGATAAGATTGACTACCTGGAGAAGAAAGTGAAAGATCTGACCAAGGATCTTGAAACCATGATGACGGAAAGCATGACCAACAAACAAAATGCAATGGAAGCATCACAGAACCTTCTCTCCGCTAAATCCGAGATCACTAAATACTCCGGACTGGTGAGGGAGAAGGAGGTTGAACTAACCTCTCTCAGGGTTACCCTGGACCAGGAGCAGAAGGAGAGAAAGTGTGTAGAGCAGAAAGTAAAAGAAACCGGTTTCCTGGAAAACCAATTAAAGGAGAAATCAAACCAGATATTCTTGATGGAGGAAACCCTGTCTACTCTGAAGCTGCAGGTTGGACAGCTGGAGGAAACTCTGGTTCAGGAACAGGAGAGGTCGGAGCGAGGACAGAGTTCTCTATCCTCCACTAGAGCTCAGCTACATGAGGTAAAACTTTACCAAACCTCTAACTCGCCAATATGTAGGCCAATTTCGAAATTTTAATAATAAAAAACTTTTTATTTTACACTTTTTATGATAAACTCAAATTAGACTTGTGACTGTGAAAAACAGAACCTAAATTATAGTTCAGCATAAATCCGTAAAAAATACTTCTAATGGGTCACTCTGTTGCAAACAAACTTTTAATTAACGACATCAGACCTTCTTAACCCTCTCACCAGTTGAAAAAAATGGTTGAAAATCTTCCAGATTTTTTTTGCCAATCTAAAGTAAGTAAGTAAACAAGTAAGTAAAGATTCATCCCATTCTTCTATGTAAAACAGTCAGATAAAGAGAAAATATTTATCAAATCAAAGAAATTTAAAAAATCTTTTTCGGTCCAAGGATCTAACCCTCAGGGACATCTCGTAGATGTCAGCTTATGTACCTTATTCGGAAAATTGTCTAATAGATGAACAATCCCTTTAAACAATCAAATTTTCTTGCATCCTAGGTTGAGGTAGAGCTGGTCAAGAAGAGAGGAGAAGCAGAGGAGCTGAGTAAAAAGTTTGAAGAAACTATGAGAATGTACGAGGATACTAGAAACCAACTAGCAACAGTTCTTGCCAGGTTAGATAGATAGATAGATAGATAGATAGATAGATAGATAGATAGATAGATAGATAGATAGATAGATAGATAGATAGATAGACAGACAGACAGACAGACAGACAGACAGACAGACAGACAGACAGACAGACAGACAGACAGACAGACAGACAGACAGACAAGCCTTTATGAGCTAGAAATTAACTGTACTTTCTAGGTTTGCTATTATAGATCCAAACAATTTTTTTAGGGTTGTATAAGTCCATCTTTGTATTTCCTTCCCTAAACTCGACAAATAAAGACTTTTTTAAATACTGCAATCTTTAATACCATGGCAGTGGCAAAAAAGTCGGACTTATCTATTTTTCAGTCCAGGAGTAAATATTGTTTCCATTTAGTCAACTTGAGGTTTAATTATACTGGAGTTCTCTGAATCTCTAACTATGTATGAAGTTGTGCGTGGTGTCCAAAATATTTTTCTTTTTTCTGCTGCATTGAGAAAATGAATAATTTTTCTTTAGCAAGTTATGTTAAAAAAATTTCTTTTTTGACTCTTTGATTTCTCTCCCCCTGAATTTTTCACTAAATCCCCTCTTCTTGACTCTTTGATTTCTCTCCCCCTGAATTTTTTACTAAACCCTCTCTTCTTGACTCCTTGCTTTCACTCCCCCTGAATTTTTCACTAAACCCTCTCTTCTTGACTCCTTGATTTCTCTCCCCCTGAATTTTTCACTAAACCCCCTCTTCTTGACTCCTTGATTTCTCTCCCCCTGAATTTTTCACTAAACCCCCTCTTCTTGCCTCTTTGATATCTCTCCTTCTGAATTTTTCACTACACCCTCTCTTCTTAACTCTTTGATATCTCTCCTCCTGATTTTTTCACTAAACCCTCTCTTCTTAACTCTTTGATATCTCTCCTCCTGATTTTTTCACTAAACCCCCTCTTCTTCATTCTTTGATTTCTCTCCTCCTGATTTTTTCACTAAACCCCCTCTTCTTCATTCTTTGATTTCTCTCCTCTTGAATTTTTTTTGTTTTTGTTTTAGGAATGACAAGGTTGAGGGACAAGAACGGAGTAAAGTTGGTCAGCTTGAGAGACAAGCTCAATCTTTAGAGCTCAGATTACAGGTTAGAAATTGTTAAATATATTTAAAGTTTGTTTGTTTGTATGTCCAATCATAACTCAGAAACTTCTTAACGGATTTGCCTAAAATTTTGATAGAGGAACTCTGTTGAAACACGCACATGTTTCTAGCTAGGGTTTAAAGCTCATAGTAGAATAGGGTTACTCTTATAAAGAAAACTTTTCCGAATGAGGGAAAAGAAAACAATTGTGTTGAAACGTCTTGACTATTTGCATAGTAGCCTATCAAAGAAAAGGAATCCAACTTTTTAATGTTAACTGGTTCAAAAGTTTATGCAACGAAGTTATACATAAACATAATAAAAATTCGAAAAAAATTGAGCAAAAAATTCATGCATAAACTTTTGGGTGGCACTATAAATTGTCAACAATAATAACAATTTTTGCCTGTTATTAAATAAACAAGTTCAAACCACTCGTACAAAACTATCTTTACCACTTTCAACAATTATTATTCCTTATTTTTTTTCTTCAAAACTCTCTTCTCTTTTTAGTAATATTTAAGGTTTCCTGCTTTTTCAACCACTATTCTTATATTTTCAATGATCATTGCTCATGCTCATGTATTAGCTCTGCTTACTTTAATTATTATATTTCTAAGAAATTTTAATTTTGTAGAATATTATTTTTAGAACAAGACAGCTGAATGTAAGAATCAGGAGGTTGAACTGGAGAAGGTTAGAATTGAGTTTGAGAAATACAAAGTTCGGGCGCAGAGCGTCCTGAAGCAGGCAAAGGAGAAGGGGGAGCAGGAGGTCGTGAGGGGGAACCAGGACGAGATGAAGACCATGGAGAAGATCAACACTGGACTGGAGGAGAGGATGAGAAGCTTGATGGTTGAGTTAAAGACGGTGCAGATGGAGAAGGGAGGGTTACAGGAGGAACATGATAGACTGATGGAGAGACAATCTCTTCTACTCCAGGTACAAGCTTAGCTCAGATTAGTTTCACTAAGCTTAGCTCATATAAGTTTGAATCAAGGCAACCCTGCATTCAAAGTTGTCATTACTTATTAATAAGTGATTTACATCGGTATTCTGAATCTCGATCTAACTATTATCAACCTGCACTGTTCTTAAAGGGAGTGACCGGCAATGTATGGGGGTTTAACTGAGTATGCAGTAGTTTGACATTTTTAAGGATTCATTTGAGACATATAAAACGTTTCCACGATCTATAATTACTGAGTTTAAGTGCAAAGTCGATGTTCAAAATCATGAATTTGGGTGGATATGAATTCAGAATAATTTTTTTAATTATTAAATAACGACGACGAAAAAATAGAGTAAAAATTATACTGTAAACTAGCTAGATGTTTAGGAACGTATTTCTCAAAAGAAGTTTGTCAAAAATTCCAGAAAATCGGGAGAAAATCTTTGTGAATAATGAGAGATTATAGAAACTAATAATTGAATAAGATTACTTATTTTTAATGATAAAAGTTAATTTTTATTTTCTCAATCTGTTTCTTAACAACTAATTAGTTTACTGTTGAATTTTTTACATTTTTTGTCGTCGTTATTTGATAATTTAAAAAAAAACGATTCTGAAAACGTACCCACCCAAATTCATGATTTTGAGTGTCGACTTTGCGCTCAAACTCAATAAATATACGTCGTAGAAATGTTTTAATTGTCTCCAATGAATCCTTAAAAATTGCCACAATACTGCATGCAGTTCAGCCACCATACATTGCCGGTCATTCCCTTTAAATTCATGAATGAATTTTCCTAAAAATAAAAGTCAACAAAAGAAATATTTATAATAGATATAATAGTTCATATTTTAAAGAAATTAACATCCCCTTCCCATCCAAACCTAGTGAAATTTCCCACTCTCTGATAAATAATAAAATTAAAATAAAACCTCATTAATACAATTCTGACTGTCGGAGATAAGACAAGACAAAAAGTTGAATTATCACCATTTGTTAGGAGATTGCTGGTAAAGAGAAGACCTGGAGATCCAAGGTTGAGGAGATGGAGAAGAAGCAGAAGATGGTTGAGCTGGACTTGGAGAAGGGGGCGGAGAAAGTGTCCCACCAGATGGAGGAGATCAAACAGAAATATATGCAGGACCTGGAGATTGCCAGGTAGAAACATGTTTTTTAAGATTCTTCTTAAACCGGTTCCTAAAAGTCTGAATTGACCAGTCAAGAATATTTTTCAGTGGAGTATTAATCTTTAGATCAAGTCAACCACCTCGATTATTCCGAAATCTGAGGGACTGTCGACATGATTTCCAGACACCTTGAGATAGACGTACGGTTTATAGCGACGAACATAGTTTCATTTCTGTAAATTTCGTTCTCTGTCTCTGCTGCATCCAGTTATTTTTACAATAAACTGCATTTAAAAGTTTCCCTTTTTTAGTAAAACAAGGATATCTTCCTCATTGTCACTCAGATTAAGGTTTATTTAAAGGGTACAGCTGTGTATCCGCCACGAAACTAATTTTGAGGGTCAAGTGTAATGGCGTGACTGGTGATTGAGTTTATTTTCCAATTAAGGGAGAAAAATTTATTTTTATCTTTTTTATTATTTTTCTTTAAGAAGTGAAGTGAATTAAATTGTACTCTAGGGCATCCTACAGTACTGAGATCGGTAGATTGAAGACACAGATAGATGTTGCTGAGAACGAGATTGTTAGACTTGAGTTTGTTCTGCAGAAGGAGCAGGTTCGTCAGGGCTTAGGATTTTATTGAACTGAACCAAGGGTGTTAATAATTATATTTTTTTTTATTCTTTCCCCCCATGTAAAATTTTTTTAATTTCCTTTACTACCTATCCCCCTTCCCTTTTGTTTCACCCTTCCATTTCCTCCTTCCCTACCTATCCACTTTTTCTTTTTGCCTTTTCCTTCCCTTTTCCTTCCCTTTTCCTTCCCTTTTCCTTCCCTTTTTCCTCCCATTTTTCCTTCCCTTTTTCCTTCCCTTTTTCCTGCCCCTCTTTGTTCCTATATTTCTGTCCCCTACGGTGAACAAACATTATTTTTTAAGAAAAAAAGTACCACTGACAAATTGTTTTTTAGGAGGCCAGAAGGTATGCTGAGGAGGCTGCTGGAGCCCAGCCGCCAATGGAGAGGTTGGATATATCTCAGATAGAACGCGAGGCTGCTGAGGGTCAAGAGGTTGAGCCTCCTTTAGGAGGAGGAGGATCTATACAATCTCCTCTACCTCTAGATCAACTGCTTGCACAGGGAGATGGTGCAGGTAGGAATTTTGCGTATTTTAAGAAATTTCAACGTTATCGTAAAGGGACTGTCTAGTGTCTACGTAATTTCAAGTGATTCTTCAATTAAAGAGGTACATTAATGAGAAAGTTGTTTATCTACCTTTAAGGAATTTAAGTAGATTGAAAACTATCAATTTTCCTATAGAAATAAATAATTTTATTTAGACAAAGACAAAGACTGAGTACCATTGTGAATCGGGCGCTTAAGTCTTGAAATGTTGGATCACTTCATTTCAATAGATACTCATGTTTTTTTTTCAAAGTAGATTATTCTTAATTGTGTGTTCTATGCAAAAGTGACTTGCAGAAACATTGGAGGAATTATAAGAATTAAAAAGTTAGAAAAACGATGATACCGTATATAAGTTTTAAGGGTACCGATGTGAATTGTCCCTTTAAGTGAACCTCTGTCTTCTATTTATAAAGTGCCATCTGTAACCATTCATAACACCTTAACTTAGTAGGATTGAGATGTTTTTTTTCTATTTTATAAATTGTAAACTGTTGATGTACGGATAAAAAATACCATTGACATTACTTTAATTAAGGATTTTATTTTGCTCTTTTCTTTCCTACACATAGATATAGCAAATTTATATTTCCACTAGTTTATCAAAATATTTGCTTTCATGGCGAAGTGGTAAAGTTTTTAAATCGACCGCTTTTTTATAACAAAAAGTACCATTTCATGATTTAGCAAAGGAGAAATCCAAAAATAAATAAATAAATGAATCTTTAATATAATTATAGCAATATAAAAATAGTTTCAGCTTGAGCTTCATTTCATTTTCATGAGCCGCATTATATTCTCCATGAGCCGCATTTTTGCTGATCTGGTGTTTATTCAGTACCATAGTATCTATCTCCGTAGTCCCCTAGACCTGGGACTATATACTTGTCCTCGTTTAGATGGGAGTCAACACACCCTACAGCATATTAGAGGATCTGTAAGCGCAATTTAAAATGTCCTCCGTGCAACGATAGCAATACCCTCTTCTCAATATGGTACCCTTAGAATCTTAGTCTGGTTTATTATAAAGTAGATATCAATGTTGATAATTTTGAAAACTGATTACATTCAATTGTGGTTTATCTAAAAAACTGACTTACTTCTGCATTTCTACTTTAAAATAACATAGAAAACGACAATATCTTGCACATTATTGATCACATAAAAGTTTCAAGGGTACTGTTGTGAATCGAGCAACGTCACCTTTGCACGGAGAGTCACTGAAATTGCGTTTACCATTAAAAATATTCACAAATAATTATAAAATATTCTCGGTAAAATAAACAGCCATGCTCTTTCTTGATTGCAAATTCAATATCAAGTTTAGGGGTTGGGGAATTTTAGAATTTTAGAACTTTAAACCCCTCTAATGGGGAATTAAATTTAAGGGTCATTTTTCCAATTTATTAACCTGTTATAATATGGATTTCTGGGAACAGTTTTGCCATTGCTTGTAGCCCTTCAGGGCAACAGATTAAGTTTAGGAACATGATATTCTGAGTGGAAACTCCGTTCTCCTTCAAATAGAAATTAGGAATAAGATTATCATAATATAGAGTTTTTAAATGGTCATCGTTATCTTTACATTTATTTCAAATGTTACTAATTAAAATTATTAATATGAGATGGAATTGAAACTATAGGAAAGATGCTTTCCAGCCAATTCATCGACAATTCTTGGTAAATCATCTTACCAAACTTTACCTTGATCACCTCAAGCAATCCCTGTAAAGAATGATTTGATTTCAAAAACGTGAATTGAAAACACAGTTATGTTAACAAAGAAGATAACTGGGGTATTGTGAACTGTACATTCTGTGAAAAGAGGAATGAACAGTACACGTGATAAACGAAACCAACTGTTTACTGGTCTAATCCTAACCTTGAGAACTTGAATAGCTCTGATAGCAGATCCAGCAGTGGCTAGCATAGGGTCTACCAGGAGAACAAAACTCTGGTTTATATTCTTAGGTAGTTTCTTGTAGTAGAGTACTGCAGGCTTATCCTCCCTGAACTCAAGTTTAGTGATCAATGGTTTTCAGTTGCATGGTATCAGGATTTAATGGATCCGTAATATTTGTTTGTGTCTGGATCCGGATCCTCAAAAATATTTAGATCCACAGATCCGGATTTAAGTAGGAAAATATCAACTAAAACTTTGAAGGAAAAAAACCTTTTGCCTTAAAAATCCTCTTTTTAGATTCATAAATAAGTAAACAGCAATATTATGAAATATAAATGAAAGAACAACATTTTTAAGACTTTTTTAGACTTTATGAACTTTAGTTGAAGATATGTGTTTCTATTATATAGTCTTAAATTAAACTAATGAATATGAGAGCTAAATCTTTCCCTGGATTCATCTCTCTGAATTAGGATCTTGCCGACAGAGAATCCCGGAGAGAGTACTCTAACAGCCTCCTGGAGAATATCTCCAGATCTGACAATAGACACAATACATACTGGAGGTCCAGGAGTAGGACTATCCACAGGACCTGCAATATTAGAGATATTGTGCTCTGGTAGTACTATATTGCTTGGGTTCTATTTAGTTAGGTTGATACAGGTTAAACTCTTAGATTTACGGAAATGACGACCTAGATGTCTAGGTTGATACAGGTTAAACTGTAAGATTTATGGAAATGACGACCTAGATGTCTAAGTTGGATTAAAAACTTATCAGGGGAGAACGAATGAATCAACTCTGGGACAAATGAAAGAATCCTATCTGCGGTGAATGAATGAATCCTATCTGGGGTGAATGAAAGAATCCTATCTGGGGTGAATGAAAGAATCCTATCTGGGGCGATGAAAGAATCCAATCTGGGGTGAATGAAAGAATTCTATCTGGGGTGAATGAATGAATCCTATCTGGGGTAAATGAAAGAATCCTATCTGGGGTGAATGAAAGAACCCTATCTGGGGCGAATGAAAGAATCCTATCTGGGGTGAATGAAAGAATTCTATCTGGGGTGAATGAAAGAATCCTATCTGGGGTGAATGAATGAATCCTATCTGGGGTGAATGAAATAATCCTATCTGCGGTGAATGAATGAATCCTATCTGGGGTAAATGAATGAATCCTATATGGGTTGAATGAATGAACCCTATCTGGGTTGAATAGATTCATCTTGCTAGAGCTGGATATAAGAATCTTTTCCGAGTTGAACGAATGAAGCTTGTAAGAGCTGGATGAATGAATTTAATTTATGAAGTTCTTTAACCTGTGACAGTTCCGCAGGGTGTTTGAACCTCTCCCTCCACTACAGAAGGAAGACGACATAATGCCTCTTCTCCGAGTATGCGCATCATACGGTCTCCTATTCTTTGGAACTCATCAGCCTTCGTGTCTCTGCAATTATTAGCAATTTTATTTACTGAACAAATATAAGAAATATATATCCTTCATAACTATAAAATCGCCATTGAAAGAAACCCTAATTATAACATTCCTGTATCGTTTTTAAAGGAGCATAATGTTTCACATAGATTAATTTATATTACTTACTTGTTTCTTAGTTTGAGAAGAAGATATGAAACAGCCCTTGATTCTACAACTGTCAGATTTGGATGGTCTTGAGCCATTTTAATCTGAAATTGTTTAGTTCACACAGATAGTTAATAATCAACTAGTGTTTTTACCAATTTAAAGGAAAATAAGATTCTTGTGGTTACGCCCCCCCCCCCCTCCTCTCCATACTGTTGCCATGTCTAAGTTCAAGTTGTCCTCGTGAAATCCTAAAAACGGGTTCAGTGAACTTGGTTTCAGAATGGAATGTATATCTTCTAAATCTCCTAAACTTGATTTGAACATAAGTACACGGAGTACACTTGTGGCGTGTGTATGGTTTCTGCTAAACTGGGAGTTTTCTCTACTTCTCTCATCAACACTGACAGGGTTAAATACTCCCTCTAATTATATTTAGGATAGAATATGACAACGTAGGGTCGTTCTTTCTGAGAGAAGTAATAATGTGTTTTTTTGTGTCTTAATATTTTACATGTTTTTCACGTGGGTCGTTTATACAGTAATTCCAACACACGCGATATCCATCGGCAATTCTTCTTAATGAAGAATATTGAATGTTATTATTACATTTTAATTTTCTTTATAACGTTGGAAATGATATTTTTTTTATGAAAGGTTAAACTTTCAGACAATTCTTGAACATTTTGAAAGATGAAGTTTTGCGGATTTTTGGAAATTTTTTAGGACATTTACAACTTTTCTCAAGTCATGGGTGTATCTGCATTTGAACTAATGTCGTTTGAACTATTGATCATTCTAACTACTGATAATGACGTCATTTCAGCTGTAGTTCAAATAACACATTATTTATTCATTTGAGATATGAAGTTTATAAAATTTTTATATTTCATGAAAAAATATAGGTCAAACAATCATCGCAAAATAGTTTAAATGATTAAACAATATTTCACAGATTGACATAAAAATAATTCAAATGACAAAGCAAATAGTTTAAATAAAGTATTTAATAGTTCAAACGAGAAAAAGTAGTCCAAATGAGCAAAACAATTAGTTTAAATTAACCAAGGTAAATATCTTCCAAATGAGCAAAAAAATAGTTCAAATGAACCAAAAAATAGTTCAAATGAACCAAAAAATAGTTCAAATGAGCTAAAAATTTGTTCAAATGATCAAAAAGAGTTCAAATGAACAAGAAATAGTTCAAATGAGCAAAAAATTAGTTCAAATGAGCAAAAATAGTTCAAATAAATCAAAAAGATAGTTCAAATGAGCAACTATTTTTTAGCTCACTAGCCTTAGAGGGCCGCCCATCTTCTAAATTAATTGTGAACATGTTCTCTTTGCGTACATCGTAAAACAAAACAAAAATAATTCGCGGATTTTCACAAAAAATTTCGTGGATTTTCAAAATTTTCAAAAATTTAATGAAGATCAAATTTTGATGGAGACAAATATTTGAAATTTTGATCATTCATGAACCTTCCTTGGGGTCCCTAGATGTCCCACAAAAAATGTGGGCCCGATCGGTTCAGCCGTTTTGACGTTTATTGGATACAAACAGACAGACAAACAAACAGACAGACAAGCCAAATTTATATATAGATTTGAACTAAATATTTTTGTTCATTTGAACTTTTTTTTTGCTTATTTGAACTATTTTTTTGTTCATTCGAACAAATTTTTTGTTCATTTGAACTATTTTTTTGAAACTTTCTTTCTGGGCCAAGCGCCGCGGCTAAATCAGGCTCTAAGGGCCGAGCGCTGCAGCTAGGATAGGCTAGGGAGCTTAGCGCTGCAGTCACATGACCAATAATATCAATCGTTGGTCAACTATTTATTGGCTCATTTGAACTATGTTTTTGCTCATTTGAACTATGTTTTGTGCTCATTTGAGCTATTATTTGGCTCATGGAACTATTTTTGGCTCATTTGAACTATTTTTTTTGCTTATTTGGACTAATTTTTTTTTGCTTGTTTGGACTATTTTTTGCTTATTTGGACTATTTTTTTGCTCATTTGAACTATTTTTCTGCTCATTTGAACTATTTTTTGGCTCATGCTTCCAAGTTAAGTGGATTGACTTTTACAGGGAAAACTCCAGGCAAAGCTGGATTCCCAAGTTATAGTACCTACCTATATGGATAGACTTAAACTTATACTGAAGAGTAATACATACAGTCAAACTGCTATTGAATATTATCTTATCATATGCATAGCTAGTAGTCTAAATATTAGCGCTGATGGGAGGAGAAACTTTAATCTGATTAAACCTTAATATTTCAGGTTTCCAAGACCGTGAGACGGTTCGCAGTACAGCTAGTTCTAGGCAGGGAGGGGACCGCGCACCAGGAGTTGACCGACAAATTGCGCATCTTTCTGCGCTCCTGGCAGAGAGTGAAGCGCAGAACGGGAGATTGGAGAAATTAACAGAGGTTGGTAGATACACGGGATTTTATAAAAATTTTATATTTTTCTGTTACTTGGGTATAGAAACTGCTTTTTCATATACAGGGTGCCCCAATTAGCAATTAAGAGACTACAAAAGGTCGTCTTTGATAGCCATCCAAGGATAATGTGTGTTTAAAAAAAGTTGCACAACTCTAGGAAGTACTTTACAGGAGAGCTTGTGTACGATTTCGTGGTTTGACAGTTTTGGCACAGATTTTGACGCTAGATGTTAAGCATCCTATAACATTTTTGGGGCGTTCTCCTGACAAATTTTATATAATATTCAAAAATAGGGATTAAAAAATGTTGCTTTTAGAATTGTTAAGTATTTTGTTAGAAGATTAATATTTTAGTTGCGTCATTTCTTATAACCACCTTTATATTTTAGGTTGTAAAACAAAAACTAATTTCTATTTAAATCGGACTGTAACCTTGCTCATTTCAAACACGCAGCCGGTCAGCTATCCCTGTTTTAGCCATGCTTTCATTTCTTGATGCCACCATTTTTAACAACATTAAACTAAAATACGTCGCAGGGTTTTCTTTTTTATCGTTGACTTAACGTTATAATAGTACAGTGAGAACCAGAAAACTGTGGAATAGTTAGACGACATTAAAACAATACTTAAGTGCATGTGTGTGATGTTATTACAATGTCCCTATTTTACTATTTCGTCTTCATTTTTCAAAGTTTTCTGGATCTTACTGCAATATTCTAAAATATTGATAAAGTGGCATGTCCGATTAACAACGGCGCCTCATCAAGTGTGAATTAGAAATCAATGTTTTTGTTTTTGAGAACTGGTTATTTCGTTTTTGATTTCTCTTTAATTGTGATTTGTGAATTTCTTGCTTCTAGAAAAAATGGAGAAGCTATCAAAATAAAACAGTTTTCCAACTAGAAAAACGACGCTATCCTCCACATTATTGATAAGATTAATTCAAACAATCTTCTCCTAGGTATTGAAGGAAGAGATCCGAACCTACCAGCGGAGTGAGGAGAGACACAAGCATATAGAGAACCTGGAGTACGTGAAGAACGTAATCTTGAAGTTTCTAACACTAGGCGGAGAAGAGAGGTCTAGGCTAGTTCCTGTCCTCTCAACTATACTTAAACTATCAAAGAAGGAGATTGATCTTATTCAACAAGTTGTAAAAGGTAGAATCTTTGTCTTATTTTAGAAAATTCTAAATTATTTAATGTCGAAATTATTTCAGCTGAAGAGGACAGTAGTGGCGGTGGTGGTGGAGGAGGGGGTGAAGGTTGGGGTAGTTATCTTCATCTCTGGTCTAGTCCCTAGGTTTACTAACCTAGTTTTAGTATTCAACGGGACTACAGTCCTGGTTCTGACATCCAACGGACATGGTTCAGACGTCCTAAAAGGCTAGATTCTTGGTTCTTTGCACCCAACTGTCAGTGGTCTGACGGGACTAAAATCAAGCGTCCCACGGTTTAACGTCCTACAAGCCTACATTTCTGAATTATGACCGTAGCGCCAAAAATCCTGCTTCTTCTTTATTTTTGTTTACATTTTTTCATGAGGTTGTTGTGTGTTAATAATACACATTTATCATTTATACATATTGTACAAGGACTCCTTAATTGTGCATTTTCAGTTTGTAATGTTTTAAATTTTGTTTCCCTTGTTTCTTTGTGATTAAACTGTGATAAAATAAATAAATATACGTATCTATTAAATTTCAACTTATCTCTGCAAAACTCTTAAACATATCTCTTGTTTCTTGTTCTTTTTGGACCTTATATAAAAGTATAGTCATTGGTCCGAACATTTTTAAATAGAGATTTTATGTACGTATGTTAGCATGCACACACAATATATATATATATATATATATGTGTATATAATATGCATATGTATAGTATTTATATGTATATAAGAATGAATTCTCAAGGTGTAAGTCTTCCTATGGGAAAATTTATCTTTATAAAAAAATTAAATTATTCACTTTACACGACACACGTATTAAGTTCTTTGAAAAAGTTTTCGGAAACGAAGTCCTAAAATTTGTCACCAAAAAGTCTTGTGAAATATTTTTTCATTTTCTATGAAAAAGTCCCAGGAATCTTAAACACGGGACTTGCAATTTACATTTTTTACAATTTTTTTCCTGCGACTTCCTGACATAAATTCGTAACCTCAATATAAATAAAACCCTCCGGTAATGTTACTTCTTCGGTCCTAAAGCATTTCCGTCCTACGATACGTCCGCTGCGGCCACATTTATCAAATTGACAAAGTGATTGCCGATCTGTGGGGTTAGGTTAGGTTAAAAAAATTTCCTGGGCCGAGCGCTGCGGTTGGGGGGCTGAGGGCTGCGGCATCCCATCAAATTGATAAAAGTAATAGCTAATATGTGGTGTAAAGACAATTTCCGGGCCGAGCGCTGCGGCTACTGCATAACACATCTGACCTACGAAATGTGTGCATTTTTTCATACAGATATGTCATCCGACCTACATAAGTTGTGCATCAGACATATAAAAGTTGTGCATCCGATCTACAAAAGTTGTGCATCCGACCTACAAAAGTTGTGCATCCGACCTACAAAATTTGTGCATCCGCGACCTACAAAAGTTGTGCATCTGACCTACAACAGTTGTGCATCAGACCTACTAATGTTGTTCATATGACCTACAAATTCAGTGCATCCGACCTAAAAAAATCGATGCATCCAACCTACAACACAGTGGGTCGGATACACCAACTTTTTTTCAATTGAGTGTGTATCCGGCATACAGCTCATCGGACCAACAGCAGCTAAAAGCTGCTGAAAAACCACGTGAGGGTAGGTCCGAAGTATCGTAATAGCGGATGTAATACAATTACTCTTCATAAGGCAGTAATGTCGTCCTTGAGTTCCTTATTTTATCAGACTGTCGGAAATGAGCCGACTGTCTCATGAAGGAACTTATTTATAGCCTCGAGAAGATTAAATTGATTTTTAATATAAAAAGCCTGCTTTGAATTAGTTATTGCAGTCTCAGAAATTCAGAAAACATCGTCTTTCTAACGTTTATTTTTTATTTTCTTCCTCTCAAAATTGAGTTCATCTTTTTTACAAAATTTACAAAACTATTTAGCGCCCTTCTTGGAGGGCTGGAAGGCCAGCCACAACATTTCTTCGTCCGAGCCAACTCCGAATGCTCGTCCTTGCAATATTATCTTTGGCACGTGTAACACTTAAAGAAGTAACATCTGAAAAACTCTGGCTTTTTAAAAGTTTTCAAGTTCTATGTCCGTTTTTACTCTTACTAGAATCATTTCGAGTTTACAAAACAATATTTTTGTTGTTTATAATAATATCGAAAGCCATAGAATTTTTCCATTGGAAAATGGCAAATATCTTACTTACACTTAGCTTAAATCTTTTTGTATGCCCTTTGGCCGGATTTTTTTAAAAACAACTCCAAACTCAAGGAATTCAATACTTTGTCAGAAGAATACTGCAAGGATGAGAGCTTTAGAAGGGTATAGATGAGAAAATGAGGAGAATGCGGCTCAGACGAAGAAATGTTGTGGTTTATTCCACCCTAGAGTCAGTGCTCCCCTCCCTCCCAATCTGGATTATCTATCCGTCCCAGGTTGGGATCCACCACATATTCTCTCCGCAAACTAAACAAGTTCAGAATTAGATTCAGAAAGGAATTGAGTTTTTGCCACAAACTCTGATTTTTAATCTCTATATCTTTGTAACCCAATGTCGTAGACCTTAGATATTTCAAACTATTAATACTTATAGATAAAATAATCCAAGTTTGAAATATCAAAGGTTTGCACCATCAGATTGCAAAGATATTGGGAGCAGAAGATTTGAGATTGCGGCAAAAACTCAATTCCTTTATTGTCAACGTCTAATTTTTAAGAATTAAAGTTTTGTGAATTTGCTTTCAAGAATTATACATGTAAAAGTAGGTTGATTGCTAATAGTATGCTGCAAACTAATTCAAAGATCAACGACGATCTTCAAGTCTTCTTTTAACTGTCATATTACGTGGGACATTCTGTATTAAAGAGATAGGGAAGGTATGCCGCCATGTATCCAAATTATTTTCCGTTCTAAGCTGAATTTAAGATCAAAAATTTGTGGCATGGAAGGTTGATAATTGGGGCTCATTTGAGATGGAAAATAAAAAAAGCTAATATTGTGCATGGATAGCTATATAATTGTGGCTAGGGCTGGGCATGTTCCGACTTTTTTTTTAATCTTTCCGTTCTAGAACGAGGGCACTCAGTTAGATCGTTTCGTTCTTGTTCTTTCTTTTCAATTGTTCTGATCTGGTTCCGTTCTTGGTGTTCTTAGTCAAAGAACAGTTCCGTTCTTAGTCAAGACATTCTGTTCTCACAAGAACTTGTCCATCCCCCTTTCCGGCCTTGAACAGGGGGGTGTACAATGTGTAGATATAGAAAAAAAAATAATCAATTTTCATAATCAATAAACGATGAGACACTAGTGTGTCCCAATAAACATTAAAATTAAGTGATCACTTTTTGGATCTCTGATCTTGCACAATCCCTCACTGTTTTAATACACACGTTGCCATTGAAAAAACTATCGAAATTCAGAGACAGGTCAAGTCGTCTGACGTCTCCATTTTCCCATCTTTAAGGGACACCCTGTATCTGCTGATTTATTTGTTGAGATTATCGAACCTGAATTTAAAGTTGAGGCTAACATACTGCTCAGGACAGCAGTCATACCTAAAGTTAAATGGTTTATAAATATCAAATTACGCCTGCATTTCCTTAAATATAGAAAATGTACCTTGTAACTTTTCTCTCTCCCTGCTGTGACATAATTTTGAACTGGTTGTAGTTTCCAAAATTTCTCAAATCTAGCTCCGGCTAAATAAAAATATTACTATTTTTTTAAATTAAGCAATAAAAAATCTAAAATTGGAAAGGCTTCGTTTTATATCTAATAGTTGTAAATTTTTCATTTGTGCAATTAAATTTTATTGATTTTGATTTTTCAATTTTAGTTCAATAACCTTTAAAACTTAATCATCCTTTAAAGTAGCAATACATTTAAAATTGCCTGAATTAATAAACCATCATTATTGTTATTTTTAGAATTATTAAATTAAAATAACCTTATTTTCGTAAAAATTTAGATCATATTGTGAAGCATCAAAAGTCCAAGACCCGAAATCCAGATTGCAATACTGTTTACCCCACGGCCAGTTGTCATAGGTTACCCCCTCACATAAAACCTAAAAATGTGTCCATTGCAATAATTGTAAATAAAAAATATATATTTTAATTTTAAGAACATAAAAAACTATAATTTTGTTTATTATATCGATCTTTTCAAGAACGGATGGTTTTAAATTGTGAACAGATTGTTAAGAGATTTAAGGCTACTTTTGAGATATCCCTAAATTTTGGTTTATAATTTTGAACACAATATTACAAACAAAAAGTTAGGGTTTGATCTAAAACAACGTGGTCTTTTAGTTTTGCACATAACTACCTTGTGAGAAACTGGAGGAATCCATAAAACATTTCCATTACTCTGCACATGTGCATTTATGTTGGAACTGCGCGGATCAGCTGCCAAAATGCCGTGGTCCAAATCCTAGAATTGCCGCAATGATTCATTTGTTGTACTGTACTGTCCAGAGGTCAGTCCAGTACTTCAAATGAACCGGAGTTTACAATGAGATTTTCATTGATTTTTAAAATGCATTTTTTCAAAGATATGAGACAATTAATTTTAATCAAGTCAAACTATCTTTTTCTCAGGTTGTGCTCGGTAACCTGCTTTTTTATTGCAAATTAAAAGTACAAAAAAATCACCTTTTTGTTATACAAAGCAATATCTGGTTTCCACAGCTCATCTGGGGTAATTCTGATCAAAATGAACAAAATGTTTAAATTTTAGCTGGAAAAAATGGAGTCTTTACAACAAACTCAAATTTTATAATCCCAATATCTTTGCAACATGATATGATGTGTAATCCATTGTTATTACAAACGATTATTGGAGGTAGCAAAACATATTAAGAACTGGTATCGTTTTGAGGTGTTTTTTACACATTCAATGTTTTTTGGCGTTAAACATGTTCTTAAAGAGTCTGGTATGTTCAACAAATATTTAAGTTTTTTTTATAAACAAAGCAAAATTATTTATATTAACCAAAACTATTTTACCAAAATCTTTATGATGACTCTATTTGTTTGTCCGTTTGTTTGTTTCCAATAAACAGCTGAATCGATCGGGCCCAAATTTTTTGTGGGACCTATGACCCCAAGGAATGATCAAAATTTTAAAAATTCGTATTTAAAGTTTTTTATTTTTGTAAAATTTTGAAAAAATATTATGATATCCGCAAACTTTTTTTGTTTTTGTTTTTTACTGTACAAAGAGAAGATGCTCAGAGATAAAGCCACAATTAAAAGTTGAAATAGAAGATGGGCGCGTAGCGCCCTAAAAGCCAGGGAAGGTCTATGGATGATCGAATTTTCAATAATTTGCCTACATCAAAATTATATTTTTGAACAATTTAATATTCAAGATTTTTTTGCTTTGTTTTTGTTTTGCCATGTACTCAAAGAGAACATGTTAACAATTAAATTTCATTCATAAAATTGTGGTTAAAAGTAAAAAAAGTTAAAAGTTTGCATAATCTGCGGAATAAAAATCAAACTTGTCAAGCATTCAATTTTGAAATAGGTTAAACATCTCAAATTCTTGGGGATTCTATTAGAAATTAAATAATTCATATGAAAACTATATGCCCATCTGTAAATCCAGCACCCTGCACCACACTAATTCCGACATTCTGATAATTAATTATTTGATATTCACCTGAAGGTTGAAATGTTGTGATGCTTGCTAGGATCCCAGGCTAGTCTCGGATCATTCCAAACCAACCTTTATAACAAAAACAGTCCCTTTTTTTGGACAAACTTTTTAAATTATTTTGTTTTAAAAAAGTACCTTAACCAGCAAATAATTGTAAGAACTCCATTACTTTCCATATCCATCCATTTAGGGGCTACACCTAGTAGCACCTGTAGGGGGTAAGTTCCGCTGGCGTTCTAGGTACATGTACAATGTTAGAAGTAACATCTTATTCGCGCGCTATATCGAACTATTCGAAGTAATTTCTAAATAACGAACAACAAAAAAGGTATTTAAAAAAATAATGACACATTTCTAACATTTTTTAAATAATAACTTTTTTTAATTTTAAGAAGCCTTACAATAACCTAATACGTTCCATGGTGATTAGTTTTACTTTGACATATGTGTGTTGACTTTGTTTTCTTTAACATGATTGGTTTTTGATAAATCTTTTTAGTCATGATTAATATCTTGTCAGTTGTCAGAGTAAAAATTGCTAAAAGGCGTAAACTCATGTAGTATACAATTTGGGGCTCCGTTCCCTTATAGTTCGACTGAACCTTCCACCCCTTCTCACATTTTTTGACAACCTAGCGTGATTATTCTACTCCATGGATCCAGGTTAGGTTATGTTAAGATATATACATTTATTACATAGTCACTGGGAGGTTTACAGAAACTGTCCATGCTTTTATTGTCAAAATGACACAATTGATAATTTTTTGTTCATTATTTTTTAAAGCCTACAAACCTTTGGCTGAGGAATAACATTTCTATCATAGCCAAAAAACATATCCTGCCTTAACTAAAAAAAATTAGTTAGTTTTGATATCTAAAGTTCAACAGATTGGTTTTTGAATATGAAATTGAACATTTCTAATGTGATGCTTTTTTTCTTGCAAAATGATAAGGGGTTTAATGGATTTTAGAAAAAAATTGTAGATTTATACAGGTATAATTATAATAATTATAATAATAATAATAATAATAATAATAATAATAATTATAATAATAATAATAATAATAATAATAATAATAATAATAATACTAATAATTATAATAATAATAATAATAATAATCATAATCAGTTCCTTTATTTTCTGGACACCTGAGACATAGGACTTTCATCTGCCTGAACTGTGGATACCAGGTAAGCCAGCAAGATCAGCAGATGGGTCAGTCTATACTCCTTTTCCATTTTATTCACTGAAAGCAGAGGAGTTCTTCCAGAGTTGAAAATAATTATGAAAATTAACATAAACTAGGAATAGACAATTAGGAGAAGAAATATTAAAGTAACATATGGTTAGTGTAATTTTATGGGACCCCATGCAAAGATGACAGTGTCCGATTCACAACCCTTAAAAGCTTTGTCTGATAAAGTATAAATTGATCGATATCAATATTTTATAATTATGACAACTGATTATTTATACTTGTGTTTTTTCTTCAAAAGTGAATAGCGTACAGAGACGGATACAGGAACAATATCTAGGGCGGCGAGTTAAATTTTATTTTTTATGTTTATGAAAAATAGGGTTTGGGCGCAGCTATATATTAATTTCGGTTGTCTGACTATTTGTTTATTCCCAAAAAACACCGAAACGGCTGAACCGATTGGACCCAAATTTTATATGGGAACTCAAATGACCCCGGGAAAGTTTATATGGACGGTCAGGATAAAAAATGTGCAAAATTTGTTTGTTATTCATCATTAATGAATGCAAAACATCACTTACAAATTGAAATATAAGTTAGCTGACTAGTATTTTTGTCATATTAAAACTTCATGAAATCTAAGTTTTTAAAAATTATTTACAACTACTTTACAGACAAGTTAAAGAAATTTTCCTTTAAAAACCCCCGATTTTGCCTACATTAAGAGCGCTGCAGCGAGGGGTGCTTTGTAGGTAAAATTTGTCGAGGGAGCCGGTGATTAAGTAACATATTTATTTTATATTTCATATTTTTATTCAATTACAAAGCAAGAGATAATACAAATAATAGATCACAATTTACTATGTAGTTTGGACCCGCCTAACCAGAGTTGGTAGTTTTGATTGGTTGGCCCATTTAACTTCCCGATAACTTAGTTGTACACACAATTTAACGTCATAACTTAGTTGTACACATAATTTAACGTCTTTTCGGATGAAATTGCGCGAATTTTTTCACGAAAACTTCGCAGGGAGGGTTGTTAATTAAATTAATTGTCCCAAGGGACGTAAAGTAACTTATGTCCCTCTGTTCGGGGAATCGATAATGTTGGCGAAAAGGCGATAAAATTATCTAATCTCTTATATAATTATATAATATTCTTACACTTTATTTTCTCCCACATTTCATTAAAGATTTAAATACTGTTTGAATTTATATAGTTGTGACGGATAAATTATAGCAAATGATTTAAATAATTCAAATTAAATTTCTCCTTTGATTTAATCGAATGTCAGGCAGAAGTGACTTGGTTTGAGAACAAAAATTTGCCTTAGTTGTAAGTATATCAGAAATCAATGATTTTTTATATGGGTTGAAATGGAAAAATTATAGACCATGTTCAAGTTAATACTTATATATAATTTTAAATTATCAAAGTTAGCCCTTTTGGAGACAGACAAGTATTTCGAGGTGGCTTGGACGAGAAAATGAGGAGAATGTGGCTCGAACTAGAAATTGTGGTTGGCCTTCCTTCCCTCGACTAGTAGAGGAGGTAATGTTATTTTTCATTTCATTCTTCAGGTAAATATATTTATATATATATATTCAGGTAAATATATTTATATATATATATATATATTCAGGTAAATATATTTATATATATTCAAGAAACGAACCTTCCTTAGCATTTTTGACAGATTCCGACTTATAAAGTTTTGATAATGACAGTTTTTAGCTTTAAAAACACTTCAATTTATTAATTAAACCAGGTTAGATCTATTAAAATAATCTATTAAATCTATTGAATAACTTACAACTATAACTAATCGAAATCTTAAGATTTTTTTCTCTCGAATTTTCCGGGGGAACATTGTTCCCCCTAAAGCTCTAGGCGGAACATTGTTCCCCCCTAAAGCTCCAGGGGAACATATGTTCCAATGTTCCCCCCTCTCTGAATCCGCCTCTTCCACTACAAGAAAACATATTATCAGAATTAAATACTTTTAACCCCAGAAAAAGACAAGTTAAAGGTTCAAAGGGTATCGTTTTGAATCAGCATATACCATCTTTGCATAAAGGAACAATTGAAATTACGCTTACAGTCCCTTTAAGGTTGCCAGTTCGACAAATTTTTTCCCTCATTCCTTTCCATCCTATTAGTCGGCAGTGCATAAATACTAAAGCTAAATGTCATAAACCTTAGTGAAAAAAATAGGAGTTGCTAAAAGGGTTTTCTTGTGGTAAAAAAACTTTTACGATTGTAATTTAATACGTAACACATGACTATTTGAAAACTACTTTTCCTAATTGGGAACACATTTTCAGTGACAGATCAAAAAGTACTTTTTGCAATGTAATATAACTAAATTCTTTTCTTTTAAAAAAAAGTGGTGTGTGAACTGTAGATATGTATTTATAAATTGCATTGAATTACTCCAATCAATTCTTCAGACTGAGGCTCACGAGGCTCACAGTATAGAAAACTTGCAGTGGGCGGTGACAAATCATTTAAATCTATTTTTTACTTTTTTCCCTCTAATTTCAGGTGGACGATTTTTTTGAACAAGGATAAAGGAAGTGCAATTGAATCTGACAGAAAATATTGAAAGTTATAGACTAATGCGAGAGCAAAACTGATATTATTTTAATAGAGAGAGAGAAAATTGATGTGCAAGTATTTCAGAAAAAAATCATGAATACTAAAAAAAATTTGGAATACGTTGGGACCCATAGAACTGACGACATTGAAGCAATCTTATGTACGTAATTGATGTTGCTATCAAGCTAATATTTTTGCCAGAACCTTGAAAATCAACTAACTTATGCATGGGATCTGTGTACAGTACAGTGTTGTTGACCATAAATCTACCTTCTAACCCCACACGTAATGCCGTCTTTATACCAACTCCTCCTCTCGGAGAAGTCCACACCTAAATAGTGAGCTATCTAACTAAACAATCAAAAACATTTATACATCGACATTTATTTTAGCTGTATTTTTTTTGTAGGTTTGAAATATATCCGTTTATGTGATTATTTGCAACTTTTGTGTCCGAGTTAAGGAGCCCAATCAGAGGGTAAACGTCATGTATGTTTATTCTCATTCCCTGAGCCCAATCAACAAATCATCAAGTCCACTAATCAACTACAACTAGCCGATTAGTCAACTTATAGTCACCGACGCCCCGCCTAAGTTTCTACATGTGTAAACTACATATCAGACAGCTTGCTTGTATACAATTGCTGTGTTCCATTTTCATTGGATGAATTGGACTAAAATCAAATTTTGAGTCTGACTTTCATCTTCCAGTTCCTACTCGCGTGGATTTGAAGGTTCTGTCAATATTTCAGAAAGCTGTGACTTTCGATCACAATTTGACCCATTATACATAATGTTTTAGCCTTTCTTCATAAATACTTTTTGTCGGACCTCTTTCTTTGTTTTTAAAATTTTTTTTAAGTTTTGGCGGAATTTTAAGTCACGTATTTTATTTAAAAATAGTAATATAGTACCCTTTTATATATTTGTTTGAGTTAAAAAATTATGATGATATTCTGTTTATCTACTCAAGAATTTTCAACTGCAGTTTCTCTATTAAAATCGTACTAGAAGATTTATGCAGCAGAGACTTAGAAAAAAATACGAATCAGAGAAAGGTTTTAAAGGTACCATTGCATGTATAACTCTTTAAATGGAGGATCGCTTGAACATCAGCAGTTTATCCCTTTAAGATTTAGGAAGTCAGTTTATTATAAGTAATACCAATAAGCCACATCAAATTAAAAGACTTTTTAATAGAAACAAGAAAACTCAAGAGCTCTCGGTTCATATTAATAAATAATTTGAGTATTCTCTCCTTCTTGATTGCTTCTTGATCTAAAACTCATGATGTATGTGTACTCTTACTAGCTATTCGACAGTCTTTTACTTATCATTGGCTCAAAGCCTGAATGCAATGTGCATAATCTTCTTAGACAAGAAAAAGTCTTTACGCTTTACAACTTGCATGACTGGCAGGGTTTTAACAATTCTTAACAAATGACGTGGACATGGAATATATAGGAGTTAATTTCCAACTGAGGGGGCGCCCCCCCCTCTGTTTAAACACATGGGGGGCGTACGCCTTAGCACCCCCCCCCCTCTTGTAGTCATATCACTGTAAGCTGGAGCGGTTTCGTTTCAATTGGGTATCCTCATGGTATCCTGGTCTAGTTTTTACAGGAGCACAACGTTCTATAGAGGTGGGCACCCATGGCCCCCGGACTGAAAGTTCAATAAACCTCAGAGCTGTTTTTACTTGGAATAATTGCTGTTTAGTATATGTTGAGAAAAACGATAGTTTAATTGAACGAATTGAACATTCGCCTTATTGTAACTTCAATAGAAGACGACATCTAATTGACTCTTTATTTAGAGTTCAAAGTGTGCACTTGTTAAGCAGTGCAAATTTCTTCCAAGTATTTTTACATTTTGTTATCTTTATATGCATAGAAAAAATTGGAGAAAATTGAAATAGTAGAAAATTTTGAACCTATTCATCCTTAACAAAACCATCAAGTCTATAATTCATTTTCCCCGAACACCCGTAGACATTGTAAACACTAAGCTATTTTTCATACTACGTGTACACTTGTTAAACCTTTATGACTATGAGAAGGTGAGAGAGAGAGAGAGGGAATTAAATGTTGAAGTATATTTTTTCGATAAATCTAGTCTAGTTACCTGCTCTCTCAATTGTCAAGGGTTTCATTATCACCATAGTAGCTTACCTGCCCCCGGTATACTCGGTACATACCAGCTGTAATCAGAAGATAGGAGACCACTAGTAATCAATACACTAAAACACCAGCTTAGCGGATTTTATGGAAATTATTGTGTTGGTGGATTTTATGGAACGGTTGGTGGAGTTGGTGGATTTTAAAGAAGATTCTCAGCTCAGCTGACTGGTAGAAGATTAAAGAAGTCCATCAGGACTCTCAGCTGATGAACCAGGTTGACGCTATCTCGGAGAAGATTGAAGAGTAACAGAAGGATTAATGTCAGTGTCGTGGAATACCGATGTTATTTGTAGCTGTGATACATGCTTCTATAACAGTCTAGGCAATTTATTTCATCTGTTTTCATCTGGAAAATCCTCATATCGCAGCATTTTAGTTGTTCACTTTTAAAATTAATTAACCATCCCCAAAAGTTCTATTCATAAACCTTATCAGTACTTTAAATTATTTATTAAAATATCGAAACGCTACTATAAAATTTATTTATTTTTCAGAGAATTTGTCTAGATAATTAAAAAAAAAGTTCAAAAGTTTAGTTTTGAAACGATGTTGAGCATGGAATGATAAAGCTTTAATGAAAAATGAGTAAGCAGGTGAATGTTTGATTTATTGGTAACTTCCTAGAGAACGATTTTTGGACAACCCCCCTATCAATTTTGTACATGGATCTCATATGTAACACATGGATATCCTGTCCTAGCTGCGGCGCTCGGCCCATAAATTTTCTTAACCTAACCGTACCCTAAAATAATATAAAATAAATAATAATAATTTTGTTGAAATAGAGTGGTCATGCACAAAATTGATATGAGGATGGGGTCCAAAAATAGTTCTCTAGTACAGACCCGTTTTATTTATTTATAAATTAGATACCTTTCTCTTAAACTCAGTGATTTACCTCATGCAACAATTATAAAGAGAGCGCCAAAAATATAACTTTTATCCTAAAATTAGACTCTTGTGAGAAATGAAGAAGGTTATTTTAATAATAATAGATATTAAATCTTAAACTTCACATAAATAATACACTACAGAGGATAAGATTTGAATAGTTCGAGAAAATATTATATATTCAGGAATTTGTCAAAGGGTTGATGGAGGGCTTAGAATTTTTCTTTCTGGCGAATTATATATATATAAAGAATATTTAACAGAACACCTGTTAATGAACTATACTTACTGCACATTTAAAATACACAGATTGACTTTAAAAGTTGCCACTTCTTTTTTGAAAATATAGATTCATTTTCATTTTTTTTTCCTATGTTCTGTCACTCACAGTTAATGTTTTTTTCTTCCTTAGACGAGAAGTCTTTTTTCATGTCAGATTTTATTCCAGATCTCAGCGTTGTTAAGTTTTTACTAGTATAAATTCCATACCATAAATTAGAGAGTAAACTGCGAGAAGTATTTTGTAAATATTTGTGTATTTTTTATCATTTCTACACATATGGATTTTACTCAATTCTGTACCATTTTTGTTTGAATAAAAGTTTGAAAGAGAGAGTTAATGTTTTTTATTTATTTGTTTTTTTTTTATGTGTGAATAATATTTCACATTTTAATGAGTATTATCCCCCATCCCCTACAGGACCTATAGTCCTCCCTCTGTTAACATTGATAGTCAAAGTATCAAGTCGGAAGATGTATGATCCAGAATGTTGGATGTGGGTGGCAAGATTTATGATGTAGGATGTAGAATGTTGATTTAGAAAGTACGCAGATTGAAGGATATTGGTGTAGGATACAGGATGTAGAATGCAGGATACAGGATGTAGAATGTAGGATACAGGATGTAGAATGCAGGATACAGAATGTAAGATCTAGGTTGGAAAGTGGGAGGATAAGGGGCGCGAAGAGTCCTTTTTTCTAGTTGTGAATATACTTACTGTTCAGGCAATGGAGGATAGATTACTCCAGAACCAGGAAACCAGGTTCAAGGAGATTATAGCTCAGTTCAGTCTTCTACCTGGATACAGTGGGTCCAAGAACCCGGAGCAGGATCTTGACCCGAGCTCTCTAGAAAAGAATATGCTTCAGCTCTCGGAGAAGATTGATTTTCTGATGCGCGGGGAGAACGAGACTAATAAGGTAATTATATGTCACTAGGCTGAAGGGACGTTTTGTGGCCCCCTTTTTAGAAAGAACTTAAGCTTTAAGCTGTTTCTCTTTAAGTCGCCATTTTACAAATATTTTCGCGATCATTCTGTTTTTATAAGTAATAAATGTAAACATTTTTGGACAAGGCAAATTTTTAAAATTCGTTCTACCCATGAAACCGCCCACCAAGGTTGCAAAAAAGGGTCCGTTCGGTTCTGCCATTTTGACGTTTATTGGACACAGACAAGCAAAATAAAAATGTAGATTGTACATTGCATTAAAGAATACAAAAAAAATCTTCCATTAATTGAATCTTTTAATCAATAATTTTCTGATTTATTTGATTAGTTCATGGATAAGATCCTGCCCTGCCTGAACCAGGTTGACGCTATCTCGGAGAAGATTGAACTACAGGAGAAGAAACTAGACAATTTCCTGGATCAACTAGAGGAATCGGTAAATAAANGAATAACGTGAAAGAACTTCCCAGTTGATATCTGAATTTTCAATTTGTTATCTTAGAGCATCTTAAATTAAATGTAAATTGTCATTATTGCCAATAAGGGGTTTACTCTCACAGATAGAAAAACTTGAAATTAATTACGATATATTTTTATATCCTTATCAGCCCTTAAAATTAGCCAATTCTGTCCAACCGGATCTGCATCAAAATGAATTGGATCCTTAGCACTGAAAAAAGGAGATATCTCATTTATCATTGATTAGATTACTGTATGTATCTCTGTATGTATCTCTGTTATTCTGACATGCCTCTTTATAAATGGAAGGTTACTTAAAATTTCGTTTACATTTCCTTTTATAATTAATTTTCCTTGTTTTAGATGACTGTTGGATTCGACGACGTGAAGAGTGTGAAGAAGCTGATGAAGGACGTTGTGAAAGATACGGAGAGTATGAGGAAGGATCTCCGGGAGATGAGGGATCAGGAGAAGTTCTCAAGGGAGCTCATAAAGAGCAACAACAAGTAGGAAATCCTTACTATCCACCAGATATCTTAGATTTTTCCAAATCATTGGGGCCGGGGGTCAAAATTGCTTTCAACTTAACTTTACAACAACAAAATGCCTATTATTGTAAATTATAAACCCTTATATCAATCCCTACTTAGTATAGTCATTTTTGGATTGGGGTGTGTTCATAGGGCGTCCCTAAAAGTCTGAGTGATTTCTTGATTGGTAACTTCTCAGGATTTATTTGTAAATTACATGAAAAGCTCAAAATTTTCTTTCACTTTCAAGGATTATCCAATTTTGCAGATTTGGATTTTGATTGATGTATTACTATTAGTCTGTAAATATTTGTGGAATAATTGACAATTTTAAATTTTAATCTGATTAATTGAGCAATCAAAGCCATTATCGCTAGACAAAAAAAATAATCTTAAACAGAGCCGAGAATTTAAAAGTAAATCCCGAACTTATACATACTCGAGCCCTAGTTAGTAGTTGGGCCCGGTTCTCAGGCTTCTGATTGGATTGGATAAACAGAAAAATGATTCGGCCAATAATTAAAGTTAATTCAATTTCTTGGATCTATGTTTACATGTTCTAAACCATGAATTTGTCAGTTAACAATTCACTGTTGTCTAGAAAATTGGATGTTGTGGAACGACAAACCAGACCCAAACGGCGTCGAAGCTCCGGATCGGAGAGCAGTGACGAAGAAGGACGGAAACGCTCCAGGTCCTCCAGTGAGTCTAGATCTAAACGTCGAGGTTCCTGGCGTCGGGGTCGGTCCAGGGATACCAGTATATCCAGCTTCAAGAAGAGTCGAGGGAATGATATGGAGAAACTTTTGGTGCAAATAAATGATTCTATTGGAGTGCTAGCGGATAAAGTTGAACAGGTTGGTCTTTATCAACTTAACAATTATAGTGTGACATGTCCGATTCACAACGGTACCATTTAAACATTTTTCCGATCAAGGATGCACAAATTGTATTGATTATTTTTAATTGTGGTATCTTTATAAAGATAAACATAATTTAGACGAGTTCTCTATCAGTTCTCCAGTCTACTGTAGTACCTCAGCTGTCCAGTGTCAGGGATATCCTGGAGAGAGGAGGACCTCTCCTTAGTTTCCCAACCGTAGCCAAGTGGGACGAGGACGCTTCTCCGTCTCCTCTTCGTAAACCTCCAGGAACTCCGTCCGGTATCTCAGAGGTTTTATCTATCCCTCGCTCCACAGATCGGTTCGCTAGGAAAACCAAGTAAGTTTTTAATTAAAATTTTATACATTTCATTTTAACAACAAAAAAAATCAAATTCAATTTAGCTTGAAGGGCCTGTAGACTTACTTTCATGTAATACTCCATTAATAAAGTAGCATTTCCTATTCAAATAATCCAGAACGAATCAGATATTCATGTTATAACTTTTGGATTCTTTGATAAAATAACTTGCGAATTTCTGCTAAAGGAATAATGGGGCAAATTGTTAAGATTTTAAATCTAGAAAACGACGATTTCTTTCAAATTATTGATCAAATAGAGCCTAGAGGATTAAAAGGTTCCGTTGTATATCGGACAGCTGGCAACTTGAAATTGCGTCCCCTAAATTTTGTGTTTCCTCTGAATTAGATCTCTGCAAACTAGACATTACAGGATCGGTTTTGTTACCTCGTAGCTCATTTAGTCTTAAATTTACGCAAAAGCCAATTAATCCTGTTACTGAATGGAAATTCATAACTTTTTTCACTTCTTAATAGCTCTTTAATAAGATAAGTTATGATTTAAAACATGCAATTTACTTTAGTTAAACGTGAGATCTGTGTTTAGGAAAAAGAGGAAACGATCCAGCTCTAGTTCTAGTTCTAGCAGTGAGGATGAGGATATGGAGAAAAATAGTTTGGAGAAGAATATTGCTCTTATCGGAACTATGGTAGGTTTACAATTTTAACACTATTTACCAATTTACAATACTTTGAAGAATTGCACAATCTCACCCTCCCCACCTACGAGGCCCAGGAAAAATATTACAGAACCAGACAACTCAGGAATAGTAAAGACGACTTACACTCAAGTTATGACTTTAAACTAATGAACGCTAGACACAGGAATTGTGCAGTGTACATAGACCAATTTCACTTAAGTGTTTTAATAAGTCACTAGTAAAACTGTTAATGTAACCACGTCAAATACACTTTATTATTGCTTTAATGTTGTCCTTCTATTCCACAGTTTTATGGTTCTCACTGTATTGAAAGATTTTGGTGGTTCAACGTATAAAATTAAATTCAAGCTGCTGATATATTTTTTCTCCCTTCACTTTCTTATCCCAAAAACACATTTATTCACACTTAAATCATTTAGTCTCCTAAATTCACTGGATGAATGTTTCTTTAAAGAACATATTTTACCTAAAATCACGTATTTTTTCTTTTATGTCTTGGTTATTTCTCTTTCATTTGGATCTGAATTCTTTAATCTGCGGATCCGGATATGGGAACTCTTGTTTTGTGGATATCGAGATCAATGTTTGATCTCGATTATTTTTGTTACATATTTATTGAATGTATTTGATATCCCGCATGGTAATCGTACCCAGTCTACGTTTGCTTTGATCAAAGACCAAGTCACCAAATACCAACCAAAGAATTCAGAACTCTTTACAGAAAACTTCAGAACACTCCCACGATGAGAAAATCAAAATAACAGAGAACCAAACTCCAGAAGCTATTAAAAAGGCAGAATGGTCTACTGCCTTTGGACCAGACGAAATCTACACCATTATGCTTAAACATTTAGGACCACATGGAATCAAGCACTTAACAAACCTTTATAATAATGTAGTCGACACAGTTCCAAGCTGGGGAAAGGACTAAGAAATATGAACTATAGCTGCCCCACATGAACACCCGCATCGAGTAATACAAACTGGGATGAACTACAAACATGTTAAAACAAGAACGGAGAACTGAAAACAATTATAGGAAGTGTAAAAATGGCCCCAATTAGTCACGAAACTAAGAAACTAACAGTCAAAGAGCATTGTCATATGCTCAGTTATTAATTCCTACTAGCCACACAGAAACAAGAACACCCAAATAAAATCAACATACAGGATCCACCACCACCAAGAATTATGAAGAAAACACTGAAGGAATACTTCTCAACAGAAATATAAGAACTGATACCAGATACAGGACTGAGAACTGCTACCAGATACAAGACTGAATTAAGATGACCCCAAAATATGGAACTACACATGATACAAACCATGTATTTAATTGCCCCTCCATCCCCACCCACCTAACCCCAAACAGTCCTGGGACAAACCACAGAAGGCTGCAAGCTTCCTTGAACTATATGAAGAAGAAATCTAATAACCTGATGATTGGTTTCAACAACAGCATCAGGGAAGGAATAACTGAAATGACGAGATAAAGCATTTATCCTCAAATTAAAATTGCCAACAGTGGCTATCGGGATTATGAGTATCTAACAGTTAAGTGCCCAGTTTAGGGAGTACAAATGATCATGATTCGGATTCTAATTACTGTTTTTTCTTCAATTTCTATTTTAGGTTTGTATCTTATAATAATTGTTTTGTAGGTGAGTAAGGTTGAGTCTAGACTCAAGGATATGGGTAAATCCTGGAAGAAAAACTCAGCCAAGGTTGAAGAAATCACCTCCGCTACTCAGAAGCATGTCGGAGACATGGGTCGCGGAATTCAACTCATCGCAGAGAATGTCGACTCAATGAACGACATTTCAAAGCGGTTAGAACGGATCGATGATATCAAGGATGTACTTGAAGATCTTGAGACGATACCAAAGCAATTAGGCGACCTGGAGCACAGGATTGGCGGAGTGTACAACAAGATCGAAGATTCGTCCAAAGCGGTATCGTCCAGGGTACGGGATCTAGAAGGATATCTGGACGGATCCCGGGGCAGGAAGGTTTCTACAGATGAATATGGAGATATTACAGTTCTTCTTGGAAAGCTGGAAGATGATAATTCCAAAAAGTTTTGTGAGTTCGGTGGACTCGTCGAAGCTGCAGAGGTAATTTTTTTTAGTTAAATAGTTCAGTACATTGTTAGGGATCCATTTAAGTTTGATAATGATCCGGATCCGCACTAAAAACATGGATCCGGATCCAGATTATGAACATTTATATAATATTTACCGATTTTTTTTTTAACAGAATAAGAATTTTCAAATTATTTTTCTTCTTTTGTTTTCGTTATTTTTGCTAAAACTTGAAGAACCCTTCAGAAATAAGAAAATCTTGAAAATCTTTTTTATCATCCGTACAGATTTGGGTTTTAAGAGCCAAAGATTTTTGTTTGCAGTTTTTGGTAGATATTTTGCCTCTTGGATCGACTCCGTGAATCCGCAGATCGCCTGAATGATGCGAATCCAACGGATTCGGACTAAGCACTGTTGGATATATAAAAACAAATTGTATTCTCTATTGCAAACAGATTTTTTAAAATTTAAAATCATTTTAAAAATGCTGTGAGTAAAAGTCTATCTATTTAGTTCCATATTTTTTTTCTGGGGTTAGTTTTTTGTTATAAGTTACTAAACATATGTTACCCTATGTATTATGCATTCTGCATTAATAAAACTTTTCCACGAAACAAACAATCTAATTGTTTAGTTAAATAAAAAGAATGCATTTTTGTTCAACCATATTTTGAATATTTGCAGATTTTTACAAATATATTCCCATCCTTGAAAGAAAGAAATGAAAAAACGCGGGATAACTTTGACAAGATGTCAGAAAACTTTTCCATTTTAGGAGAAAATCTTAAAGAAATTGGAAAGGATGGACGTTGGTGGAGGGGGAGGAAGGACGGGAGGCGAGGGGATCAAGAACGATAAATTCATCAGCACCCTGCTCGAGATCAACGAAAAGCTGATTGACTGCGTGAAGAATGTTGACAGAGTTCAGAAGCACGAGGTTCTGCCAGGGTTAAAGAGTTTGATTGCTCTAGGTGGGGTAGGAGCACCACTAACTACATCTAGCGGGGACAGGTACAAATACATTTGGTTCTCAGAGGTTGAATATTTTGTATTTTAAATCTGTTCACAACGCGCGTAATCGGTTCTTCTTTCATTTGACGGTTAGTTTAAGTTAATTTGCTTGAATAATTTCTTTACTATCTCATTTCTGAAATTAAAAGTAAATCCTTTATAAAGTTTTAAGCTGCGGATATCGATTTAGCTTTCCTCACCAAAAGTTCAAGCCTCTGTCTTTGATTTTCCTGCATTTGTGAATTTCCACTCAACTCCACAACCCATTTTGTTATCAATTATGACTTAATACGTTCGATAAGACTAGTAAATTCTGGGTTTTTCAAATTTTATTTCTAAAATACTAAAGAAAAACTAAATTTTTTAACCATATCCAAAATATTTAGAACATGATGCTAACGTCAAAGTTTCAAACTTATTATTAGTCTACCGTTGGGCCAGAAAACAAGTGATAATTTTGTTCCTTTCTCTCGTAGTTCTTAAGAGTTGCCTCCTATGATTAATGATTAAACTATTCCACTTTATGTAAGGTTAATATGAATAGATAGTAACGGAGGTTTTTTCAGTAAGGGGGGAGGTCTATTGCACATTTTAGAAGAAGTAACTAATATTTTTTGACACTTAGGATTGAGAGTAGTGAGCTTGGAACTGGATTGAGCGGACTCGCTGATCCGAGGATCGCTAGCGTTGTGCCGGATCCAAGATTAGGGAGCGGAGCAGTGGATTCTCGAGCCGGAGCTGGAGTATCAGATCATAGATTAGTTGCTCTGACCGTCCAGCTGTCCCAGCTCCAACCCAGACTGGATGACCTTTACACCAGGGTGATGCCCAGCCTGGACGAGATCAAGATTAAGATGAAGAAGGCGGAGGAGAAGGGTAAACTCTCCGCCCAGGAGGATACCGAGCATATTCAGAAGATTCTTGATATCGTTGAAGATTTGAGGGAAGAAAAAAGGTATGTTTTTTATCAAAGGGGTGGGGGATTGGTTCCCTCAAAAATGTCAGCCCATTCGGTCCAGCCGTTTTGCCGGCTAAAGGGAACATATATACGAATGTCTTATTTTATTATATAGATCATGTCAAATTTCAGGTTAAAGTTAGATCATGGGCTACCAGATATGGACGTAAAATCCTTGCTGATTAATCACGGAGAAAAGTTGGATGACATTTACAAATCAATTCTAAGCCTTCCTCCGTCCTCGAGGACGGATACTGAGACCTTGAGTAAGGTTGGGTTGGACGAGTTCTCCGGGAGCCTCAGCAAACTATCCAAACTCTCCGAGATCAACTCCAAGGTGCTGGACACCTTGATGAAGAACAGTGACAGCGACGCCAAAACCATCAGTAATTTAAACACGTCCCTGCAGAGCATGAAGGCCTCCGTCAACGGAGTAAACACGACGGCCAAGGAGCTGAAGGAAACCCTGCACGGGATTGAGAGCAAAGTGACGGATTTAGAATCTTCATCCGTTGCGGTCGAGACAAAACTTCAGACGGAGATTATCTCAAGTTTTGGAGTTCTCAAGGATGAGATTCGAGATATGATGGAGAAAACTAGCTCTCCGCCCAACCCGGAACCAACCAAGAACATTCAAATCAGTAAAGTTATGGATCTAATGGAGAAGTTAGTGTCTAAAGTAACCCACTTGGAGACTAAATTGAACACGGAGAGTAGTAACAAATTTAAACTGAATAAGTCTGATAATAAAGCCTTAACGCAAAGTTCGGAGAAAGTTCGGGAAGAGCTGGATAGTCTGGGAAAGGAGTTAAAGTCTCAGATGGATGATGTTCACGACATGGTTTCAGGTCTGGAAGAGAAGACTATTGGGGCTCTGGTAGAGATTAAGACTAGTTTAGGGACACATGACAAGCATACAGGCATCTCGGTCAACAAGATTGCTCTCCTAATGCAGAACATATTTAGTCATACTAAACAAATATCGGAAAAACTTCCGGAGATAGAATCCAATTTGAAACTTCAGAACGGAGATAGTCTCACCGCTTCTGGTCGGATACTGGCCAAATTAGAGGAAGTTTTAACAGAGTGCCGATCTAGTCAACCCACCAGCTCCAGTAGCACTGAAACTCATCAGATACTTTCACTGGTGGAGAATGTTGAATTATTAAACAATAAACAGGACAAGCTGGGCAAGGTCCTGGGACGGGTTAAGTTTCTCCTCGAATCGGAGGACGGAGAGATGGAGAAACCCCAGAAGAAGAAGGTTGGATTGAGTGTAAAGACGGAGAACGTTAGCGAGGGTTCAGGAGATATCGTCGAGTTGGAGAAATCACTGAGCAGTTTCAGGAGCTCTGTTGAAGACGAACTGAATAATCATAGTGATCTACTCACAGATATCACTAATCAGATTCAGGTATTTACCACTGGGTTCCAATAAAAAGCTTTTACGTAAACAGTTTATTGAGCTGTTAGCTGATTTTGTCAGGAATGATCCATAAAAAGGAAGAGCATAATGAATTTTAACCTTTAAAAATAAAAAAAAAGAATTTGATTTATTTTGTGAATTTATGAAATGAATTGCAGGACATTTTGAAAATTATTGATTATTTTTTTATTTAGGAAATATCGGACAAAGTTGCCACGAGAGAAGGAATGAAATCCATCGCAGAGGAAATCCGCCACCGTATGAACGACGTGTGTACCGGCATGACCGACCTGGTCGGACTAGTGAAGGATATTCCGGACCAGTACACCGCCGGGTCCGCCCTCCTCGAAGAGAACCTCGCTGCAAGTATCGTCGCTTCTCTGCGGGACGAAAATCAGAAACATTTTGACGGGATCAACGACGCTTTATTCGAGATGGAGAACAAGCTGCACGGGATTAAGAAACTAGTGAAGAAGGGAGGAGGAGGAGGAGGGGAGGACGGAGATGAACTAGGTTGGAAGAATGTGATGGAGAGGATTGAGTGTGTCAGTGGAAGATTGGAGAGCGTTCAAGGTGTTCTGGAGAATAGTCTATCCCAGGAAGGGGAGGGAAGAGGGTTTGATGTCGCTCTGGTTCTAACTGAAGTACGGAAGAGAGCTAAAAGTGATGCCTTGGATCGGCTGAGTCAGGATATGTTCAAAGCTATTCATAATGTTCAAAGAAGACTTTTAGAAGAACATGTAAGTGAATTAAACCTTTACATTTTACTTATTTATTTTACTTCCTCCAGGGGTATTTTACTTCCTAGAGGGGTATTTTACTTCCTAGAGGGGTATTTTACTTCCTGCAGGGGTATTTTACTTCCTGCAAGGGTATTTTCTTCCTGGAGGGGTATTGTACTTCCTGCAGGGGTTTGTTACTTCCTGCAAGGGTATTTTACTTCATGGAGGGGTATGTTACTTCCTGGAGGGGTATATTACTTCCTGGAGGGGTATTTTACTTCCTGGAGGGGTATTTTACTTCCTGGAGGGGTATTTTACTTCATGGAGGGGTATTTTACTTCATGGAGGGGAATTTTACTTCATGGAGGGGTATTTTACTTCCTGCAGGGATATTTTACTTCCTGCAGGGGTATTTTACTTCCTGCAGGGGTATTTTACTTTCTGCAGGGGTATTTTACTTTCTGCAGGGGTTATTTTACTTCCTGCAGGGGTATTTTACTTCCTGCAGGGGTATTTTTTTTCTAAATTACACTCGTATACTACTTTAAGATCTTATTGAGAAGGACTGTAGACATGATTTTAGTTAACCCTCCAATTCCATTTATTGAGAGACATGTCCGCTTCACAACGGTACCCCTCAATCCTTTTTACGAGAAATAAGAAATCCATGTTTTCCTATTTATTAAGGAAACTATTTCTCAATTGTACTACATAGGTGGAATGTTGGATGTGCAATGTGCATCGGCCTTGCCACTGGGCTGCTTTACATGAACTATATTTTGGGGTTTTCAATTTAATTTTAAACCTATCATGATTTGGTAAATTAACACGTTTCAAATTTGTTCTATCCTATTATTACGCCCGTTAATTAACCACCACTACTCTGGGATGATCATTTTATGTATTCTTACTTATAGTAAACTATAGCCGGAGGCACCCTCTTATCTTTTCAAGGAAATATAGTTTTTTTATTCAAATAAGAACTGGGAGTGAATGTATAGTAATAGTAATAGTCTACAGATCAATGATGAAAAATACTTCTAAGATCGATCTACAATATAGTAGTGTACTGTACTTTTCAAAAGTTATGTACTAGTTATCTAATTAATTTCACTTGTCACGGTTAAAAGGGTAGCGTTATAAAACGGCATGCCACTCTGTAAAAGTAGAGTTAATTGAAAGTAAGTCTTAAAAAGTCTCTTTAGAGATTTTATTTCTAATTTGCATTCATTTACAAATATTTTTTTAAGTTCATGGATGAACATTTTTAGATGGTTGTTAAATTTCATTAACAACAAATTGATTATTGTTTCCTTCATCTTTCTCAAGCTTTTAGTTTCTTTTTATTCCATGTTTCCTTGTACTAATCTGAACTTGTATTTATTAAGAAACGACTTATAAACCGAGTTAGTGAGGTTCAAACCCATTCTCCAGATCCGGGAACTATTCAACTTTTACAAACTCTCAACAAGGTACTAATCTTCTTTTCAGCTTGTCATTCTGTCAGGCATTCATTCTTTTAAGAATTCATTAATTTATTTTAAGAATCTATCATTTTCTTTCAATAATTCATTAATTTTTGTAATTATTCATCCTTTTCTTTTAAGAGTTTATCATTTTCTTTTTTATTCATTCTTTTAATAATTCGTTTTCTTTAAAGAATTCATTCTTTTTTTTAATAATTCATCCTTTTCATAATAATTCAGTCATTGAGTAATATTTGATCTATATTTGATTAAGATTTGGGCAATATTTGATCTTTATTTGATCAAGATTTGAGCAATATTTGATCAAGATTTGATCTAAATTTGATCTATATTGGATTAAGATCTGAGCTACATTTGATCTAAATTTGATTAGATCCGAATGCTGCAGTCTGAACTGGTCGTGAAGCAGGATGATGAATTAACATCTCAGGAGGAAACAAACAGGTCCGTTTTTATTGTTTTTTTTACTTGTTAGTTCGATTGGCCGTTCATTCTTTTGGTCGGTCAGTCGTTAGTTTGTTCGTTAGTCTGTTCGGTCGTTCTTTTATTAATTTTTCAATAAGTTTAAATTCTTTTCAATAAGATACGATCACAGACAAAATTTAAAAAGGCATAATTTTTATTATAAATAATTGTTATTATTATTGACTGACTGATGTTCCTAGAGAAAGACTTGATTTTGTGGTTTTTTACTGACTATACTAGCAGAAGTGCCTAAAAAATGGATCCGCATGTTTTTGCGGATCTGGATCCGGATCCATTAAGCCAAAATCTTGCTGATCCAACGGATCCGGATCCTAAGCACTGTTTACAACTACATAAATTAGTGGCAGACTAGGGTCTAAATGTTGTTTTTAGCATTTTTTGCGTTTAAATGGACTGTAAGCTTTATTTAAATCGACCCTCCATGCTAAAGTGTCAATGCCAGATTCACAACGGTGCCCTTTCAAATTTTTGACTGTTCATCGGGGACTGAGATCTCCTTGTTTATATCCCTCAAATATTGTTTTGATTCTTGAAATCCGAATGTACTGTACGCTCGCGTACAGTCTGAACTCAACTCAGCTGACGTTATTTATGCCATGCGAAAATACCGAATATTTTACGTTCAGAGCGGATTTAAAAAATTAAAAAATAAATATTTATTTTCTGCGACGTCTAGAAAGTAAATATTAATATTTCTAGAATATAAAACAGCTTACAAACAAAATGTACAACGATGAAGAGTGTTTCTGTAGATAAGAAAGGAAAAGTCTGAACTATCCTTAATTAGTCTAAGGTTTAGAGGGAACAGTTGTGAATCGGGGATGTCCCTTAAAGGGAATGTAAATTGAAATTATGCTTAAACAGTCCCTTTCATTACATTTCTGAGGCGGATACTTTTCGATTTCTTTCCCGGATTTCTCTGGCAAATGAACCCCCTAATCTGCTGTAATTATCGTATTTATCATAATTACACGCAGTGATAAATTATTTTACTTTTTATTTTAGGTTACTAACAGGACTTGTTGATAACCTGGAGAAAACCCGCCAAGCCTTAAGAGATGAAGGCGGAGGGCAGATGGGCGGAAGAATGGCGGATTTATGTGAAGAACTTGCCTCCGCCGTGGCTGGTTTGATAACAGTTCAAAACAAACTCTCCCAGAATACTAGTTTTGAAAGCTTGGATACTTTACTCCGAGCAGCTGCAGGTCATTTAAACCTGGAGAAGAGTAAACCTTCCAGGACGAGTAGTGTAGTCCGAGGGAAAAGACGAGCTGCAGGACAAGTCCGTCGAGGGGATAGCAGTAGTCCGACCTCAGATCCGAGCAGCCTTGACCTCCTGGACCCGGAGCAGGGTTGGGAGAAGAGGATTGCTCCGAGGTCAGAGATGAAGAGGATGAGGACGGGTTCAGAGGAAAAGCTGGAGGAGGAGATTACGGAAGTTTCCGACGAGGTTCTAATTTCTCCGGTGGGGAAGAAAATGTGATACAATTACAGAGCTTGTACATTTACACTATTACACATATACATTTACAATATACATGTACATATATTATACATGTAGAAAAACCCCCGCATAATCATGATCAGGATCACCAGAATAATAAGTTTTAATTAATTTAAATAGTAAATAATTAATATATGTACTTGTGTGAATGTATACTATATAGTATATTATATGCATATTTAATTTTCATATAGTATTTATATTAATTATACTCAGGGGCGGATACAGGATTTAGGTGAGGGGGGTGCTAGATTTATTTTGGGGAAAAAAATCCCGATTAAGGAACCGAAAGAAGCGCAGAAGGCGAAATTTTTTTGGACTTTCCTGTTTTGCCCTAGATTTTTTTCCCTTAAATGCTATAGAGAAGCTATTCTGAAATCTCGGGGGCTGAATCTGTCAGGGGGTGCGAAGGTCCTCCCCCCCCCCCCCCCCCCACGTATTGATTATACTACAATGTATTATTTTATGGAAGTCCTTTATGAAAGGGTTTTCTTATATATTTTAAATTGCAACAAAGTTTTTTATGTAAAATAGTTAAACTTTAAAGGTCTTAAATATCAGAGGTCCAGAATCCTTTTTTAAAAAATATTTAATTTATTTGTTTTACAAATATGAATGTGCTTACAGAAATTTAAAAAAAAATGATTTCATTGTAAACCAATTGATGTTAAACCTGTGTGTTTTTGTTAGCTATATTCTTTTTGATTTATGAAATGTTACAAAATTGACAGTTTGCGTAATAAGTCGATTACAAAAATTTCAATAAATTTTTATTAGTATTAATACAGTATTTTTTATTTGTCATTATGTATAAAAGTTTTTATTCAAATAGTTTTGTTGCAGAGAAGATCAAATCCATGCGACATTACTGGTAGGACATTGGGACTTCGTAGCTCTTTGATTTTATTTAAGTTTGAGAGAATCTATTTACTCAGTTACTAGAATTTTCAACAGTTTTTGTTCTTCTCAACAGCTCTTAAATTTGGTTATGTTACGATTGAAATCGTTTCTTAGGTAAAAAGCAGAAGAAAACTGAATATAAGAAATTCCGAACAAAAAGGGAAACAGTTTCTAGGAACCATAGTGTTTGAAAATATTAGTAAACGTCATAAAGGAGTCTTTGACACAAACTCGGATTGTCTAATACCTATATCTCTGCAACCCAATGTCATAGACCTCAGATATTTCAAACTATGAATTATGTTGCATTAAATTATCTTAGTTTCAAATAACAAAAGTTTACAACATCAGGTTCCATAGATATAGGGATTAGAAAGTTTGAGTTTGTGGCAAAGACTCATTCCTTTGTTAAAAATGTTTTAAGACCTCAAAACTAGATAAAGATACCTACTATCTACCAGCAGAAGTACCAGTTCATGTTCACCATCAAGAAAATGAAAAACCAACTAAATTTTCAAAGAAAATGTAAAATGGCGGGAAACTTTAGGATTGAAATTAACATGTCAAACAGATCTTTAGGTAAAATTAAGCTGGAATTTTTTTTTATATTTTTAAATTTTAAAAAAAATTTTCTTCTGTTTTTAACATTAATGTACGTCAAAGAACAATTTAATTGCAACAAAGGAAAGATTCGAAAACGCTGTAAATGCTGGCGTGGGTCCGGTGCCCAAGGAGCAAAGGACCAATGCAATATTCAGCTGGAATGAAAACAAGCTGAATATGTGTATTTTTCTGAACATGGAGCCGGTGACACGTGACACACCAAATAGCAGTTAATTCCAACCTCAATTTGGGGTTTTCTTTGGGTCTAGGGTTTCTCAAAACATAAATGATGTAAACTTCTGTAAAAAATTTATTTTACCATTGAAAACTATCAGAAATTCATCATTTTCTAAAAAGTTATTTTTTACAACTGCAAAATGATTGTTTAGGTCAAGATCACAACTTCACAAGGAAAACCAATTTACTGAAAATATTAATTTCAATATAATTCGAATTGAAGATTAACTCACCACACTTAAGGAAGGCCATTCTAAGTATTGATGGATACGAGTTAAATGCTTTATACACAAAGGATACAAGTTAGATGGTTTTATTAAAAAAGTGAAGATTGATAATGGTAAAATCATAATTTTATGCCTGAGACAGGTTTGGATTGAAAGATGGAGCCGTAAATGTATCCTGAAGAAATTTCGTGTCTTTATATTCTTTGGAATGTATACTCAATCCAAAGAACTAAAATAACAGTCAAGGGTCCTGAGTCCGAATTTAATGAATTTCAGCTGCGTCTCAAATCATTCTAAAACTGATTTCAATAGAGAGCCAGCTTAAATCTTGGAAACATAGAAAAAAATTGAAGTGAAACCAACCATATTGAGCCGCGGCTCAAATTCTTTAAATGAACTGGTATAACCTCTCCAATAAATCTATTGGTTTTCTCATTCCTATGATACTGATATTCGGCATTCTTTCTTTTCATTCTCCATAGTGCCCCTAGTTGCGCCTCATTATGTCACCTGACTTTCTTTCTAATCATAAAATTAACTATTCACAGAGAATTGCAACTCATTGTTAATAAAATATTATGCTACAATGAAGCCAGTGCTCCTTCTTATTTAAATGTTAACATTATGCTTAAAGGGACTGTAGACGTATGTTCAGGTAACCTTGCATTGATAAAGTGACATGTCTAATTCACAACGTTATCTAATCAAGGTATTCAAGGATGAATTATTTGTTCTATTTTTCTTTTAAAATTTTATCAATTTTGATCTTGAGTTCTCTGCAAAACAGTGTTTCGGATCCGGATCCGGTCGGATCCGGATCCGTATCAGGAAACGTTGATATGGATCCGGGTAGCGCCAAAAATTAACCAAAACCATGGAATAAATAAATCAAAATGGTTCGTAAATGTATTATTTACATGACGAAAATTTTTAAAAATTATCTTTAATAATTTAATGTTTACATTCATATAATAGTAATGACGACATTTTTAACTTTAGGATTACTATAGTTTATAAATTATAACCTTGCATAACATTTAATAGGGAAAATCCGATTCACAGAATCAAAAGTTACCTCGGATCCGGATCCGGATCCGTATCAGGATCCGGATCCATCATCACGGATGCGGATCCGCGGATCCGGATCCGGATCCGAATCAAAATGATATGGATCCGAAACACTGCTGCAAAAGCAAATAAATTATAAAGTACTTGATAATCTATTTGTGCAAAAGTGACTTACGTTTTTAATATGAAAGAGACAACGAAAAAAACCAATTTTCTTGACGTTTTAGATAATTAAACAACGATATCTTGCTCACTGTTACTCAGATAGCATTAATTCTGAATAAGAAATACCAATCTTTTTGAACAAAGGGTCATTTGTTCATCAGTCCCTTCTAAACATAAATTTAAATTAGGAAAATACCATTTTTTAACTCGGAAGCTATAAGCATATCCCCACATTACATTTTTCTCAACTCTGAAGCTATTGGCTTATCCCCACATCACATTTTTGTTAACTCTGAAGCTATTGGCATATCCCCACATTACATATTTCTAAACTCTGAAGCTATTGGCTTATCCCCACATCACATTTTTGTTAACTCTGAAGCTATATTGGCATATCCCCACATCACATTTTTGTTAACTCTGAAGTTATTGGCATATCCCCACATCACATTTTTGTTAACTCTGAAGCTATTGGCATATCCCCACATGAAATTTTTGTTAACTCTGAAGCTATTGGCATATCCCCACATCACATTTTTGTTAACTCTGAAGCTATTGGCATATCCCCAAATCACATTTTTGTTAACCTTGGAGCTATTGGCATATCCCCACATTACATATTTTTGTTAACTCTGAAGCTATTGGCATATCCCCACATCACATTTTTGTTAACTCTGAAGCTATTGGCATATCCCCACATCACATTTTTGTTAACCTTGGAGCTATTGGCATATCCCCACATGAAATTTTTGTTAACTCTGAAGCTATTGGCATATCCCCACATGACATTTTTGTTAACTCAGAAGCTATAAGCATATCTCCATATCACATTTTTGTTAACTCTGCAGCTATAAGCATATCTCCATGTCTCATTTTTGTTAACCCTGAAGCTATAAGCATATCTCCATGTCTTATTTTTGTTAACCCTGAAGCTATAAGCATATCTCCATATCTCATTTTTGATTGGATTTGATTTGTAAAGCTGTACACATATGTGGAAACAACTGTTTTAATTCATCCATAAGGCTTTTTACATACTTCCAAGTCCACCATATGTTAAAATTTCCGTTAACCATTTTCAGTTGTTGATTTAATGTTTTTCTTAATGATTTTTAAAAATTTAAACAAAGAAAGATCCATTAGATCTAGGAATTTCAAGTGGATTTTACTTGCGCGCAATTGCGAGCCCTTAAATTCCGCACAATTCCACGTAACGAATTTCGATTGGAGACTCTAATTAGATTCTATATTTCTAAAAAGTTACTTATCTGAAACTTAAAGGATCATCATTTTAGGTATTTAGAAATCCATCTTTTTTGTCAGAACAAACAAATGAAAAAGTAAAAAGTAAAAGTCTAGTAAAAGGTCGAAAATGATTTATTTCTTAAGATAGTAAATATAAGAAGTAAAATTAAATCTTATCGCGAATAATAATCATACAGTGAAAACCAAAAAACTCTGGAATCTGCAGACGACTTATAGACTGAAGTTATTATAACTTTCAATAGTCCAGTGAACATGAAAAACAGACATTGTATTATGTTAATAGACCATTGTGATTTAATAAGTTACTAGTAGGCACAGAGATCCGACCAGACAACTGTACAAATTTGTGCACCAATATTCAAAACCAGGAAAAATCTTGTCGCTTGCAAACGCCTGCAGTAGACTATTTACTTTGTAACAACATCAAATTCACAAAAAGTAGTTGTAATAGAAGACATATCGAAACTTGCTTCGCTTCTGGAAGTATTGCTATAATTTAGTCTTCCTTTTCCACAGTTTTCTAGTTTTCACTGTGTTAGAGTTCTACTCAAAATACTATTCTTATACTCTAGGTACTGCTCCAGGTACTACCCTAGGTGCTGCACCAGAAACTACTCCAGGTTCTACTCTAGGTATTGCTGGATAACTTGGATAACCTTGAGAATAACTAACTCTGCGTCCTCCTCCTGAATCATGCAGTGGAAAACAAACCGAACCTGAATAGTGAACAGTCAACTAATAAGAACGTTAGGAAAATACAGAATACATATTATAAAAAGTTAAGGGTCTAAAGTGACGCACTATAGATTTAGTGACTTGTTGGATTCACGACGGTATCCTCAACAGCTATGTCTGATTAAGTATGAATCACATATCCATGTCTATGTTTTTAAAAAACTGATTACTTTCATTTGCGGCTTCTCTTCATAAGTGAAATGATTTCTTGCTGGATAAATTAACAGAATTAAGCACTTTTAAAACCATTAAAAACTGTAAAGGGTTCCTACAATGGATGAGACTTTAAAGACGCTACAACATTTCTGCAGAATTTTCCTACAGCCTTGGTTCCATGCAACTGGAAATTTGGACTTTACTTTGCTCAACCAAACTAAACCTTCGTTATTAAAGTCTCATCTTTATAGTGAATCACACTGAACATAATTACCTGATCTACTCCAAAATCAATTGTTCTGACTTTTATATCTCCTTCTTCTAGTCTCTGAACCACCTGGAGGATTAAATATATACAATTAGATCAATTGAACATGGATTCATCGACAACTATTGATCATATCAATTTCTAAGCTCATTTATTAAATTACTAGGCTATCAGGGCGATTCGCGACCATCCACTATTTCAACTTTTTATTTTTTGATCAAACTATCAACATTTCTCTTTGATAAAACAATGGAAAAAAACTTCACGGGTTTACAATTTTTTTTCGTGGATTTTCAAAATTTTACTAAATTCAACAATTTTTGAGACAAAAGTTTAAAACTCGGTCCTAACCTCTCTATACCTCTGTCATGCTATCTATATAACTCTATCCTAACCTTTATATACCTCTGTCATGCTATCTATATAACTCTATCCTAACCTTTATATACCTCTGTCATGCTATCTATAACTCTGTCCTAACCTCATATGTACCTCTGTGATACCAAGGTATGTATGAGAAAGGAGGAATAGGGGTTTTGAACAAATTTGACTGTAGACTTATCTTTAGAACTGCTGGGAGCTAGTTATATCATAATAACAAAGATTGTAAAGAAAGGTCTGGCAGGGAATAGCAAAGATTGTAAACAAAGGTTTAGCAGGGAATAGCAAAGATTGTAAACAAAGGTCTGGCAGGGTAGTATGGATTGTTTACCTTAAACCAGTACCTGATCAGTTATATTACGTCACTCGAAAATGTACTCAACCCCTAACCCCCTTTCCTTCACTTTAGATACCTTAGTTAAATAAACCCACTAGAATTAATTTCCAGTCACCTTACCTTCCCTTTACATACCTTGGTTAAATAAACCAACTAGAATTAATCTCCAGTCACCTTACCTTCCCTTTACATACCTTGGTTAAATAAACCCACTAGAATTAATCTCCAGTCACCTTACCTTCCCTTTACATACCTTGGTTAAATAAACCAGCTAGAATTAATCTCCAGTCACAAACTGGAGTTAGTAAGAAAACTGGCAATAAATTCAAACAATTATAATTTCGAGACTCAATTCTTTCTCAGGTTTAATTAGAACAATGTCATCTACAATTTACAAACGGCAAAAAAGTACATAATGGTCAATCTTCAAAAAATACATTAGCAAAGTTGATAACTGAAAAAGTGCATTACTTTAATTAATTTTAGAAATTATCGAAAAATTTGAATGCAGAATACAATAATTCGCCTTTTTATTTACGATTAGAATAATACAATTTCCGCCCTAATGATCGAATACAATTTTTTACCTGAAACGAAATGACTATTAAACATTTTTTGCACTGCGTTAATATATTGGACGAAAAAAAAATCGATTGTCATTTGTCATCTGCGTCATGGAAGATGTGGTTAACTGTGTTTAATAGAAAACCACTTAAAGTTCAGAATTGATGGGTTTAAGTTTAAATCCACCAACAAGATTCAAAGAAAGAATTAATTTTGGCTGGATACTATTTTAAAACGCCAGTGGGCCGGGGAAACGACTGAGCGCGGTAGGAAAAGGTTTTAAATCAAAAAGTTTAAAGCTCTGATTATACAGGGGTTTCCACAAAGAAAGAGCCTTCAAAGACGATAGTACAGAATTTAAACTGTTTGTTTCCTTGTATATTTATAAGTCCCTGCAACTGTGTTTAAGGCAACCATGATCATCATATTTTAAGAGCTTTAGGTCGACTTTACAGTCTCAACCTTTGTGGGTAACCCTGTATGTTTGTGACCTGGTCAGCTGTAGCTACAAGAGGGTCAACCCACATAATAACAATATTTGTCTCCACTGTCTTCAAATCAACATGGAACCTGGAAAAAGTAGAGTTCTGAGACATGAATCTGCACTTCATAAATTGAGAATGTTTGGAACTGGAAAAATGAAAAACAACATGAGATGTACACTGTACATGGTCAAAATAATATAAAGACCCCATAAATACAATTAGAGTGACATCAATAATACACCATAAAGCAATGCCTCATTTTTAATCTTGAACAAATTCTTCTTTTGATGTTTTGTAAGAAATCTAAATCATATAGATCTTGGAGCATGATCATATGATCCTCCTGCAAGTTAATCTAAAGTAAATTGCACGAGAAATTGAAATTTATGTTTCCAATCAAAAATGGTTTAAGTTCTAATATGTAACCAAATAAATTTCTCATCTATATAATAAAACAAGACATTCGTATATATATATATGGACTGGACCGATTGAGCTGAAATTTTTGTGGACACTCATGGGTGACCGGGGGTGTTATAAGCTAAAAAATCTAAATTATTTTTTCTCAAACTATTGTTTTTATTTTTCCACGGGCAACGCCGGGCTCTTCAGCTAGTACTTACATCAAATCAAAATTAGAGGAGCTACTGGGTTACAAAGTTGTACCAGTAATGCCACATAAATTTTGCGTTCTCCTCCTGTCTTATTTACAGTGCCTTAATTTCCAGTTCGGTTGATAGCTTCAGCAGTTGTTTATGATCAGTTGATTCTCCTGGACCCTCACCTGCTGTTCCCAGCTTGGTTGATAGCTTCAGCTAGTTGTTGATGATCATATGATCATCCTGGAACCCTCACCTGCTGTTTCCAGCTTGGTTGATAGCTTCAGCTAGTTGTTCATGATCATATGCTCATACTGGAACCCTCACCTGCTGTTTCCAGCTTGGTCGATAGCTTCAGCTAGTTGTTCATGATCATATGATCATCCTGGAACCCTCACCTGCTGTTCCCAGCTTGGTTGATAGCTTCAGCTAGTTGTTTAGCATGATCATATGATCATCCTGGAACCCTCACCTGCTGTTTCCAGCTTGGTTGATAGCTTCAGCTAGTTGTTTAGCATGATCATGATCCTCCTTAAGTCTGTCCACCATATTCTCTAAAGAATAAAGTCCAGCAGCTGCAAGTATTCCAGCTTGTCTCATCCCACCTCCTACCAAGAGTTCAGAGATAGTCATTTCCAATGTGGAATTAAAGTCGTCTTTGCGTTTAAGGTTAGAAATGGTGCTATAATGATCTGGTAAATTCTGACTGTTATAACTGATAAATCTGATAAAAAAGAAAACTGTTAAAAGCTCATCATTAAAGATAAACAACAGTTAAATTTTACAAACCATTTGCGGTATCTTTTACTAATTTTTTAATTAGAAGACGATATAATTATTCCACTGAAAATTGTATTTTATTTAAATTATTTTACCTAAAGCTTTCCGCGCCCTGATAGCTTTTCTGATAAACTCCTTGTTACCAACCAGTAGGGACCCAACAGGGCTTCCTAATCCCTAACAAACAGAAAATTCTGAATTATTTGGCATTCTTTTAATTTTGTAGAGATTGTAACTTGTTTTTGTACTAGAACAAGTTATTTACTTTCACATAGATCTTGCCAGGTTACCAGCTTACATTTGTTGCCTTACTCTAAACTGATCGGTACAAATGAACTCTTAAAATACAATACAATTATAGTTAGTCCGGTAAATCTTAGTAACGGTTCAGATCATGCGATTGAAGCCCATGAGAATTTTAAAAGATAATTTTAGATTTTATAAAAATTAGATTTTTATAAAAAAATTTAAACATTGAGCGTCTGCTTTCTCCGGCGTCTGCAAATGACTAATTCAACATTTAAATGTAGAGCATTACGAGGTCTACCATTTTTCTCTTGGTTTTATTTCATGTTCAATTGTAAATTACGAACAAGTTTTACAGGAAAAATGTTAAAATTCTTTTTGAAGATGACGGGAATAGGTTTTAAAGTGTTATCTATATAATAAAGCTCTTCGCTCATATGTATGTATACGTACATGTATGTATGTAATTGAGTGCATATTTATATGTCAGCTAAAGCTGGAAAAACGGCTGAACCGAATGGAGTGAACATTTTTGAGAAAACCCTTGAGCACCCGGGGGTTGGACTTATGAAAAAAAAATATTTGAAAGTCTTTTTTTTCAAAATTTTTTGTTTTGAATTTGAAAAAAATATTTTGAAAAAAAATTTCGAATTTTTTTAGCCAATGAGTGTCCATACAAAATTTAAGCCCAATCGGTCCAGCCGTTTGGCCTGTTACAGACAATATATTTTTTACTATATTAATGTCTTGTTTTATTACAGTGAAACCCTTAATTAATCGGAAGAATTTATCAAATTTTATACTATATTCCGTAAATTTCAGTATTTGCGAAAATAAATAAATAGCCATGAATATGCGGGAACAGTTTTAAAGAGTTCCATATAATCATTTAATAAAAAAAACTAAATATCTGCAACATTCCATTATCAGAAAGTGAAGAATACGACATTTGATGAATTCTTTCGATGTATTCGTTATTAAGGGTTTCTCTGTATATAGATTGAAACTGCAGGAAAAATCTCCATTCCACTCGTAAATTCTAGGGCCCTATTTAGAGAGAAATTTACAACGGTACAATTTCAACCCTTCTCTCAGTATAAGTAACAATATTTAAGTTTTTTTATAAATTATTTTAGTAAAATTAATCAATTTCAACTAGAAAAACAAGAATACCTCACACAATTCAGACAATGCCTAGATTTTAGAATTGTACCTTTGTAAATCGGACTTACCATATTTGAAAGGTCAGTTTTAATTACGTTTATACACTATACAGTCCCTTTAGATGTAAAGAAAATCAGTTTTTTACCTTACTAAGACAAATTGATGCTGTATCTACCCCCTGGAGTAAGGTTGATAGCTCCTCCCCTTGAGATATACAACTGTTAAATATCCGGGCTCCGTCACAGTGCAGAGGAAGGTTATTCTTTCTAAACAAAAATTCAATTTTGAAAATTAATCAATTGTCAGTTTTTAAATCTATAATTATTAATTAACTAAGGTCTGTTATTAGTCTAATTTATGGTGTTAGGTATTTTTCCAGGGGCGACTTCCCAAATGTGCAATTTCCTAAGTGGCAACCTCCCAAGGGTTAGGTTAAGCCCTGTAAGGCGCAGCAGGCTGCAATCGGGGCCGAGCGCTGTGGCTTGGACACATCTGGAAAAATGTACTGCAGTTGGGAAGTTGCAACTTGGGAAAATACCCTTGGGAAATTACCTAACATTTAACCTTTAACCTGAACTAAAGTCTACACGTCTAACCTGCACACTAAACTAAGGTCTACTAGTCTAACCTATAAACTGGAATAAGGTCTACACGTCTAACCTGCACACTAAACTAAGGTCTACTAGTCTAACCATACACTGGAATAAGGTCTACACGTCTAATCTGCACACTAAACTAAAGTCTAGTAGTCTAACCTAAACACTAAACTAAGGTCTACTACTAGTCTAACCTGCACACTGAACTAAGGTCAACTACTAGTCTAACCTGCACACTGAACTAAGGTCTACCACTAGGCTAACCTGCACACTGAACTAAAGTTTACTAGTCTAACTTATACAGTGAACTAAGGTCTACCACTAGGCTAACCTATACACTGAACTAAGGTCTACTACTAGTCTAACCTGCACACTGAACTAAGGTCTACTACTAGTCTAACCTGCACACTGAACTAAGGTCTGAAATCCAGTTTAAAGGTAAGGCTGTCCCTCCACACTTGTTGTGTGAGTTTTCTATTGCAACAAGGCTAGTAATTGGATGATGGGGGTCATCTGATCTGATCTAAACAAATAATTATAATCAGGATATCCCCCCTTTTGGAAGATATTGTAAGCCGCCCTTTTTTGTCTCAAATTGTCTCTAATTGACACCCTGTATTACAAAACATTAAGAATTTCTTATTGGAATGAGTAGCATGAGCTGCTGATATGGAATTAGAGCTGAGCTGGGAACTTAAGAATGGTGGATATCGGGATTAAAGCTTGATCCACTCTTTTTCTTAATCTCCAGATTAAATATTGCTTGTTTTTTCTTATGAATTTAATCTCCAGATTAATTAACAGATCGGAATTAAGGATATCACATTCTAAAGTTTTCAGCTCTGGGAACTTTAGAATGGATAACCTTTAATCCCGTCTGCTTAATCCGAATATCCACTGTGGAAACTTTCAATTTTAGTACTTAATCCCCTCTTTTTCTCTCTCTTTGGATATCCGTACATTGTTTTCTCCAATGAGAGTGCAGGAATATAGTTGGTAAATTTTATTGACCAATGACAGCCTTGAAAACAAATTCTATCCAAAGAGAGACCTCCGCAATTTCAACAAATAATGAATTTGTTGTCGGCCATTTGTAAATTAATCGGTGAAGAAAAATTAATAATACATTTGAGGATCTTTTTTTTTGATTAATTTTAACTAATGTATAAATAAATAAATGGATTAGAAATTAAGTGAAGGCCCTTCCAGTCAAGAAAACGAACAAATCTGGCGTTCCTAGAATCAAATTTGTTGATCTGAATAATTAATATCGAGACTAAGACTGGGGCGGATACAGGATTTAAGTGAGGGGGCTTACCTTCCCTTTACATACCTTGGTTAAATAAACCAGCTAGAATTAATCTCCAGTCACAAACTGGAGTTAGTAAGAAAACTGGCAATAAATTCAAAATTAAACTGAAGAAAAGAAAGTCAAGATTTCCATTAAATAAAAAAAGCTTGAAATTGAAAAACACATTCGATTTATAAAATTGGGAACATTTTTTGCCTCAAAATCTCAGGGAGGGGCTACGCCCCTCCCTGAATCTGTCAGGGGGTGGCGAATGTCCCCCCGCCACCCCCCTGTATCCGCCCCTGGACTAAGATAATCTCGAGATTAGCAAAAAGAGAGGATCAAGCATTAATCCTGATATGCACCATTCTAAAGTTCCCAGCTCAGCTGAGATTCGAAAAATATTAGTTTCTTCTCCAAAAAAATTGTACATTTTTTATTTTACCTTTCAGATACACATTTTGAAATTCATGGAAACTTGTATTTGAATATGAAAAGAGTTGCTTATATATAAAACCCTCAACTTGGTTTGTTGACTCGACATTTTCAGAGTTTAGTCCTCCTAACATGACTAAGTTATATCTTTTTCTTAGAACTATTAATTTAGTTTGGAAGATTAAAAACATGTGACGGCTTTGAAAGTTTCAATGGATTTTACATAAGAACGGGGGGAAAGCATTGAGTTATTTGCCCCTTATACCCCTCCTCCTAGTATAGATAATGATAAAAAGCAAATGTTCAAATTTTTTTATAACTGTAATTAATTGTGTAAGATATACATGAATTTACACTTTACATAAACAATGAAATGCTGTAATTTTTATGCCAAAAAAATCATGTTACTGCAGATAAATATTTCTGACCCTTTTCAATAAATCTTAATATATAAAGTTGTAATCTCTGTTTGCCTGTTTGTTTGTCCGATCATAACTCTGAACCCCCGGACCGATTTGCCCAAAATTTTGATTTGGGTACTCGGGAGGCCCGCGGGATTTTTTTTTAGCTTTGTTTTCAGATTATAAGTTGAGTGGGTCGACTTTAGTAGAGAAAATTTGGTTTCCTGGTAAAATCGTACAAGTGCTGGTGAACAACGGAGTAACTTTTAGTAACCTTGGCAGCGCTGGGTTCCCAAGTTAGTATATGCTTATATCGTTCCTATTTAATTTCTCTTAAGGTGGGATGCATTTAAAATTTCGAGGAGAGCAAAATCTGTTTTCCTCACTTTTCACTTTCGCACTTTATTTTCAAGTTGTTTAAGGATTTAAATTTTTTGCAGTTACAATTCTCATCATGTAAACTGTATTGTGGATATCGAGATCAATGCCTGATTTTGATCTTTTGTTAATCTGCAGATTAAAATTAATCTTGTTCGATATCCAGCATGGTGGTCTTGAATGCAACTTTGATCCGTGGAGGAATAACTGAAATGAATAGATAAAGCATTGATCCTCAAATTAAAAGTGCCTGCAGTGGAAATCGAGATCAAGCGATTGGGATCGTGAGTGTATCCATCCAACAGGAAAGTTCCCTGCTTTGTTGAATAAACAGTTTATCATAAAAAACTTGGATCTTGTACAAAATATTGAAAGAACAGTTTTTAATCTTTTTGTTTATCTTGCAGGAACTTTTTCTTTAAAAAAGAAAAAGTTTATTTTCGTAAATCTCAGTTAGAGCCAGTCCTACAAGTACACCTCTTGCAAACTTAGATTTTTTGCAACTCTGCAATTTTTTATATATTTTCCTTTGCATCGTTTACATTCAATAAACATGTTTTTATGCAATGTCATTTAAGTTTTGCATCTCACTCATTTCCATTTTAATATTTGATTAAATACATATATTTTTCTCAGCATAAATAAATGAACTGTAGACGTAATTTCATTCATCTTACTCTCCTTCTGATTCACAGCGGTGAATTCTGACCATTTCCTTGATTGTCTCTGCAGCTTAAATCTGTAGTCAATCGTGTAAAGAAACCACAGTTTTTAGGCAGAAAGATATATCCATTTTTAAAATAAAAATACATTTTAATTAAAATTTAAAAATTAATCTGCAGATTAACAAAAGATCGAGATCAAGCATTGATCTCGATATCCAAATACAAGAGATCTTAGCTCAGTTTATTTTCTTACAGAGCTACGGTTCACACGATGAGAATTGTAACTTCAAACATTTCAAAGCTTTAAATAGTTTGAAAATAAAGTCAAAAAGGTAAAAAGTGAAGAAAAACATACAAGTTTCAAAGAGAAAATTTTACTCTTTTATATATTTAAAAGTGTAAATACATGTATATCTTACACAATTATTTACAGTCATAAAAAATTTGGAGGTTGAAATTTTAATATTTTCTTTTTTTCATTATCTATACCAAGAGGAGGGGTGGAGGAGTTCCATCAAGTTTTTATTGAAACAGTCCAAACTTTCTACCACAAGGAAATCGTTACAGTAATTTTTACAAATAACCATTTTGTATTTTAAGTCGAAAATGGTTAAATTATAAGTCAAAATCGGTAACACTTTTGGAGGAAACTGGTTAAATTTTTGCCAGAAATGGTTATATTTTGTGTCGAAAATGATTATATTTTTTGTCAAATTGGTTATTTTTTTTGGTAAAAAATGGTTATATTTTAAGTCGAAAATTGATATGTTTTAAGTCAAAATGGGTTATATTTTTGAACGAAACTGGTTATATTTAAAGTAGAAAATGGTTATATTTCAAGTTAAAATAGGTTATATTTTTAGACAAAGCTGGTTATATTTTTGAGTCGGAGATGGTCTTATTTTTTTGTGTGTTATATTTTTGATCGTTATATTTTTGGTGATTATCTTATATATGTTCCAATGAATTATATTTTTGGTGATTATTTTATATGTGTTCCAATGAATTATATTTTTGGTGATTATCTTATATGTGTTCCAATGAATTATATTTTTGGTGATTATCTTATATGTGTTCCAATGAAATCCAATGAATCAAAAATAAATTGTTTGGCCATTTCCTTCATCACTTGATCTAAAGAAGAACGCAGTTTTCTCTGGAAGCTAAGAGCTCAAATGTTTCAATTTTGATGCAAAAACAATGAAATTTGTGAATCCCTGAAGAAAAGAATAAGGTCACAGTAAACTTGATCAAAACTTTTTTGTTACCTTGCTTTCCAGTTCTTCTAAACTAAAAGTTCCATTTTGAAGATTTTTTACAGTTCGAGGATGAACACCTCCTAGCTGCGCTACTCCGCCCTAGAATATATTTACAGTTCTAGGATGTACACCTCCTAGCTGCGCTACTCCGCCCTAGAATATATTTTCAGTTCTAGGATGCACACCTCCTAGCTGTGCTACTCCACCCTGAAATATATTTACAGTTCTAGGATGCACACTTCCTAGCTGCGCTACTCCACCCTGAAATAAATTTACAGTTCTAGGATGCACACCTCCTAGCTGTGCTACTCCACCCTGAAATATATTTACAGTTCTAGGATGCACACCTCCTAGCTGCGCTACTCCACTCTAAAATATGTTTACAGTTCTAGGATACACACCTCCTAGCTGCGCTACTCCGGCCTAGAATATATTTACAGTTCGAGGATGAACACCTTCTAGCTGCGCTACTCCGCCCTTGAATATATTTACAGTTCTAAGATGAACACCCCCTAGCTGCGCTACTCCACCCTAAAATATGTTTACAGTTCTAGGATACACACCTCCTAGCTGCGCTACTCCGGCCTAGACTATATTTACAGTTCGAGGATGAACACCTTCTAGCTGCACTACTCCACTCTGAAATATGTTATAGTTCTACGATACACACCTCCTAGCTGCGCTACTCCGCCCTTGAATATATTTACAGTTCTAGGATGCACACCTCCTAGCTGCGCTACTCCGCCCTAGAATATATTTACAGTTCTAGGATGAACACCTCCTAGCTGCGCTACTCCACCCTGAAATATATTTACAGTTCTAGGATGAACACCTCCTAGCTGTGCTACTCCACCCTGAAATATATTTACAGTTCTAGGATGCACACCTCCTAGCTGCGCTACTCCACCTTAGAATATATTTACAGTTCTACGATGCACACCTCCTAGCTGCGCTACTCCGCCCTAGAATATATTTACAGTTCTAGGATGAACACCTCCTTGCTGTTAGTATTTATATGTGAGAGTTATCTGAAAGTTTATTAGCTCCACACTGCATGGGAAACTTTCGCGAAAAAATGCGAAAATTAAGTAAGCGAAAAATTAGAAAACGGTGCGAATTTTGCAAAAATAAAAATTCTGCGAAAACCATGCGTAGTATATTCAACAATTAATTGCTCAAAAACTTGTTGAATTTTCTGCTCTGAGAGCTCAGCATTCGAAGTTTACTATATCACAATTAATAATCCTCTTCTTTTACTTAAACAAATGTTTGATGAGGAGAATTTGATCTATCTATAGTCTATACATCTATCTTTCTTTCAGTCCACCTACATTCACCCAAATCCAGCCAGCGAAATTTTCGCATGTCTTATTTCGCGAAAATTCACCTTTTTGTCGTGAAAGAGATTTAAGCGAAAATTTTCGCCTTTTTCGAGAGCGAACGATTTGCTAACAATAATCGAAAATTTTGCATTTTTCGGGGAACGACTTCCCCTTTTCGCTAAAACGCTAGCTGGGAGCAATCCTTCTGTATATAGTAATATGCATGTAAATATAATGTGGGAATTATCTCCAAGTAGTATCTAAGCTCCAAGCTGGGAGCCATCCCTTTATATATATCCAACCTGTTTAGACATATGAATATGGGATATATATTTCAGAGTATTTTCTCAGCTTCACGCTTGAAGCAATCTCTTTATATAAATTCAACATGCTCATATAAATGAATATGGGATTTATCTCCAAGTAGTATCTCAGCTCCACGCTGGAAGCAATCTCTTTATATAAATTCAACCTGTTCATATAAATGAATATGGGATTTATCTCCAAGTAGTATCTCAGCTCCACGCTGGAAGCAATCTCTTTATATAAATTCAACCTGTTCATATAAATGAACATGGGATTTATCTCCAAGTAGTATCTCAGCTCCACGCTGGAAGCAATCTCTTTATATATATCCAACCTGTTCATATAAATGAATATGGGATTTATCTCCAAGTAGTATCTCAGCTCCACGCTGTGAACAATGGGTTAGGACGGATATAAGGTTTCCCATAGTTCCACTCGGTACAAACAATCCGGCCTCCTTACACGACATCTCAGCAATCTAAACAAAGAATCAGTTCAAAATGAATTGATTCTTCGCCACAAAACTAAGCTTTATAATCCCTATATCTTTGCAACCTGATGGTGTAAACCTTTGATATTAAACTATTTGGTCTAACAAATTTATAGTTTGAAATATCTAAGGTATACGACATTGGGTAGCAAAGATATGGGATTAAAAATCAGAGTTTGTGGCAAAGACTCAATTCCTTTGGTTTAATTTAAGTTGAGTTTATTAACATCGCTTAAATGCAGAGTAAAAAAAAAGAATTCTGCTGAATCCTTTTTAATTTTAAATATGTATTCTCAGTTTAACAATAAGTGTAAAAGATACTCATTTCTTACATCTTGAAAAAACGTTGAAAAAGAACAAAATCATTTAAATCTAAAAAATAAATGGAAAATATTGTTCTTTGAAAGTTTTTAATTTAGATAATTATGATTTATGTGAGTCAAAGATTTAAATTAATTGAGAGTTAGTATTTAAAAAACTAACAAAACATAATTGTTGAGAAATAATTCTTTTTATTTCTGATAAAATCTATTCAGTTTTCCAATTATATCTCTCTATTAATCTTTTCAACTTTTCAATAAAGAATTCTTCAATAAATTTAACAATAGTTACATTGATAAACTTTTATACAACTATTGAACATTATAGGAGGATTTAGGGGAATCTTTCCCTCCAGGACTCCCTGAAGTTTTGGACTTTACGATCTTTTACAGAAACAGAAACCCTTTTCTGATTTGAACAGAGATAAGAGAGTTTACTGAGTGATATATTAAGCAGGTTCCATTGTGTACAACTGGAGTACACGACCAATCAGCAGACATCCGTATTCAGGGGTATTAAAAGATCCTTTGGATACGAAAAAGAAAACCTTCAAACATAGAGACTAAATTCATAACTAGTCTGTGGTTTTAAATATACAGTATTGATCTTCATCTTACCCAGATCTATGGATTAATTTAATTCTTCTTCGATAACCCGTGGTGGTCATATCCTGCAGGGATAACATTAATTGAGGAATCAAGCATATATACTCATATTTAAAAGGGATCACATTGAATATCAAGATCAAGCGTTCAAGATTAACATTTACATACACTAAAGTTCCGACTTTTGAAATCAGATGGATCCTATGATAGGAAAGGATCCTAGGATAGGATAGGATCCTAGGATAGGATAGGATCCTAGGATAGGATAGGATCCTAGGATAGGATAGGATCCTATAAAGGATAGGATAGGATCCTAGGATTGGAAAGGATCCTAGGATAGGAAAGGATCCTAGGATAGGATAGGATCCTAGGATAGGATAGGATCCTAGGAAGGATAGGATCCTAGGATAGGATAGGATCCTAGGATAGGATAGGATCCTAGGATAGGATAGGATCCTAGGAAGGATAGGATCCTAGGATAGGATAGGATCCTAGGATAGGAAAGGATCCTAGGATGAGATAGGATCCTAGGATTGGATAGGATAGGATCCTAGGATAGGAAAGGATCCTAGGATAGGAAAGGATCCCAGGATAGGATAGGATAGGATCCTAGGATAGGATAGGATCCTAGGATAGGATAGGATCCTAGGATAGGATAGGTTCCTAGGATTGGATAGGATCCTAGGATAGGATAGGATCCTAGGATAGAATAGGATCCTAGGATAGGATAGGATCCTAGGATAGGATAGGATCCTAGGATAGGATAGAATAGGATCCTAGGATAGGATTGGATCCAATGATAGCATAGGATCCTAGGATAGGATAGGATTCTATAGCTATTGTATGGCATTATCAAAGGTTTGCACCACCAGGTTGCAAAAATGTAAGCTTTAGAAAATAAAAGGTTGTGGCAAGTACTCAACACCTTCAAGTTGTTATATTATGATTATATTCTTCCACGTTAAGTAGGTTTAAGATAGGATAAATAGACACTCTAGCTTGACAAACAAAATCAAGAGGCATGCAGGCACCTACATTAATACTTTACCGAAAAGTTGAAACCTTACCTTACTCTCTAGAAGAAGAACGGTTGGATCATCTCTAAATACATCATCCCCTACCGGAGCATTAAAGATAGCAGTTCTCATCTTTTCTCCAGGTTTAGTTACAGTATCACTCCTACAGAATTAAATATAGTTCTCATCTGTTCTCCAGGTTTAGTTACAGTATCACTCCTACATAATTAAATATAGTTCTCATCTGTTCTCCAGGTTTAGTTACAGTATCACTCCTACATGATTAAATATAGTTCTCATCTGTTCTCCAGGTTTAGTTACAGTTTCACTCCTACATAATTAAATATAGTTATCATCTGTTCTCCAGGTTTAGTTACAGTTTCACTCCTACATAATTAAATATAGTTCTCATCTGTTCTCCAGGTTTAGTTACAGTATCACTCCTACATAATTAAATATAATTCTACCCCTAAACTCTGTTTCTCTATAATCACTGGACAATTCATTTACAGGTACCTTACTCTTTACAGACAGGGTGAATATAGATATATATACAATATTCTACAGGGTGAATATAGATATATATACAATATTCTACAGGGTGTATATAGATATATATACATTAGTCTACAGATTGTATTTAGATATATATACAATATTCTACAGGGTGTATATAGATATATATACAATATTCTACAGGGTGTATATAGATATATATACAATATTCTACAGGGTGTATATAGATATATATACAATATTCTAAAGGGTGTATATAGATATATATACAATATTCTACAGGGTGTATATAGATATATATACAATATTCTAAAGGGTGTATATAGATATATATACAATATTCTACAGGGTGTATACAGATATATATATACACCTGGAATAAATTGTTCTCCAGGTTCTTATAATATACCTAGGATATTAGGTTCTCCAGGCCCTAATATACCTGAGATATATGGTTCTCCAGGATTCTAATATATAGGGTTCTCCAGGTTCCTATAATATACCTGCGATATATGGTTCTCCAGGTTCTTAATACATTTTGGGATGTATGGTTCTCTAGGTCTTAAATATACCCGGGATATAGGGTTCTTCAGGTTTCTAATACCTGGGATACATGGGATACATGGTTCTCCAGGTCCTTAATATACCTGGGATACATGATTCTCCAGGTCCTTAATATACCTGGGATATATCGTTCTCCAGGTCCTAAATATACCTGGGATTTAATGGTTTTCCAGGTCCTAAATATACCTGAGATCAATGGTTCTGCCAAGACTCTTCTCTCCAACCCAGGTTTGAACAATATCACAAGGATTCATTTTTTCAACAAATTTTAGATCCTTTCTTCAAACCTTGAAACCAGAGATAGGACTGAGTAGTATGTAGATATATACTAGACACCACAAATACTGAATTATTATCAAGACTAAAAAACATGATTTTACACATGTGATAAGTGTAAATCTGTTTAACTTGTCTATGTATGCACTATTTACTATGCAGCTGTGTAAATAAAACTTACTAAATGGGTAACAATGTTGTTGAAGCGACTCGTCACAAATTTGAAACAATGAGAAACTTGAAATACGCCGACAGTCCCTTTCAGATAATTTTTTCTTGTTCACATATCGGTTAATAACTTCCGTTTTATGTAAGGATAGACTTGAACTTTAGTGCTGAACGAATAATTTCAGGTTTCTGCAAACCCTCAACAGTTTTGTTTCGTTTTTTTGCCCTTGCAGTAGCACTCTCATTTTGGACAACATCACCAACTTTTTGTTACATATAATGCATTAATTTAAAGGATATTTTGTACAAGATTTTTACTGCATAAAGGCCCGTCGGTGTAAAACAAAAAATAAAAAATTGCCAATTACTTTTTGATATTAAAGCTTCAGATCTAAAAACTACAGGGTGTCTCAAAAAACGATTTTTTAGACATTGTAGCACTCACTATGGTTCAATGTATAGCACTAAAATTAAGGAAGTTTTGACTGTTTGAAGTTTGCCCTTTTGGCTTGGTTAAAAATCCAAGTAAATCTTCAGGTTTATTGGCCAATATATGGGCCAATATTGGCCAATATATGGGCCAATATTGGCCAATATGGGGGATATTTCTGCAGTTGTTATCCTTGAACAGCTGGACTTGCTGAACATCAAAGAGATTCTCTTTGCAGAACTAGAAGTATGTTCAGCTCCTATGTGTTTGGCAGCATCTCTGTTCATTACTGTAGCAACCAAGTCAACATTTCTATTTCTAGGAGTTCTGACCTGTCGGGATCTTCCACTGGATGAATTTATAGAACAAATGATTCTATCAAATTGTTGGAAAAATGATGTTTCTCTCTCTCTGTAGGACAATTGATGTGTAGAGTACTATTGAAGTGCAGGAAAAATAAAGTGTAGGACAAATGATGTTATCTCCTCTCTGTAGGATAAAATGATGGGTAGGACAAATGGTGTGTAGGACAAATGATGTGTAGGACAAATGAGGTGTAGGACAAATGGTGTGTAGGACAAATGAGGTGTAGGACAAATGATGTGTAGGACAAATGAGGTGTAGGACAAATGGTGTGTAGGACAAATGAGATGTAGGACAAATATTGTGTAGGACAAATGATGTGTAGGACAAATGAGGTGTAGGACAAATGGTGTGGAGGACAAATGAGATGTAGGACAAATGGTGTGTAGGACAAATGATGTGTAGGACAAATGGTGTGTAGGAAAAGGGTGTGTAGGACAAATGGTGTGTAGGAAAAATGAGGTGTAGGACAAATGAGGTGTAGGACAAATGGTGTGTAGGACAAATGAAGTCCAGGACAAATGATGTTACCTCCTCTTTGTAGGATAAAATGATGTGAAGGACAAATGGTGTACAGGACAAATGAGGTGTAGAACAAATGATGTGTAGGACAAATGAGGTGAAGGACAAATTATGTGTAGGATAAATGATTTTTAGGAAAAGTGATTGTAGGACAAATATTATCCCCACTCTGTAAGACAAATGGTGTGTAGGACAAGTGAAGTTTTCTACGCCCTGTAGAACAAATGATTTGTAGGATAAATGATGTGCAGGACAAATGAGGTGTAGGATAAGTGAAGTTTTCCCCGCCCTGCAGGACAAATGATTGTAGGACAAATGACATAGCTCCCTCTAATTAATATATCATTCGATCGGAAATGTATCAAAGATTTAAAAATTGCATCTTTTTTTAACAAATTGAATCATAGTGAGTGCTACAATGTCTTAAAGATCGATTTTTGGGTCACCCTGTAAATATTTGAAAAGCCCTAGAAAAATGGCTACAAAATATTTTGTCCCTTGCACCCGAACTATTACAATTGACCTATAAACATACATTGCAACCATTTAAGACCTTTTTCTAGGGGGGGGGGGNCAAGTCTTTTTAGGATTAATATTGTGCGCCAGAAAAAAAATTCTGGAATTTATTTTTATGTTTTATATAGAATTCATTTTCTGATTTTATGTTGTGCATCATATTGAATTCCTGTAACTTCAAGATGTATTTTTAAAATGTATTTAAAAAATTTAAGCTTTTCCGAAGCAATTCCCAAAAGTTCAATATTGGCAGAATACGGTAGTTGACAATTATATGTAAAAAACGGGTTTAAAGGGATTGCTGACAGTTTTTGAGAAAAAGACGTGGCCAACCATTATTCTTCTACAATTTGTTAACATTATTTTTATAAAAGTTGCATCCTGTGGCCCTGTTTTCCCATGTTTATCTACACTTGTAAAAAAGTTTTTTGTCATACCTTTTCTGAATAGAAATATAACATAATGATATAGCACTGAATAGAAATATAACATAATGATATAGCACTGCGCCAAATTTATAAATTTCACTTTCTTCCTTAAAATTTATATTTGTCCCTTATTAGATAAAAAGTAGATAATTTATTATTATTTATTTATGGAACTATATTGTAAAGTTTGCACACACACTCCCTCCTCTAATACAAAGGATTAAAAGATTCAAAACCATAGCTTTGTTGTTGACCTGAGAGATTTTAAACTCTTATTTCTGTAACATTAAATAATTATAGTTTGAAATATCATAGGTGTACACCATCAGGTTGTAATGGTATAGGGATTATAACATTTGAGTTTATGGCAAAGACTCAATTCCTTACAAAGCTGTGTTTGATCTTTAGATATTTACAAAGGACAATTTATTCTTTAGAAACAATGATTTTGCTGAAACGGGTTTTCAAAAAAAGAATTGGCTGACATCTGATTGGGTGATGAGAACAGCTTTTTTACTTTAAGAATACATTGATATTTATTTTGCCCCCCCCCCCCTTAACATATCTAGGGGGGGGGGGGCAAGAAAAAAGTGTATTATACTCAACCTTGAAAAAACTACCTTACCATTTTTGAGGAAAATTTTTATATTTGTGGGCATTCATTTAGTTTTCTTAAACTATATTTCGAGGGCAAAGTTTTTTGGGGTTAAAATTTATTTTAGTTGGGGAAAATCTCAAATCTTTGTTTTTAGGACAAATTTTATTTTTGGGAGGACATTTTTCAAGTAATGTCTACAGAGAGGGATAATCCCTTTCCGCTCAAATTCGGAACGAAAAATCGGCTTTTTCTCCGGCCACAGTTGTCTTTGAAAAGTAAGACTATTACCAATCAACAGAAATAGGCTGTTTAGTTTACTTTGAAATTACCCAAATAAGTGAACGGTCCCTTTATGTGATAATAAGTAATATATGTATTGAATTGCTGTTTTTATTCAGAATAAGTTATTTATTATGATTGATTCTCGGTGCAATGGAATAAAATTGAAGATATTAAGAAAAATAAAATTTCCGTTTTTCCTGAATTCATCTTTATAATGCTGTTTTCTTGAATTCATCTTTACAATGCTGTTTTCCTGAATTCATCTTTATAATGCTATTTTCCTAAATTCATCTTTATAATGCTGTTTTCCTGAATTCATATTTATAATGCTGTTTTCTTTTCTTATTTGAAATATTTTTCTTTTCTGACGAACACATATTCAAATTTCGTAAATATGAATATTTCAAATCAGAATTTTGTTGCGAGCAATTAAGAAAAATTGTGCGCAACGAATGCTTTCATGAAATTCTGTCTTCGCATTGCACGAAATAGCGCTAAAATTGCGATCAGTGCACACAGATCCAAACTGATATAGATATATGAAAAGTTGCATCAATTCTTAAAATTTTGGCGGAATCGCGAAATTTCTAAATGCGTTTATTGCGCGCGATTATCACGGAATTCCGTACGAACAAATGTAATTGCACGCAAATAAAAGCCCCTTGCGTCATTGAAACCCTAACGAAAATATTTCAAATAAAATAAACCAAAAGAAATCCAAAACAATTAAAAATTTAATTAAATTGAAGTTTATACCAAAAGAAGGTGCAAAAAATGCAGTACGAGTAAAGTACAGTCTAGGGGATTCAAATTCATAAACATTTTTTTTTACCGTTTTGGAAGGAATTAGATAGTTGTATAAAAACAGAAATATTTACGAAATTAAATCCCTTCGTGCTTTTGTGATCGTCTCACGTTAATTTCAAGTAAATTTCAAATTGGATTGAAATCTTGCATCATGTATGTTTTCTTGAAAAAGACCAAAAAATTGATTTCTTGTCGAAACCAAATCAAGGTTAACTGGGGGTACTGGTTGTCAGTGAGCCTTAACTTTCTCCCGTTAAATGAAGATCTTTCGTACTCTCACTTACTCTTCGTACTTTCTGTTGTAAATAATTTAGTTTAAGTCTTTCATGGTATGTTAGACAGATTTTGAATTTAAAATTAGAATATGAATGGAAAAATATGTCAATACATACATACAGTATGCATTTCGTTGTATGTAAATAAAGGATTCTTTGTCACAAAATCAAATTTTCTAATCCCTTTCTTTCCAACCTGATATGGTGTAAACCTTTGATATTTCAAACTAGATCATTTGATCTGACAGAATTCATAGTTAGAAATATCTCAGTTCTATACGACCTTTGGTTGCAAAGGTAAAAGGATTAGAAAACCAGAGTTTGTGACAAAGACTCAATTCCTTGGCTTTTCTTTTACGTGTGCGCGACATCAAGACTAGCCGGAGTTACGATTTTTTACAGTCGTACTAGCATTTTTGCAGCATACATATTTTGTTTTGTCCGTATTGGAGTGTAAAAATCTGCTTTCCAAGATATGGAGACGTGTTAAATAATTTGTTCTTTTTTTCCTTTTATATATATATATATATATATATATATATATATATATCATATGTATACAGTATATACACAGACATTCCTTATTCCAGAGTTTATTTGAGTTTGCACAAATATACTGAGAAATATGTTTGAATAATTATGAGCCTGGCAATACTTGATGCTCTCTCTATTCATCTTCATTTCATCTAAAGCACTAAACCTAATGGAACTTCAAGGAACTTCAAGGAAATTTAAGGAACTGTGTGCAATGTGTCTGCAAAGGGATTGTTTTCAATTAAGAAAACAATTAAGATATTTTTGTACAGTTATTCAAATAGATTATCAAGTACAATAGGTCGTAACAGAGAAGTGGACCAATTATATACGACGTCACAAGTGTCCGAAATATAACAAGGAAAACGAAGTTTTCTCACATTAGTTAACACGTTTTCCGAGATTAAATAAAAAAGTGTCAAATTGAAAATAAAGAAGACATAAAATTGCACTTATTTCACTGTTAGATAAGCACTTAGTCTAAAATTATCACTGTTGTCAATAATTTTATCGAGACACAAAACATTGCCATCTATTGTTCTTGACAATCTATTTAAGATAACCTAAGTTTTTGTAGATTTTAGCAATATTTCTGTAAATTTACACTGTCAAATATTGTAAAATAACACAATGTATTAAATTCTAAATCAAATAATCATAAACTTGAATGAAAGAATCAAATTTTTATTTCAAATCAAGCATATATCTCAATCCTTTGCAGATCTATTCATTTAGTTCCTATTTGATAGCTTTGATTGCAGGAATAACTTTTATTGATGAATTAAATTTATAATTATTCTCAAAGGTAAAAGTGTCCGCTTTGGATATCGAGATCAAGCGTTCCCAGCTCATATCTATGAGGGACATCTTTGAGTTGCCTAAGATATATGGTTGCTGTGTTCCTTCTCATAATTCGTCAATTTTTTTTAATTTTTAATATTAAATTTTATAAACAATATTGTTCGGAAAAACTAATCTTTAGAATTTAAAATTAATGAAACTTTAGGAAATTATCGTTCGCTGCGTCTAACTGAATGTGAAGAAGTAATTTTTTATTAGTGAACTCGATAGAACCGACTGCAATCAAAATTATTTATCAACTTTTTAGAACGGTTCGACTTAGTTTGACCTTGGCTTGACTTATACTGTTTATAGCAATGAACAGGAAGATTTCAAATCATAAAATTGAATTTTTTATTGCAGTATTTGATAAAATCATAACAGTTGTTGTGTCAATCAAATTGTGCATATATTTTAGCTCACTGTAAGTCATCTAAATATGATAAGTTACCCACAAAGGATGAGACTGTAAAGACGACGTGAAGCTCTTGAAATATGACAATTTCAAGGTTAGGTCTTACGCTTTTCGAAGGCTTATTTAATGATTTAGCAAAGAGAAACAAGTTTACATATGTAGAAAACCATAAATTTGAGGAAACAGATAGTAAAGATTGTCCAGTGTCCACTATCAATTCATGAACACTTCCTCGCAATATTGGCTTCAAAATCGACCATCTACCAAAAACTTCAGAGGTTTAGGGGAAAAAAGAAAATTGAAACTGATTGGAAAGCTTAGAAGTTAACAGTGGAAAGTATAATAAATGAAACTGTACGAAAGAGAGAAGAGTCCGGAAGAAAAATTGCACCAAAGTAAACATTTTCTAAGTAATATGCTTCAAAGCCCATTAAAAGGATAATGTCAAATGCTGAAAGGAAAAATTATGTTCCAATCTCGCCCAGGGCAAAACTGACAGAGTTAAATCTGAAACAAGGGCTTTACGCACAGACTTTTTGCCCTCAAATTCGGATTATCTGCAATTGTTTATGAATTATGATTCTTAATTTTCCCCTGAATGTTGAGGGCATTAATAGAAAAAACATGCCCGTCTTTGGAGCTAATGTTTGTCATGAAACTTGTCCCTAAGTCAAATCCAATCACCCGCTCGCTTGCCATTTCTAAATTTGGAATTTTCTGTCGGAGCCGGTTTATAGTGTTAAACACTAAGCTTAGATAAAGGCAACTGAAAACGATGTCTCAGGAATCTAAAGAAAATTAAATCTAATCTAAATATCAATATTTATATGTTTTTACAAATTCAACAGCGAAAATTCAAAATTGAGTGAGTAAGAGCGTTTTTTCTAAAGTCTCAATTTATAGTCCACACCCTTTAAGGAAACAGAAAGTATTAATTCTGTTTAGTTATCTCTGACAGTCGCATCCTTTGTGGGTAACCCTGTCTTACCTCGGCAAAATTCTTGTCATGGTTTAATCCTAAGGTAGAAACTTTACAGTTTTATCATCTGGAAACCTAGACAGTGTAATACAGTCAAGGGGGGGATACAGGTTTCAGTTAATCAACAAACTCTGATTTTCTTATACTTTATAATTGCAATGGTTTTTGTATTCACTGCACTGCTTGCTTTAAAATGTTTACAGTCGGCCTGGTATTTGAATTAAGAACCGGAGTTTTTGCTCTTTAACGTTGTTTTTAGATGAAAAGATTGTATTAACAGTGAGCCCTGCCCTGAAAACCAAAAACGTCGATTTTTAGTCTTTTAATAAATTTAATTTTTGCTAAACTTTAAACTTTTGTTTTTGGTCATTTCATATTATTAATGAACTGAACTGTTTCTGTTAATTTTTGCGTTTATAATTTTTTTGACGAAATACGAGGAAATGAAGACGCAGATTTAAACTTACAAAGCTTGGAACTTTTAAATGAATTAAATAATCCGAAAGAAGAGTTTAACTTATTACGACCAGTTGAGAAAAATTCTACACTTGATTTCACAAATTTCGTTCTTTTTTTCGGACTTTTCGTTAGTAACAAAAAGTTTAATATAACGGACATTTAACCCTTGCCAGTTTTGCATATGAGTAATGCAGAGTATATAAAAATTTGTTTAAATGAAAAGAAAATTACAAAATTAATTTTTTTTTGTTTTTAAAGATAAAATGAATCTGGAGGAAATGGAAAACCCGGGAGCGTTGTTTAAATATGAAAATGATAACATTCATTTCTTTGAAAATTCTCCCTTTAACACTAAAACAAGGTGGAGTATCTATATATATATATATATAAAGTAGTAAACTCTGTTGTTTGTTTGTATGTTTGATCATAACTTTGGAACCCCTTTAACGATTTACCTCAAATTTTGACTGAGGAACTCGTTAGAACCACGGGAAGGTTCTTAGCATGGTTTAAAAGTTCTTTGTTAAATAAGTTGACTTTCAAAGAACACTTTGTATCCAGACAAAGCTGGGTTCCCAAACTAGTTTATGTATAAAGTCGTAATCTCTGTGTTTTGTCTGTTTGTATATCCGATCATAACTCATGAACCCCTTGATTAATTCGCCTCAAATTTTGATTAAGAAACTCGGAAGAACCACGGGAATGGTTTAAAATTTTAATTTGAGTGGGTCGACTTGTATAGGAAAACTGAAGACAAAGCTGGGTTCCCAAGCTAGTTTAAACAATCAATGATTTATCCAAACAGCCTCAATAATAATCATTGAAAGATTCAACCTTTGTGTGAGCAAAATAATGGAATTATTTATTTATTTATTTATTTTTAATGTTATCCTTGGTTTTCCATTTATGTCAACTGAACATTTTCAATAGCGGTTGCTATGTAATAGGGACTTTTGAAATTGTCAAAATGTTTGATTTTCAAAAAGATACAAACAACGATATCTTTCTCATTGTTACTCAGATAATAGCAGGCCCGTAACTAGGTTTTTTCAAAGTGGGGGCACAAATGTTCGAATTGAAATAGATATGTAATCAATTGATGAATAAAGGCTAAAAAACTAGATTTTTAACTTATCACACATTATAGTTTATGCAAGGAAAATTAATTGCAGTTGCGTTACTCTGCGTACATATTGAAACGAGTTCTGTCTGGGCGGAATTTGTAAACAAGAATAGATGAATCAGTGTTCATGTCAGGCTTCGACCTCCGTCTTGTGTTTACTTTTCCGGCCAAAGACAGTACATTGCAGTACAAAAAATGCGTACACCTCTGAAATAACTTTCCTTGCATTAGTACCTTGATTTTGCCTGTCTTGCTTTATGTTTCCTTTTTTTTGCTATTGAGAAGCTATTTGCGTCAAACAAAAAACTTGAGCTATCATGATAATCATACTGTTCCATCATTAAACTCTGATCAGCAGAATAGATATTATCTAGAGATTTGAGCTAAACATAATCAAATGTATTACTGAACATTCCTCTGAAAGTTCAAGAAAAGCTCAAGCATAAAAATCTTCAATTTTACCAAAAACAGCTTCTCTTAAACCATATTCTATACATAATTTGTCTCGCATGATACTTTTTGCCGTTAGATAGTTTATTAAAATTATTAATCTAATAAAAGAAGGGGAAAGGATAAGTTTATCAAAAAACAAAAATTAATTAAAAACCTATCATTTCATAAAACAGAATAGAAATAACAAATCTCAAACAATTCAGTTAAGAAAGCACTCAATTTTTCTTTATTTGGAAGAAAAACAATCCTTTAAACACTATATTCTTTCATTTTTGGTTTCTTTCTTTTCATTTTCTTCTTTTTTTGATTTAGATAATGTGCCCCCCCTCCACTTTCGGGTGAAAAAGGGGGGCCTGATGTGGTAGACCTTGGATATTAAAGACTTTAAATTTGGCAAGATTTATTAGTCCAAGGTTTACAGAATGCAAAGTAACTTAACGTGAAATAAAAGAGAATTTAAATTTTAGCGATTGAGCATTGCTTACAGAGACTGAGCATTGCTTAAAGAGACTGAGCATTGCTTTATTGATTTTGAATGATATTTCTGTAGAGAGGGTCGGATGTTGGATGAAATTTCTGGGATGTACAGTTCTTTATTTGGATCAAAATCATCACCTGACAGGTAATTCTAGGAGGGAGGGAGGGGAGGTAGGGTAGGATGTGCATACCACCCTTACAGTGCTACGAAAACATAATATTAGAATTATACATTTTAAGTTTTAGTATAGCATATAACTTATAAATTATAAATTATTTTGTATATATTCACACAAACCCTTATACTGCTATAACACAACATTATTAGTATGTAACAACACAACCTCTTATGCTGTTATATTATAACAATATTAGTATAGTACATAATCACACAACCTCTTATGCTTTTATAATATAACATTATTAGTATATAAGTATATAATCACACAAACTCTTATGCTGTTATAATATAACATTATTAGTATAGTATATAATCACACAAACTCTTATTCTGTTATAACATAACATTATTAGTATGTAACCACACAACCTCTTATGCTGTTATAATATAACAGCATATTTGTTGTGTACATGTCTGAAAATTACTTTAAACTCTAGTTATTCGAATTTATGTATAAACTATTTTGCATATGATAAATTCGCACCCTGATCTCTAATCGTTCTCCTTAAATCTATTTAATTGAAATATTTTGTTATTATTACTAACATTAGGTGGAAAAAATAATCAAAACAGCCAAGAGCTATTTTCCACCTAATTGCTTTATACTTGTACTGTTAATATAATCATCAATTTTGTGATTGTAAACTCTATCTGTATACAGATACATTTATTTTAGCAATAAACGTTATCTTATCTTATCTTATCCAATAACAATATTAGTATAGTATATAATCAAACAACCTCTTATGCTGTTTTAATATAACATTATTAGTATATAAACACACAACCTCTTATGCTGTTATAATATAACATTATTAGTATATAATCACACACCATCTCATACTATTATAACATAACATATGATTAGTATGTAATCACACAACCTCTTATGCTGTTATAATATAACATTATTAGTATATAATCACACACCATCTCATACTATTATAACATAACATATGATTAATATGTAATCACACAACCTCTTATGCTGTTACATTATTTGTAAAGTATATAATCACACAACCTCTTTTACTGTTATCACATAACAATATTAGTATAGTATATAATCACACAACCTCTTATTCTGTTATCACATAAAAATATTAGTATAGTAAAAATTCGGTCATGGGGATGGACCAAACCTCTGTAGTGTAAAAAAGTAGATGTTAGTTCCACATTTATTGAAAATATATTTCGGTCTGGGTTGACCCTCGTCAGTTCTTATGATATAAAAACCATCAAATCGATAAAAAAATTTTAAATTGTTAAAAATTACAAGAAAATAAACAAACAAAAAAGATTATTCAAAATAAAAATTTGGGCTGTCAAATGGACATAAGGGAAACGAACTCAGATTATGAGATGGAAAAAAGATAATTTGCAAATATTCACTTTTAAAAAAATGTTTTAAGACAATTATTATTCTTTGAGATTGTTTCTGTCACAAAGATTAAAAACCAACTATTTAGATGTATGGATGTGTTTAAAGTAGTAGTGGGGGTCGATCTAATTAACGAACTTTTGCGTAAATCGGGGGGAGGGGGAGGGGGGGGACGGCTTGTTTAAGGAGGAGTTTTTAAACCTTTAAAAGAATTGGACATAAACAACTCTTTTTTTCAAAAAGATACTGAATTACAGTTTACAATTAAATAAAACTTTTTTCTGTTCATTCCTCTGAGTTCAGTCATAAAATCTCTAACGTATTTAGATTCTCGTACTTTAAGTAAACTTCTTCAGAGGTCCCAAACCTGCTCTAGAACGCAAACTTTTAGATAGTATATAATCACACAACCTCTTATACTGTTATAATATAATAAACCGGCATATACTGAGTGAAGATTTGAAAAATTGAAAGCCGTCTTTGACCTTAGAATATTTTTGTGGCATTCATTATCAGCAACTTAATTTAATCAATATTTTTAATAAACAAAAACCAACCTATGAAAGAATAATTACAAAATAGCCCTGGTCCTAAAACTGTGGTCTGCCAATTATTGCTGTCAAGTTTTCAATCAATTAATATTACTCCGGTTTATTCAGAATATATTCCCACAGCCTCTTATTGGGTTAATAAGTAGTTTGGTGTATATGATCACAAAACCTCTTAAAATGTCTTGTACAATGTAAATAGATACACACACAGACTACACAGACTGCTCATACACTCTACCTAGATAGACTGAGCAGGCCTATTGTGTCCCGGCACGCCATGCTATGGTTTCAGTGTAATGTTGTTTGACTGACATCTGACGGCCATTTGTTGCATTCAGGGGTTAAGTTTTACAACTTTAAAAGAAATACTCCAATTTTAAACATAAAACATAACGTTTATGAATATTGTCTATTTTTGAAGATTTGCATTTCTTTTTTCAAAGGATCCTTTGAATAGGAGATGTCTTCTGATTGTTCGTGTACTGTACTTGTACACAATAGAACATGCTGTGGAAAATATCGCATATTATAGGTGTTAATCGATCTCTGTAACTCTCTTATCTCTGGATACACATGTACAGGGTACAGAATACAGACATTATTTATTGTGTCAGAACAAACTTTGAGATTTTTCTATCTAATAAATGTCTTTTGTCCATGTGTAAGAAATGAAAAGTAGAAGAAAACTTGTAACTAATGCTTTGTTTACAGAAATAAGTTTATCTTCTAAACCTCCATGGTCCATTGCTTTTTTACTCAACTTCTGATTACTTTAAAATGGCAACTATACATATTTTGAGCAGCAAGCAGTTTTGAAAAGTGAAAGGAACCCGTGGAAAAAGTTGAAGATTTCATTATTGTATACGAAAATTTCAAACAGGCATTTTGTCAATTTTTTCAAAATTAAGATTTGATTTGGATTCTTGAATTTTTTCTAAGAAACTGAATACTAAATACTCCCCCTCAAACTAATTTTCTTATTTCACTGTAACCTGATGTCGCAGACTTCTGATTTTTCAAACTATGAATTCTGCTAGATTTAGTATAAAAGGTTCACACCATCAAATTGCAAAGATATGGACTAAAAAATAAGAGTCGGACGGGAGGCAAGTATCAAGTTATTTTAATAAAAAAAGATATTTCACCAGACTGTAACTTTGAAGAATACTAAAAATACTCGGGAATTATTTTTTAATTTGTTTAATCTTTAATGTTCTTTTTTTAAAAAAAATTATTTCAAAAGAATACAATTCTTCCAGAATTGAACTATCCATCATGAAGAAAAAGAAAAACATTTAGATTGGAAAATTATTTATTTAAAGCAACACAATTTTTTGTTGTTGTGACTTTTGTGTTTTATGTTTATGTTTTATGTTTTTGTGCTTACTATGTACTGTTTACTATGTACTGCTTACTATGTACTTGCACTGTTTACTAAGTACTATGTACTGTTTACTATGTATTATGTACTGTTTAATATGTACTATCTACTGTTTACTATGTTCTGTTTACTATGTTCTATGAACTATGCACTATGCAATGTTTACTGTGTACTGTTTACTATGTACTATGTAATATTTACTATGTACTATATACTATTTACTATAAACTATGTACTGTTTAGTATGTACTATGACTATGTCCTATGTACTATTCACTATATTACTATGCAATATATGTGATTTATGTACGTTGTACTATATGTACTTTGTGCTATGTAGTCAAAAATTAATTTGACTCAATCTTTCAGACATCAAACATATTTATTTGTTATATTCTTATTTTCATAGATATGTTATGAGACTTTTGAATAGTTATTCCTTTCAGAAAATAATAATTCTTTTAGTTTTTCTTTAAAATTGAAACAAAAGTTAATAATAAAAATTTTAAATTTAAACAGATTAAAACATTTAACAGTTTCATTAATTTAAATGCTTTATCCCTTGAACACACAACGGTTTTCTAGCTAAAAACTACCAACCATTTTTAGAAGGTTTATGACAGAATTCAAAATTTCGGCCAAAAAGAAAGGCTTAGTTTAACTACATCTCAATAAAAAATGTCCAGCTCCCTCTAATTCAGATTTTGAAAAATGTAACATTTTTTAATATTTTTTTTAGACAGAAGCACCCTGTAGTGTTTCTGCCTGACGGGAGCAGCAAACCTTGTAAACCTTCAGGAAAGTATAGATTTGCAGAAATATTAAGTTTTTAAAAATTATATAAGTTTTTTATTTGAAAATTTGTTAGATGCGCCAAAATCATAATCTTCCCTCTTGGCGTCAAACCTTATAGAAATCCAACGTATGGACCCGCTATAGATAGCAACATGGCGTATTTTCCGGGAGAACATTTTTTTATATTTTTGAAAAATTAAACGTTTTTGTAAAATATTGTAGCTTATTTCTATTTTTTAAACATAACCTAGACATTAAAGGAGCAAAATAGTTTAATACGTACATTTTAGGTTTGGAAAAAAAAAGTTTCTCCAGTAATGCTAATATGATTTCATAAAATTTCATTTGCCATTTAAATAAAAGGATTTTATGAAAATTATATATACTTTACACTGATAATTTAATTTTTCAAAAATATAAAAAATGTTCTACGGGAAAATACGCCATGTTGCTATACGTAACGGGTCCATACGTTGGATTTCTATAAGGTTTGACGCCTTCCCTCTTACCCTCTTCCTCTTGCCGTGTCATACAATGATCTCAGTAGAAGGTGATGATTCGTTTGATACACACAGATAACTTTGGATCTTCGCCGTGTTTTGGTCACCACCATGTCGTATATGCGATAGCGGAGAGGGTCCTATACCTCCATAGTATGTCCCCTCCGTCGTAAGTGCTATGGCGAAGAAATTACTACACCGCCATAGTATGTACACCAGATTTCCGTTATATCTCCTCTTTCGTAGGTGCGATGGCGAAGTAATTTCGTACCACCATATATATAATCCATATATCTCCGCCGTAGATACTCTGTCGTAAGTGCGAGGGCGGAGTAATTACATACCACCATAGTATAAACTCCATATATCTCCGCTGTAGATACTCTGTTGTAGGTGCGAGGGCGGAGTAATTACATACCACCAAAGTATAAACTCCATATATATCCGCTGTAGATACTCTGTTGTAGGTGCGAGAGCGGAGTAATTACATACCACCATAGTATAAACTCCATATATCTCCGCCATAGATACTCTGTCGTAGGTTCGAGGGCGGAGTAAACAGTCCCGTTTTAACGTCTATAGACTGTGTATGCATGCACTGTTTACAACTTGCTTTTAGCTATTTGAAAGTCGGGTCGGTTCTTCAATATAAGTCGCCATTTTTCAGATATTTTCTTTGCAAATTTGGGGAAATTTGCTCGACTCCTCTGACAAGGTTCATCAGAGATAAAGTTTGTTTGAGTTCAATCATCAAATCCGACGCGTTACTAAAACCTTTTAGGGAAAAAATCCGGAGGTTCTGTTTAAAGAATTGTCTGTGCCCTTCCGTTCAACTGCTTAAAAATCTTTAATTCTGAAAATATTGTTTCAACTGAGCAGAGTTGACAATGACGGTTGAGAGACGACTAAGAGATCGTCCATGATACTTCATATCTTACCTAATTAAGGAGAAAAAGATAATCGATATTGTGGGGTGTCAACCTCCAAAAAATAGTGTAAGGGGAGCAGTGCTCATTTTTGAGGGAACCCGGTATTTTTTGGGGAGATGTTTTTAAAGCTTGACAAGGAATTTTTTTTGACAGTTTTCTGGAAATTGTATTTTCCCCTAAAATTTCCCTCTGACATTTGTCTTTTCCAGGAAGATATTATTCAGGATATTCCGGTGATTTCTCACTCTGTAGTTTATCTTTCCGAAAATTGCCCTTTTGTCCGGAAATGTAGAACTTGAAAGACAATATTGAAGGACACCATGTGTTTGGTTTGTGAGTGTAGAAGTATGTTATAGCTCTGAATAGTTTGGTTCAACTTAGTTTCCCTTCACTTCTCAGCTCTTAGCTCTCAGTTCTCATTCTAGAAGATGGATTGAAGTACCAGGGATACAAACCATACGTCTACACTATATATATTATATGTATATATATACACTCACAGATTGAATTATGTCAGTTGTCACAATCTAGCTCCCTCTGGCTTCCTCTATTTCCCCAAGCTCCCATCAAGCTCTCTCTAGCTCCATCTAGTTCCGTCTAGCTCCCTCTAGTTCCCTCTAGCTCCATCTAGCTCCCTCTAGTTCCATTTAGCTCCCGTTAGCTCCTATTCTTCCCTCTATCTAGCTCTCTATAGGTCCGTTAGGTCCCTCTAGTTCCCTCTATCTAGCTCTCTATAGTTCCGTATAATTCCCTCTAGTTCCCTTTTCTTCCCTCTAGTTCCGTATAGTTCCCTCTAGTTCCCTTTTCTTCCCTCTAGTTCCGTATAGTTCCCTCTAGCCACCTTTAGTTACCTCTAGCTCCCTCTAGATCCCTAGAGTTCCCTCTGCCTCCCTCTAGTTTCTTCTAGCTCCCTCTAGCTACCTTTCGTTCCCTCTAGTTCACATTTGTTCCCTCTAGTTCCCTCTAGCCCCCTCTAGCCCCCTCTAGTTCCCTCCCTCTAGCTCCCTATAGTTTCCTCTAGTTCCCTCTAGTTCCCTCTAGCTCCCTCTAGTTCACTCTATCTAGCTCCTTATAGTTCCCTCTTGTTCCTCTAGCTCAGTCTGGCTCCCTCTAGTTCCCTCTAGCTCCCTCTAGCTCCCTATAGTTCCCTCTAGCTACCTCTAGTTCCCTCTAGCTACCTCTAGTTCCATCTTGTTCCCTCTAGCCACCTCTTGTTCCATCTTGTTCCCTCTAGCTCCCTCTAGTTCCATCTTGTTCCCTCTAGTTCCCTCTAATTCCTCTAGTCCCTTCTAGTTCCCTCTAGTTCTAGCTCCTTCTACTCCCTCTAGCTCCCTCTAGTTTCCTTTAGCTCCCTCTCTTTACTCCCTCTACTCCCTCTAGCTCCCTCTAGCTCCGATCTAATCAATTTTTATTCTATATAAATCTGGGTTTTCAGGCCAGATGTCAACATTTGGTTATCTCAGGAAACTTGGAAACATAGAAAACACATTTTGTTTTTATTTTTCTTCCGGAGTCTGTCAAGAACAGTTTTTGATTAAGAGTTAATATGTCTGGATAACCAAATAGCGTGGAGGAGGGAGGAGGGTGGGGGGGTCACAAATATGTTTTCCTTATTGATTTCTTAAAGAAAATTTTCCGTTAACAGACTATCGTTACTTTAAGTGAATTATCATTTAAAAAGTTACGCTCGTTTCAAAAAGGTACCCCTGAAAACCTGTTTTATTGCCATAAGATTAATAGAGTTTTCAATTACGGTTTTATACAGCAGAGACAAATTTTTCAAATCTTGAATACGCCCTTGCCACTTCTGATCAATTTTAAATACTTTTTTGTTTTCATTTCATAATTTTCAAGTTTTATTCTTTCCGTGGTGAACTCCGTGGTTAATGCCGCAAACAACATCAACAACAACAACAACAATAACAACAACAATGATAACAACAACAACAATAACAACAACAACGTGAATATTCAAAACAGCAACAACAATCAGAACAACAACAACATGCTGATGGTGGGAAGGAGATTGAATATAGAGAATATCCGAAGGTAATTTGAAAAGTTTGAAAATAAAAAAGTCTTGTCGAATGTTGACTAAGGAAATTTATTAAAAATATTCAGCAAAACTTTTATAATTTGAAAAAGGGGGGCTAGTACGTAAAACTTTATGAAAATATTCAGCTTACAGAAAATCTGTTTTTTTATAATATTTACAGGTAGACCCAAAAAAAACTGTAGAAACAGTGTACGTGTACATTGTACCTAGACTTAATAAGATATTTCTAATATCTTTGGAAGGAAAGGAAGGGGGGATAGGTTTTGCGTATATTTTTTCAAGTACGTCACAATAAATGCGTACACAAACCCTCGGCTTTTGTGCACTCAAATTGGGTGAACATAACATCTTTTTATTAGATTCGTTCATACTTTTTTCTTCCTTTTTCCTTGATTGTATGATGGTTCAAGATTGAATGTTTGGATTATAAAGATTGGACGAAGGAAGAAGAAGATTGAATATTAGATTACAAAACAAATAAAACCTACATGACTGCTGTAGAAATGGATTAGATAATATTTGGGAGAATGCTTAACATTTAACAGAAAACTTCCTTGATGAACAAAAAAGCTTAGTTTCTGATGAAAAATCACCGTAAAAAAGGTTTATGCAAAACATTTTGTACAGATTCTTTTTTTAAAGTGTGACCCATAAAACTGTGGAATAGGAAGGCTATTGCGAGACTCAAGTTATAATTTTTAACAGTGTAATAAACATAAAGCATGGTAAAGTGCAGTGTACTCAGACCCATTTTACTTAATAGGTTGATGAGAAAATACAGATCAAGGTATTTGCGTTTAATAACATCTAATGCACGCATATAGGATTGTTTGGCTGTAGTCTTCTCCTCAGTTTTTGAGTCTCATTGTAAAAACTTAAAAATATTTTAGCATTAGGTTAAAATGAAAGCACTGATTAAAAAATAAACTGCAGTTTTGACGTTTTTACAAATATAAAGTACTAATCTCTGTTTGACTGTTTGTATGTCCGATCATAACTCTTGATTGAACCCCTTGACCGATTTGCCTCAAATTTTTCCATTTTAGAACCACGAACATGTTCTTGGGATGGTTAAAAAAAATCTTAGTTGAGCGGGTTGACTTTTATAGGGCTGTAGATCCCAAGCTAGTATTATATATACTATCAGACTGCTGAATATGTAGATAGAAACCACCTGTCAGAAGTTTAATCATTTATTTCTAGGATTGAGGAAACCCTGTCGAGACATTACCATACCACCCAGGGATCATTTGAGATTTAAAAAAATTTTATTTATAAAACCTACATTTTTATTCTTGACTTTATAAAGTTGATTTAAAACAGGGACTAAAAGTTTAATTAGGTTTTTAATTATTGTTCAGAAGTATGTATAGAAGAGTAGAGACCTAGGAACAATTCTCAAAGGAAAAGTTTTACGAAACCATGTTCTCTTATCTTTAACAGATTAAAGGGACTGTCCACGTAATTTCAAGTGACCCTCTATTTAAAAATTAAGGGACCATGCCCGATTCTCAAAGGTAGCATTGAAATCTTCCTCTAAGCAAAAATATGAAGATATCATTTTTTCAAAACTTCAAAACCTAATTACTTTTAAACGTACCATCTCCGCACGTATAACTAAGTTAAATTAGACATATGATAGAAATCTTATTTGTTTTCAATCATAACTCCTGTAATTGAAGAGCTAAAAAATATTTTAAATTTCTTCTATGTAAGTGTAACCGGATAAATTTGCATTTCTTATACTTGCGAGTTAACTAAAAATAAGAGGAGCCACGAGATCGCAAAGTCGGAGCAGTAATAACAAATAAAATTGACCTTCTCCTTCTGTGTTGTTTACATTCTCCGCCACTTTTTCTCTTTCAAAACTTAGCCCCCCCCCCCTCCCCCCTCCCAGATAAAGAATACTTTCCAAACTTATCAAATCTAGAATTTAATAATCTCAACTCTAAACTAAATAATAGAATGCATAAACTATCAAATGATAAGACGGGAAACGGAACTGTGTTGAGCTTACAGTGGAAAGATTTTAACTCAGGACAGAACACTTCTCAATCTGTCCGAGGTAGTCAGGATGTTTTAAAGAACGGTGATCAAACCGTCCCAGCTCAGGGAGCATCAATAAACAATTCTCAATCCGTCCGAAGTAGTCAGGATGCTTTAAAGATTGGTGATCACACCGTCCCAGCTCAGGGAGCATTAAAGAACACTTCTCAATCTGTCCGAGGTAGTCAGGATGTTTTAAAGAACGGTGATCGCACCGTCCCAGCTCTGGATGCTTCAAAGAACGCTTCTCAATCCGTCCTAGATGATCTGGGTGCATTTAAGAACAGTGCTCAAACCGTCCCGTTTGCTCAGGGCTCTTCAAAGGCTAACAGGTGGAATTTTCCTACAACGAATATTGCAAACCATTATAAATTATAAATTAATACATTTTATATTTCTAACATTTAAAAATAAGTATAGAGATTTTCTTCGAGAATAAAAAAATTAGATGAAACAATGTTGCAAATGCATAAAATTTGATTTTTAACCAAATTTAGGATTTCTACAAATTCCCACGAATCAGGAAAATTAGAAATAAAATAAGAACTTGAAAGTTATGAGAGAAAGTGAAACAAAATGAGTAAAAAGGAAAGTTTGTTTTAATAAGATATCAAGAGTGTTTTTTCCCGCAATCAACCAAACAAAACTTTATAAAACCCATAATTACATATTTCTAAATGTAATGAAGAAATTTGGTGGGTTAAAACTGTTAAAGATTGGACGACTAAGCTGCTTAATGATTGGAGCAGCGGTGAGAGCAGCATCAGCAGCAGGAACTGAATGAGACCGTGATGTTCATAATTCGCGGAAAAAAGTCTCGAGAATTAAGTCTTATTAAACCAGTAAATGACTTTACCAAATCTTAACAATTCAGGTGTAACTTTGATGGTTTATAGTCAAGGGCGTACACAGATATAAATCTAGGGGCGGGGGCCCCAAAAACGTGTTTGCCCCCACCATCCCTAGGGGCTCCTGGGGGGGGGGGGCGGTGCAAAATTTCAACTGTAAATTCAAAACATTTGACTTCTTCTTGGATACTTTAAAAGTACACATAATACATACAGTCCAATTACCTTCCAAGTACTACTTGATCTCTACTTCAAACAAAACTGGCAAAAAAAGACAGAAAACTAATTTGTTATGCTCTTCACTCTTCAGTTTCAGATTTGAAAAGTGTTATAGCTCTAAGTTCTAGGGGGGGGGGGCGTACGCCCTCCCTTTACAGATCTGCCCCTTGCAACCCCCTTGTGTAATTCCTTACTTATAGTAGAGACTCTCTAGAATAAATTTTAAAATCACGGTCTGATGAGTAGGAGGAGTATAAGGAGGAGGTGGAGTAGGAGTAGCAGATTCACGAAAACCAGGAGCATTAAGGATATTCCCAGACAGGACAAAGATACGTCTTTCGTTACAAGAGAGGATCTCAGCGATCTCTCCGTACAGGAGAGAATGATCGTCGAGACAATTCTTTCATCAAATATATTCATCAATCTATTCATCAAGACGCATCAACAAGTAAACTTTCAAAATATTTTTTAAGGGACTGATTTCATCATTATAAGAGTGTTCCTGAACAATTTGTGACAAACCCTCTAAACCTAATGTTTTTAAACGTAAAATTAACCACAAAAAATAATAATTTCATCTATATTTTCAATGAAATGATTTAATTATTTCTTTTCTCGTCAGACTTCATTCTTAGTGAAATTCTTTCAATTTTTATACAATTCTTAATACAGAATGTTTTAGGACGATATTTTAATGGATGATCACTGTGCCAAGATAAAACAAATAGCAGACTTGGTAAGGACGAAAGACACATACATTTTTTAAAATGTTTTCACTCTGTATGTTCCAGGGTACCTGGAGTAAGATGGTTACTCGGAAACTATCTCAAGGGTTGGAGAAGATACTTGGTGTTAAGTTAGACTGTAATTTGTAAACTATTTCAAAATAATAAGGTTAAATAGAAATTTAGTTATTATTGTTTAATTTTCGATTATTTTGTTTTTTTCTTCTTCTTACATTATAAAACTATAGAATATTTAGCAGATTTTTCTGTTTATATTTGCGACTTGCAAAATTTAATTCTTTAGGTTCTTCTCAGGGGGTGGAAACGTTATGTGTGTGTGTCTGTACCAAAAGAGTGTGTGTAAGGAATACCGAACCGAAGGTGTGTACTGTAGGTATATACAGTACATACGAATCTCGGTATTAGTACAGACTAGGAGGGTACATTTGTTTCTTGTTAATTGTTTACTTAAAAATAAGTTTAATATACATGTAATATATTATTTCTACATTTAAGTCAAAACTATAAGCCAAATTTTCATGCAAAGAATATAATTTGATTAAAGTTTAGAATAAACTACTCGTTATTCAAGCTTAACTATAATTGACGACATTGTTCTGCAATTTCCTTGACTGTAGTCATGTTGTGTGTCTGTACCAAAAGAGTGTGTGTAAGGAATATCGAACTGGCTTTCTCATGCCAGACCAGCGCCATTTTCTTTTCCCTTTATTCCTATTCCCTAGTTATTCTTAAACTATCCAGCCATAAGCCTTCCCTCTGGGGTCATGTGAAGCAAAAAATATCTTCCCGATCAGTTCAGTCATTATGTTGTTAACAGACAAGGCAAGGCCAAAAAATGCACAAGCATAGATACAGTGCTTTTGGGAGAAGAATTTAAGAACTTTGACACTTATGCATGATAAAAATAATGATAATAGCTTATTATTGTTAAAGGGACCAAATAATTGATTTAAACGATATCCTTGTTCTTATAAAAAATTATCAAGAATTAAAAGAGTTATATATGTTTTCCACTTTAAGAATTGATTATTTTTAGTTGTATTTTCTCCGTAGAAGTAACTTCAGAAATAATTTGATTGGTTCAGATAAATGACAAAATCTTCCACATTGATTAAATAAAGGTTTTCAAGAGTACTGTTGTTAATCAGGCCTGCCGCCATTTTTAAATTGAGGGTAACTTGAATTTACGAGGACAGTTCATTTGTTTTTATTTTGCTGAAAATATTTAAAGTAAATAGATAATATTCTTATTTTTTCTCAAGCTAGGAGTTATCCATGTTTTCCCTCATTAAAAATTGATTATTTGTGGTTTCTCCATAGAAGTCACTTTCGCAAAGAAATCGTAAATAAAAATGAACAGTTAAGAAACAAAAACTTTAATATCTACAGTGCTAACCAGAAAACAATGGAATAGGAAGACTACATTACAACAATACTACAGTGTATTTGATGTTTTTACAAAGAAAATAGTTCTACCAGACACTTAATTAATCACTTATATTGTGAAATGGGTCTGTTTGCATTGATCAATTGCTGTGTTTCATTGTCATTGAACTTTTAAGAGTTAAAACATGATTCTCAAAGTCGTCTTACAATTTCAGAGTTTTCTGGTTATCACTGTAATTCATTCTTAATCAGACACAGCTTTCAAGGTTGCCGTTGTAAATGGGGGATTTCCATCTTGCATGGAGAGTTTTCTGAAATTAAGTTTACAGTCCCTTTAATTTAGTTGTGAAAATATTTCTTATTTATTCTTTAAGCTACCTAAGGAGACATTTCTGGGTATACACAGTACACAGTGCACAGAGAATATTAAATAGTTTACTTGCATCAAGGATATATGGAACTAAGGAGAGAGAGACTGTTTACAGCTCAAGAACTACTCTTTTAGTGCACAATAACTTTGCGTGTTTAGGAATACAGAGCTTTGTTTACAATCTTTGTTATCTACAGGGTTACCCACAAAGAATGAGACTTCAGAGACAATTGTAAGGAAATCTTTAAGTCCGTTTTGTTGTTTTCAGGGTTCCTTGTCGGCCAAAACTGGTTTATTTCTGTGCTTAATCATTTATAATAAACCAAAAAAACACTTCTAATCATTATATTTTAAGAGTTTTGGGTCGTCTTTACACTCTCATCCTTTGTGGATAACCCTGTATATAAACATAATTAGTAGTAATTATTTTTGCTTGTTTGTATGTGCGATCATAACTCATGAATCCATTGACGATTTGTCTCAAATGTTCTTACTTTGGTTTAGAGCTTCTTATTTAAGTAGGTTAATTTTTCTTAAGAAAGTTTAGTTCTCCGGCAAAGCTGGTTCTCTTAGCTAGTTGTTCTGATAATACTAATTCCTGAGATGTCCGAATACGTCATGGTAAAACGTTAACAAACCCTTTCATTCTTTCCTTAGTTTTACTCTCATGGACTCCTAAAGAAGCCCAGTAAGGAGGGAAGGAAGGGGGATATTTATGTGCTTGGTGCATGACCACTTTCTACTCATAATTTAACCTGTGAATTCCATATTTCTTCATGTTGTTGCAGTTTAACCATTCACATAATCTACAGTTCCTTAAAATTTATAGTCCACAATCTACAGTTCCTTAAAATTTACAGTCCACAATCTACAGTTCCTTAAAATTTAAAGTCCACAATCTAGTTTCTTTAAATTCGTAGTCCACAATCTACAGTTCCTTTAAATTTGTAGTCCACAATCTACAGTTCCTTAAAATTTACAGTCCACAATCTAGTTTCTTTAAATTCGTAGTCCACAATCTACAGTTCCTTTAAATTTGTAGTCCACAATCTACAGTTCCTTAAAATTTACAGTCCGCAGTCTACAATGCCTTTAAATTTATAGTCCACAATCTAAAGTTCCTTTAAATTTATAGTCCACAATCTACAGTTCTTTAAATTTAAAGTCCACAATCTACAGTTCCTTAAAATTTACAAAGCACAATCAACAGTTCCTTTGAATTTATAGTCCACTTTCTACAGTTCCTTTAAATCTGCAGTCCACAATCTACAGTTCCTGAAAATTTATAGTTTACAATCTACAATTCCTTTAAATTGATAGTCCACAATCTACAGTACCTTTAAATTTATAGTCCACAATCTACAGTACCTTTAAATTTATAGTCCACAATCTACAGTTCCGATAAATTTACAGAACACAATCTACAGTTCCTTAAATTTTACAGTCCAGAATCTACAGTTCCTTTAAATTTGCAGTCCACAATCTACAGTTCCTGAAAATTTATAGTTTACAATCTTCAGTTCTTTAAAATTTACAGTCCACAATCTACAGTTCCTTTAAATATTTAGTCCACAATCTACAGTTCCTTTAAATTTAAAGTAAAAAATCTCAGTTCCTTAAATTCTTTTTATCAAAACGGACATACTGAAGATTTGTCTAACGTTACTATTAAAACAATAAACAGAGAGTAGTATGGGGGGGGGGGGTTATGGGGGCTAAGTTCATCCCTTGGAGAAGAAAAAAACTGTAATTTCAAGCTGAGACCCTCCCCCCCCCCATTTAGCCCTCTACCCTGGAAAAAATCCTGTATGTCACCCTGCATATAAAGCATGATATAAGCAAGTCTTCATATAGCTTCATATGGATTGAAAAGCTATAAGAAACGAAAAAGAATTATTGACATATTGAATATATCTTTTAGTTTTTATCTTTTTTCTACTTAAAATTGCACAAATCTTGTAGAAAATGAAAATTATTTTTTTTTATATATTTTGATGTTTTTAATGCGGTCTTATGTCCCCTTCCCCCGCTTATTTGTTAAATTTTAAAATTTATGTGTCTTGATGTATTTTTTACGTGTTTTGATGTTTTTCAATGTTGTCTATAAACTATTTCCCAGCTCTTTGTATTTTAAATAAAAATCTTTCGTTAACGCCGTTAATAATATTAAGATCGTTAACGAACGGTAGCTTTCAAAAATAACAGAAAATACCGTTAACAAAGCGAACGTTCTGTTCAAAGCTATAAATAAAAAACGGGTACCTGAAAAAAATATTTACAGTTTTAACTATCCGTGAACGAAACCCTTAAAAAAGTGAGAAGGTGTCCAGCTCTGTGGCCATAAATGACTAATTAGATTATGTCCAGTTGCCTTGAAGTCTCATCCTTTGTGGGTAACCCTACGCCTAATATCAAAATAATTTAGTTGCGTTTGAAAAAAATAGCTATTTCGAAACTATTTCTGTGTAAAAAAAGACGATTTAATGTTTATCGGAAATCTCTTTCTTGCGTCAAAAAATAAAATTCCTTGTGATTTCCTTTCAGAAACTGTTTCTTAACTTTTAAATGTTTCATTTTAGTTTTCGGAGAGTTTCTGTCGAAAAGTTGGAAGTATTTGAAAACTGCGAGACATCATTATAACTTTAATAAAACAATAATTTTCCTAGAAATATTAATAAATTTTTTGATATTGGATTAGAAAAAATAGTTGGTATTTAAAGAAATATCAAGTAACCCTCAATCTAATAAAAAAAGAGGGACACGCCCGATTCACACTTGGTACCCTTTAAACCTTACAATTGTAAGTTACTTATGTAGAGAAACCATGAATTGAAAATACTCAATTTTTAGACAGAAATCATGAACATCTTAAAGGGACTGTAAAGGGAATATAGGATGAAACCTGAGAATCTCAGGCATTAAACGATACATATAAAACACCTATCTGGTGTTCCTGTCTCGATAAATTGATATAAAACTTTGTCAAATTTATACGAAAATTCATATTTATGCAATTTTGTATAAAAGTTTTAGAATTAAACAGATCATATATTTTTATTTTTCATTTTTGATAGATATAATTGATAATATAGTTAAATATAGTCCATAGTCTGTATTACGTCACCAGAACTTCAGCCAATGGAAGTGCAGTATCAATGTCACGTGATTCAAACGGAAAACGCGTGACGACCATTGGCTGAAGTTCTGGTGACGTAATACGGACTATCAGTTATATCTATTAAAAATGAAAAATAAAAAAATTATAATAGGAACAAACCTGAGATTCTCAGGCTCCTGTTGGGATATCGTCTTTTTCAGATTGGTTGCGTATTTGTTGAAAATTATCTGTTTAATACTACAACTTTTATACAAAATTGTATATTTATGAATTTTCGTATAAATTTGACACAGTT